GAGACATGGAAGCTGTGGGAGCAATTAGGCAAGAACCTGCAAATATCACCGTCCTTGAAGCTCTCTAAGCAAACTGCACAATCCACACTCACAGTGCTGCTACTAACTCCCTTTCCTTTCTCTGCTTCCTTGTACTCAAAACAGGGCAGATCCTTCATCTCCTCACTTGACATTCTCTTCGTCCCAATTCCATCAAAATCGCCATCGCTCTGTTCTTCATTCCCACCCTGATGACTTCCTCTTCGCAGAGCCCTTCCCACGACGCACACATGGATCAACACCAAAGCAGCGATACCCACAAACAGTAGAATCAGGGAAATGAAAATCTCCTTCATCGTAATTAACCTTAGAACCCAGAACAAACTAAGTTGTTTCTTCTTTCTTCACAATGTGGGGTTTTGTTAGTGTTGAACCAAAGAGTGACTCAGCGAAAACGGCAAAATAGATGGGAAAGAGAAAGAGAACCCAACACGAAAAGCTGAGAGCTTGTGCGTTTACGATATGCATCCATGTTATTGACGGCGTGGAGGCACAGTTCGTGAGAAAGCAACCAAAATAAAATAAAAGTTGAGAATTTTAAAAAGGAAACGATAATGATTGCTATAATGCGAAAGAAACAAGCGGCGAATTCATATGCTGCTCAAGGTGGTGCGTCCAACAGCAAGTTTTGGTGGCTGTGGGCGCCACTCCGGCCAATCCTGTTTATCAAAATCCCAATTCCGCCCAACTAATTGTTTTTCTTCTTCTGCAAATTACGGTGTATTTAAGAATTACTTTACACATAACTCCAAAAAACTCTAATTGGAATGTTCTCTCCTAGTCTAAAAACTAGTTAATTAATTTGAATGGATTAAAAAAAATTAGTTAAGTTAGTTGTTTGTAATAAATAAGTATTATTTTTTTTTAAATATTCTTACTAATTATATGTATTAGTTAGAGTTACCCAAAAAAAAAGTATTACCTCCTGTCCTATGAACAAGGTCTTATAATTAGGACCAAAGATAGTATTAGTTAGAGCTACTATTTAATGAAATATGTAACATGTGCAATTACTCGACACTATAAAATAGGTGTTATATTTAGAATCGGAGAAGTACTACAAGAACTATTTTGAAAAAATAGATAAATATAAAAAACAAAACATATTAGGATTTTACTTTTATAACCAATTAAATGTCAAATTAGCTCTTATATTAAACAGCAAAGGCACATAGAATCTAATAAATATGAGAGGTATAAATATACACATTCTCTTTTTCTTTTCCTTCCAATTTTACATAATATAAAATTTTATTTCAGCCTTTTATTACATATAGCTTTTTCTATATTTCAAATTTTTTTTATACAAAAAAATTTAGATGAGTTAGGTCTCAGAGGCTCATTAGAGTCAGAGTATGCCTTCAAACTCAAAGAGTACTTACAGAGGTACTTATATATTACTCACTAATAAAGTCTTCACATTAGCATTGAAATTCGAACTCACGATTTTATAAGTTATAAGATAATTCTTTACCAACTATATCAATTCTTGTTAGTATATTTTACCTTCGATATGAGTTTACGAAACAAACCTTCATTTGAAAGATACATTGTCGTTTTTCTGGTAACAGTAATCAAATATATAGAATCTAATGAGATGCATGTACTTTAATTAGATCCACGTACGACTACTACTTTGTTTAATGCCGTCAATGTTGCGTTACCGGCAATATTTAAATAGCCATTATTTTTATGATGGGTTTTTTTAAACAGTTGTATGATGGATTTTGATCATGCAAAATTATTGTATTTTTCTATGAAAAATATGCTAATCTCTAATCCATGGAAACCACGTTTTAATGCAAATCAAGTTTCAACTTTCAGTGCAATATTGTATTATTTGCAATTACAAAAATATTTGTACATAATACATATAAATAATATAGATATAAAAAATTTGCACATGATCACTACATTGGAAAATTTTAATGTACTCCATGAAATATATTTAAGAACTTGTGAAATTACTTTATGTGTGCTATACTTGGGTTGCACTATATTCTGAAGCAGGATTGAACTTGCAATGGTTTACTTATAAAAAGAAAAAGAAAAAATCCCAAAAAATGGATATTGAATTTCAAAATTCCAAATAAGGAATTACTACAAAAATGTGTTGTCATTTACTTTTTGAATATAATCATTTTCTTTACGAGTGTAGTAATTAATACTGATTTGGAATTTTAAAATTCAACAATCACTTTTTTAGGATTTTCCCAAAAAACTATTCATGCCATTATATTATTGACCAGGGTGTATTATAAGCATAGTGTGTATAATGTCCTTTTCCATGTGGTGGCTAGCAATGGATGCTTGTTACAAACTAGATGTAATTTACAAGCTTAATTAATTATACTTAACCGCTTTAACTCTACATCAAGTACTCACCCAGCTCCTAAACTTAACTTCAATGTCTATAATTGGCTTTTAAATATGTCTCAAATATTATAAAATTTGTTAAATCGTGAACCATTTATCCCCCAAAAAAAAAAGGAAAAGGAAATTTGAAAGTTGAGAAAGCATGATCAATTCAAACTTAAATTGAGAATATGAATTAATGATCATGCGATGATTAATATTGCAATGACTACTTCATGAAGACGAATGGGGTTAATTAGTTACTTAAATAAATGAAACTACAAGGTAAACCTTTCAAAAGAACTGGCAAAGACTACATTTTATTTTTCCATATTTGTGGTGCAAATTAAACTTGTGAAATTTCATTTTAAGTCCACATAAAATGATTTAGGACCCATCTGAAATACTCCCTCCGTTCCTTATTATAAGAGACATTTGATGCTTATGGCATGTTCCTATATATAAGAGACACTTAAAAGTTGTCTCTACTTTTTTGTGTTGATTTCCTATTTTACTCATATCTATTGTCTCCAACTCACACTCTCTCTCTTTCCCACTTCTCTTTCTTTTAATAATTTACCATTGTTCTCTCTCCTTATTAATGAGGGTATTTTTGAAAAAAAAATTATACTTTTTACACATTGATTGTTCTTAACTAATTTTAACTGTTTTTTTGATCAACGTAATTCGGTTATTTGTCTCTTATAATAAGGAACGGAGGGAGTAATTTATAAGCAGTTTTTTAATCGTAATTTGACAAATACGAGATAAATATATGAAAAGAGTTTTATTTCGGTTTATGTAAAACATGCTTATAAGCATTTTTCATTGCTATCCCAAACAAGCCCTTGGTTATCGATAAAATTGGATCATAAAAATAATCATAATTTTTTTAAAACGCATGTTTAAAAAAAAAAAAAAGTAACGATTCTATTTTTGTGGCTTCTTGTGGGGAAACACTTTGTTGAATTTGAAGAACAGCCAGTGAAGTCCGCAGAAAAAGTTACATCGCAAACTGATTGCCAAGTTGGTGACCAAGTATGCACAAACTCACTCCTAAAATGCAGTTAATCTTTTTTCCATTTTAAGTTATGTTGCCTATATATCCAATAACTGATCTTTTTCAGTCGATTTTACAATCACCATTGTCATTTTTCTTGTCCTTGTCTCTTTGAGTTTCTTCTTCCAACTCTGTCACTATGGCTAACACTAACCTCGCCAGAACCATCATTGGAGTAATTGGTCAGTCCACCAAAAGCCTCTTCACTCAAAAAACAGAGCTCTCCCCTGTTTCTTTAATCTGATAAATAATTAATCACAGATTTATTTAATTTGCAGGAAATATCATCTCCTTTGGCTTATTCTTGTCTCCTCTGTAATGTCCCTATCCTAAATGACTCTCTTTCTCTAATCATAAAACTTGTTCATAATTTATTATAGTTTGACATGATTGTTATTAATGCAAACGCAGCCCAACGTTTATGAGAATATATAAGGCAAAATCGGTGCAAGAGTTCAAGCCTGATATTTATCTGGCCACAATAGTGAATTGTTTAATGTGGGTTTTCTATGGATCTCCACTTGTGACCCAAAACAACATCCTTGTCCTCACCACTAATGCCATAGGCTTCGCCATTGAGGTCTTTTATATTCTCATCTTCTTCGTTTATGCCCCCTGGAGCAAACGTGTAAGTCCCAGATCATTCACTAAAACCATAACACTTAATCTAATCACGCTCTGTTTTCCTGGTTGCTGACTAAATTAAGTAATCCTTCTCACCTAATCTCATTACGCTCTGTTTTTCTGGTTGCTAACTAAATTATGTAACCTGTTTCAGAGAAGGATCCTATTCATCCTTTTGATCGAAGCAGTATACTGTGTGGTGTTGGTATTCTGCATCCTGCACTTCGTTCCCACCCTCAACCAAAGAAAATTGATTATAGGGGTTATTTGTATTGTCTTCAATATCCTTATGTACTTTTCGCCCTTAACAATCATGGTACGCCTTTTAATTGTGTTGTGTTATTAACTCTGTTTTCTCGTATTCTTCGTATCTATGTTTGTTTGATATGTTTCTTGTAATGAGCAGCGTTTAGTGATTAAAACAAAGAGCGTGAGGTATATGCCTTTCTTGATTTCGCTTGCTAATTTCGCCAATGGACTCATCTGGGTGATTTATGCTCTGTTCAAATTCGACATCAACCTTGTGGTAATGTGCCTGTTTCAACCTTAACATTTCAGTGTTTCATGGATTAATGTCTCTTTTGAGAAATTTTGAAAGGGATTTTTAAGTTTCATATTTGTGATTTCTTCAATTTCATCAGCTTCCGAATGGTTTGGGAGCACTTTCTGGACTGGCGCAGCTAATCCTCTACGGCATTTACTACAGAACAACCGATTGGGGAGACGAAAACTCACAAATCGCCATGAGCAATGTCTAATTAAGATTTTGGTGCCCAGAAAAACTGAGCATAGAAGCAAATCCTCAAAGATTGTTTCACACAATTAAGATTTTGGTCTTCCTTAGGGCTATGCTTCATGTATTGACAACGAGATCCTATCACATACATGCGTAACAGTTCTGTAAAACTGTGTAGCTCAAATCAAATTACAACAGATTTTTCTATTTATATAGCACAATGGCTCCCTCTATTACAAAGTTTTCAAGTGTACAAGTGATCATACTGCTAAATGCAAATCACCTCAATGATGAGTATCACATTACAATACGATAACGATCATACATAGCTACAAGGACAAGCTCAAACCAAGGGAGAAAAAGGGTAAGAATCTAAGGAAAAAAGGGATGGATCTCGCGCTTCCTATACCTGTTTACTATATATTTCTGCCTCAAACTTGGAAACCGTTTTCTATTTTCTCGCCATAGATACAGATTGATTCTAAGGACATGAAAATCACTATACCCAACCAATCGTTCGTTGAAAAACTATAGGTCATGGTCCTCTGTACTTTCGGAAACAAAGACAACCTCGTTGTTGGTCGCGGGGGATCATGCCTCCACCTTTTGATGTGTCAATGGCTTCTAGCAAGGAAACCAACTCATCCATCTCAGGTCGCTTTTCAGGATTGGCATCCCAGCATCTCTTCATTACATTTGCTAGAGAACTTGGGCAACATCTTGGGATCTCTGGTCTCAGATTCTATGGTTCCCAACCAAAAAAATAACATTATCAGACTAGATCAACAATCACAAATTGCTCAAGAGAGATAACCGATTTGAACAGAAAAGATAGTTTACCTGACGAACAACAGCTGTGGTAACCTCTGAAAAACTTAGGTCAGGGTATGGCATGTCACAACAATATATCTCCCATAGACAGATGCCAAAACTGTACACATCACACTTCCTGTTATAGGGCTTGCCATTTAACACCTGGTTGACACCGCCACAATTGAAAAATATGTGAATAGTCAACTACACAAGCTCTCTCTTTAATTAAATTTAAAGGGAAAAAATCCTCTTAATTTTCTTTTTCCTTCTGACATATTCCTTTCTACCACATTAAGGCCGCCATTTAAGACATAACTTACGTACAACTATTGAAGTGGCTGTTAACAGTTCTTCAATAAAGACCTTTCTTGAAGAAGTAATGATGTTGTGCTAAATCAGATATGCATCCACGTATTATAGTTACATTAAAAAATCTGATAGTGATAACAGCTATGTAAATAACTGTGCATAAATTTTTCATATGCAAGTTTTAAAAGTTTCTATAAGCTACACACCTCCGGAGCCATGTAACCAAGAGTACCAGTCTCTCCTGTCATGTCATTAGGATTTGAAGCCTCAACACGTGCAACCCCAAAGTCAGCAATTTTAACTGTACGTGACTTATCCAATAACATGTTCTCTGTCTTCACATCTCTATGGACAATCTTTTGAGAGTGGAGATAACTCAGCCTGCAAAATCAAGTGAACTATTTCCATGGTCATGTAAGAACGTTATAAGGATAGTCCTTGTTATCAAATTGCTGAACCATTGCTCTAAAGAAAAAGAATATTGCCAAGTAAAATACCCTCTCGCAAGATCTAGTGCAAACTGGATGACCACCTTGAAAGTTAACTTCCTTCTCCTATTCTTTATTAGGTATGATTTCAGTGAACCCCCAGGAAGATACTCCACAACAACACAACAGATATTGCTTGGCATGCTGATTAGCCCATTCTCAGTTTGTACCTGTAGTTCTGATGACCCCATTGTTGCTCCTATAAACTAAAATGAAAAGAGCAAATTCAGTAAGAAACCAATGATAAAATAGACAACAGCATAATGACCCTTCAGAAAACTACAAGCTATCCTAGATGGAATACAAGTGAAAATTCGAGTGGGGGAAGGGGCATTATTCTGGCCTCCTCAATATCTGGTTATCTGCAGGCATTCTTTTGTCCAAGAAAAGTGTTGAACAAAGACCAAGAAATCCACTGACCAATGTACTTTCATGTAATGAAGATATAAGACATCTTTTCTCACAGTCAGAAAGGCGGAAGTTCATTAAGGAGGAGAAATGTTCATAGACTGTCAGATTATAAATGAAGACAGCAATAACCAAATTTTATATCATTCCTCTCCGAATGACGAGATTTTTCAATAAGATGCATAGCACCATACGGAATACCACAACAGCAGGCACTCTGCAAACCTCATGCTCTTAAGCTATTGATTGAAAATTTGAAATAAGGTAATGATGGCACTCAATGGCAGATTGAATTTCGTTCCATAATTGCAAGCAAAAAACGTTCCAAAAGCTAATGTTGATTTCGAGTTAAATGTTGCATTTGCGAGGAAGGAAGATGAAGCAACATAGAGGACGAATGAATAGCCTTCTTTGCTACATCAATGCCCACAGGCTTGACCAACAACAACAACAAAACAAAGTAAAAAAAATTGAATTTTCATAAAAGTATAACTGACCTTAGTGACATTGGGATGATCAAGTTTATGCCAAACAGCAACTTCCTGTATAAATGCCGCCCTAAGTGAAGCAATTTCAGCTTCTGTCCTTTGGCCTTCTTCACCCCAGTCCAGCAATTTAACTGAGCATAACGTAAGCGATCAAAATGGTTGCTATCAGTTACATGCAGCAAGTTAAACCGCCAAGTTAATTAGAATAGTAACCAGGCAAATAATATCTTATTCTAATATCCAAATTAATGGGCTCTGTCCTGGATTAAAAAAGAAAGTCAATATGGACACCAAGATATAGTTTTTGAACAGGTTTTTTATTATATCAAGAAGGCCCACAGACCAAGACCACCAACTATCGATTTCTGGCTACGTCCAGGGAACCAAGTCACCACAGAGATTCAACAGTTGACCCAGTTCTGAGAGACTTTACGGCATTAATTGAATAAGTCCTCATTACTTGTATACTCTTTCTGAAATTTCAATATTATCCAGACAGTTCGATTATATACAAAGTGAAACTCGCCACTAAAACTTTCATACCAATACCTATTACCCACAAGTTCACATCACATGATGTTTCAGATGCAAAACATCATCCAGTTGTTGTCTCCACAATCTCAACCCGAGTCCGTGTAGGACTCGCGGATTACATAAGACTGAATCCAAAACATCATATCACCAAAGCATCGCAAAAGTCAACTCTTCCCCAATGAAAAAATTATTTCTCCGCCATTATGAGGGAGAAGAAGCGAAGCCAAAAATGACGAATCCCCAACGCCCATCAGAAAAAATCGAAATGGTAATTTTGCTGAATCGATTCAGAATAAACTGAAATTGCAACAGTCCAAAAAAAAAAAGAGACATTGAGAAGAACAGGGGGAAGTCACGAGAAACATCGACTCAAAAATCATCGCCAAAAAGGGTGAGGAAGGAAGCGTGAAGTGGAAGTGGGACTGACCGGCGACGTCTTGGCCGTCGTAGACACCGCGGTGGACGGTCCCGAAAGTGCCACGAGCAATAACTGACTTGATGATGAGCTTGGAAGGGTCAATCTCCCAGTCATGCCTTTGCTTGCTGAAGATGGGCCCAGCCTTAGGTTTGATGGCCCTAGGGCTGATAACAATATTAGTAGCAAGATCATCTTCCTCTTTCCTCTTGTTCTTCTCCATGGTCAATGCCTTGTTCATGTGTCTCTCTAGCTGTTCATCTATGCTCTTGAGATCAATCTGATCCGCCCTCACAAACCCCTCGCCCCCCTCCTTCATCTTCTTCCTTCTTCTTGTTCTTCCTTCTTCTGCTTCAACCTTCTTCTCTGGGTAATATGGTTTGCAACAGAAAGACGAACGAACTTGAGTTTTGATATTGAGATGCTTCTTCAGCTTCTTCGTCTTCCAATCATCAATCCTTGTGGGCACATGGAATGGAATTGCCTACGCATAAACTAGAGCTTTCACCCACTTGCCATTCCCCTCTCGTCCTCTTCGTCCCTATTCATCACTATATATACACAGACAAATAACCATTGACTTCCTTGTGGCTTTGGGCTTTTTAATGTCTCCCCTAACCAACGTCTTGCTAAAAACCAATCTAGTCTTGCCCTGCTCCTGCCTTGCCACGTGTCCTCTTGCTGGAAGAAAATAAACCCCGAGATACACTTCTTCTTCTTCTTCTTTTTTCATTCAGGCTTATTTGTTTTACCATATTGATTAATTTCTCTTGATGGCGTTATGAATTTTGAATCGAAATGTTTTATTTGATTATAAATAAACAAGATAAATTGAAGTTGGATGCCATAGTCACTTGCGCAGTTTCTGGATCATGAAAACAAATGATATAGACAAGTCGTTGTCATCAGCTATCGCAATAAAATCCCAACAGTTTCTGCGCAAACAGTGTGCTGTTACTGTTTCTGTCCTTAATATAAGATCTTATTTAATTTTTATTTATATATAAGACTCTAATATTTTATATTTCATATTTATTTTTTTTAAAATAACCCTTCTAATAATAGTAGTTATAGCCTTTGATTAGTACAGATATTTTAAGAAATATAACACATATTTATGATAAATAACTAATTTAACTTATTTTTTTAATCTATTTAAATTTATCAATTAGTTTTTATATGTAGAACTGAAACCCTAGTAATTGTCAAATTATCAATTCAATCCTCCACGTGTGAACGTACTTTCTAAGTTGGACCAAACAACCTAACTTACATTAATTGTCAGGCTTTGTTTTTTTTTTATTTATATAAATAGAACAATTTTGCGGAACGACGTTTTATGGGGATGACGAGGTTTTCTTTTTTTAGCCCACGGAAAAATGTCATATTTTTATAATTTTATAAATATGATCGAAGGATTGGTGCGTCCGTTTGGATAAATAAACCACAAGATTGCCTGATTACTATAGAGTGGTAATTTCATTTTGAAGCAAAGTTGGTGACATATGCAAAAAATAAGTAATTAATTCTGAAGGCCTTTTTTTTTCCCTGGACAGCCTTAATTTTGAAGTTTAGCATCTTACTTTTCTAACTTTCGGTATTATTGTATGATGATTATTATTATTATTATTTTTTTACCAGCATTGTATGATTATTATTATATTACTATTATTATTTTCGTCACACAGAGGCATCTAGTAGCGTGTATTGGTCGCATGCAAACATATATGCACGCTAACTTTTTCCCGATTTGCGAAGATTATGCAGTGTCCTGTGCCTCCATGAATCAGCTTCTTTCCGTCTGATGAATATTTCTATAAGTATAATGGGGCCACGAAAGCTCCCTCTAAGTTGACTACTATTTCTAAAAACAAACGAATAAATAAATATATAAATAGAATGCATAATTGAGGAAGGTTGGGGGGAGGATGACGGTTGACGGGTCAATCACGGCTCAAGGGTCAGGGCAACCCGACCCATGCGCCAAAGTCCCCCACGCCAATCCCATCCGTTTGAACTCGGGTGACGTGGCAGTTGATCAGTGATCATCCCCGATAAGTCTGAGTCACGACGCAATAGTTTTACAAATTCTCAACAAGCAAACAAACAACGCGTGCACATTCTGTTGTAACAAGACATTCTATTCTATGGTCCTTTTTTCCTCCTGTCCCCACACAACATCGCTGAGCATCTCATCCACTCCGCGCAAACGGCGCTGTTTATACCGTCTTTTGTAACGTTATTATCATGTTTTTTTTAAAATCTTTTTCTTGCTTTATTCCTTGAGCCGATCGAATTTGAAAATACATGGAAACTTCAAATATTTTTTAGACAAAAATAATTCTGTTTAAGATACTGTTAGATACTAAACATGAGCACGTCTCGTAACAAGAATTCAAATCTTAGTTGGAAACTTAAAATCAGTCAAATACCAATCTAAATTTACTACGCATTTCAGAATAATGAATAGAAATTGGAAGAATTGGGCTGGCCATCACTGACTTGGGCCTGCAGATGGATCCACTTGGACCAAGTCAAAGGGATTCTTCTGTACGTTGCTTTACCCCTCTCTCTACAGTACCCTCTCTGTCTCTGTCATCCATTAAACACCTATTAATCATGGATCCTGATCATTTCTGACATCCAAGCCACCGTGCAGCGACAGCGAATTAATTATTCCATCCCACTGTATAGCCCATCACTCTGTTTTCCATTTTCCATCCGGCCAGAGACCATTATTCGGGTCCCTCAAATCCCAAAAGAACCAGTGGCTCCGCCTGGACGGCAACCCGTAATATTATTAGTGTCGCCGCATAAGCTTCTCTTTTGTTTGTTTCTTATTGGTTGCTTTCACATTTTGAAAATGTTATGGTGCGCGTGAATATACAAGGTAACCAAAATAACATGCGCGTGTAAGCGGGGAGACTCATGATATGAAGCTTCAAAGTAGAGCAACATTTTTCATTCCGTAAGCTCCCCGCCTTGCGGCCATTATTATTATTGAGCATAGCAATACGTGCAAAAGTCGCTTTACCACATCAATTAAAAACAAGGACCAAACATCATCGGAATTAGACCCAGATAGATAGATAGATAGATAGATAGGTGGTTGTATCAACCACAAGGATGGGCCATGAAAGTGAATATAAATAAAGGGAGGGAGTGACTAATGGAGGAAACGGGGAAGAGGAGAGGATCACAGTGTCCGTGGGCCATTGTTGCTTCTGTCAGAATGACCATTGAGTTCAATATATTCCACAGTTCACTCCTCTGCTGCAACCCGCATCATATGCCATCAACGGTAGCTTTCATGCTCCATTTCTTGGGTTGCACCTAAAGGCTAAAGCTGCCCCTTCTGTTTCCGCTCTTTATACTTCTCACTTTAAATCGCACAATCACTTCAGTTTCATCACTCACCATAAAACCAAAATGCCTTTTATGTCCATCCCCTTTTGTTCTTTGCCATCGCTAACATTGGCCACAAACATTCACGACCATTAAGGATTGAACAATTTAACAACAAACCCAGAAGCCATCCAGCTTACAAAATTTACTTCCAAAAACAAAAAAATATAACAACAATAACAGGGAACGGAAAGGAAAGGAAACACGCCTTTCAGACTCGATCGGCGGTGGTCCACGTCACGTCGTTCTCGAATATCCAATGGCACACTTCGGTTTTCCCAGGAGCGGACCCCAGGGCCAGGAAGGCCCCATGCGTTGGGCCCCATGCTGACGTGTCCAGATGACATATGGCGACCCCATGATTAATCCTGGCCTTTGTATCCGCGTCAAGAATATCAGCTTCATACACTCTTACTTTGGGGACTGAGTGGCAATAATACAATAGGTACGGGTACAAACTTTGATGGCAAGAAACTGATTCCGTCACTCTCCCGCCGTTGATCGCTCTGACTTTTCCGATCATCACGCTCCTGCTTGACCCGTTCACATTCTCGGTGCTCCTCACCACCACCTTGGGTCCCAGCACGGACACGGCGAACTGTATCATGGCTTCTCCTGACCCTACGCACCGTTTCGTCTCGCCTCGGCTCGGCGCCCTCTCGCACTCTGCTAAAGCCTGCACAATCACGCGCTCCATCGCCGACCCATCTCTCGCGTGAAACACTTGCTTGATCTCGCCCAGCGACGGCGACGAGAATGGTAATTTTGATGAAAGAGCCTCGGGCAAAAACGACCTTGCAGGCATCTTGTCTCTTATGTCGGGCATCACCATGACATTTCCTTCCTTGATCATCGACTCCCTGAAAAATTTGCCTGGCTCAACCGATTTATTTGCTAGCCTGCCACTGGAGCCGCTGAAGTTGCGATACCCCGAAAACGACACTCCCTGCTTGGCATAATCTTTGAACGTCCGACCCAACCCGTATGTCTTGAACCCGATCGTGGACCGACCTACGGCTCCCTGGCCGTATTCCTTGAAGGTATCGTTACCAACGTTGAACGATTGCCCGTAGTTCTCGAAACTCGCTGAGCCCGAGCTAGATTTTGCAGCGTAAGTCTGGAAGGAATCCTCGCCCACATTTGCACCGTTCCGATAACTCGTGAATGCTTGGGATCCGGATACAGACCCGGTGCCGTAGAATTTGAAACCGGCTTTCGGGTTGTTGCCCGAGGAAGCGTAGGACTTAAAGGTGTCGTTTGCTCTTCTACCCGATTCGCCATAACCCGTGAAGTCGGATTGCAGTATATTGGCGCTAACCGCGTAGTTAGTGAAATCCCTGGGTCCCGCTTGGCCTTTCTTGCCGTAACTCGCGAACGATTGGGTACCAGAGTTGGTCTCGTTGCCATAGCTGGAGAATGACAGCTGGCGGTTGTCGGCCCCAGAGTCGTAGGAAGTGAACCGGAGATCGGGAACGTTGACGCGCTTGTCGTAGTTCTTGAAGCTACCGGAGCCGGAGTTGGCTCCGGGCCCGTAACTGGTGAAGCTGGTATCTGCTACATTGCCGTTTTCTGCGTAGTTCGTGAACTGCTCGTTCTGGCGGGTCGAGCCTGGGTTGTATTTTTTGAACGAATCATTGATGTTGTTCAAGCCGCCTGAATAGTTCTTGAACGATTTGACTCCGCCGACTTGAGACGATCCGTAGTTTGCAAATTGTTTGTTGGAGTAGATGGCGAAGTTGGCGTCGGTATTGCTCGTGCGATTGGTCGCATCGGAAAGTTGTGGTGATGAGTCGAACGAGCAATACAAATTGGCTAAGGAGCAAAGTGAATCGTAGCGTGAAGAGAGGGTTTTTTGGGAGCCGAGCTTTGTGAAGAGGGCGTAGTCATGAGGGGAAAGAGGGGAGGCTCTTGCAAGCAGGAACTGCGGGACTGGGAGGTTGCTGGAGACGTGGGTTTTCCAGTAACGAACCAGTGAGGATCTAGGAGTGAAAGGATTTGTTTGTACGGAAAGTGTTTGCGAAAATGCCTCGTTGTTGATCGCTTGACAAACCTGCATTTATAAAGAAAAACCTTACACTTTCAGACAAAGGAAATTCACAAAAATAAAAGGAAAAGGGTAATGCAGTATATGGCGTTGGCTAGACACATTCAGAAAGATTAAATGCGGATATAGGCTGGTTCTTACATGGAAAGATGAGAGTGACAAGAACAGGAGGATGAATTCAGAACTCATGTTGAGCTGTGTGAAAATGCCAGGTAGAAGTGGCGAGGCCTATGGAGAATAAATAGACGCTCGGTATGGAGACATACAACAATATGCTGTTATTAATTTGGGTAAGTTTTGCATCAATAAGTAAGAAGGTTCTTTTTCGTTTTCTCCTGCAGCTAAAGATATGGGACATAAGCTTTTTAAAAAGAGCGTGAGAGCTTTTTCCCTCATTGAAGTTGTTTGTCATTATGGTCCCTTTCTTCCCAAGTGAGTGAAACATTGGCAGATGCTGGTGCAGACTTGTTCCTACTGTGGAGGATGAACGTGAGTTAGTGGAGCTTGAGTGGGTTTCTTTTCTTTTCCTGGAGAAAAAATATCCGAGAGTTTAAGTTGTTTTTCAAATCAACAGATTAGAATTGACAAATGGGGAATCTGGCCATTGTTAAACTCCGAACTGAGAGATAAACACATGCTTCCTTTTTGACTTTAGCCGGCCATTAATACTACACAGCGTGCAGTGCATTTATGGCCGACGACTAGCTGACCTAGAACGGCGCCCCGCACATGTCGTTTATCTACCAATATTAATTTGAAACCATAGGTCAAGTGGTGTCCGGTTACAGGTACTCTCAGTCAATCATCCTTTTTATTTTAATGCACACTCAGAATGAGAATACGTCGGGAGCATTTTAGAGGTAGTTAATATTGCACAAGTTGTGCAAGACAGAGATTAACGGATATTATCAATTTAATATACAAAATACTCATGAAGTGTGAGAAACACGAGCAACATTAGCTTCTTATGTTCTTGTCGTTTCTTCGTGTTTGTGTGGGGTTTTGGGCTTTCCGGGACTTTTTGGGCAGAGGCCTGAGAAAAATATACTAAACAAAAATTGTAGTGGACATAGCTTCCTGGCTTTTGTGGCGTCGAAGGATAATGAGTATTGGGATATGGGCTTGAAGATGGTGTTCACGGGAAGCGATGCACTCTCCCTATAGAATACGCAAAACACTAGGCAATTCACACACTTTTTGTTTTTGTTTTTTGGGGGGGGGGGGGGGGAAGAAGGGGGGAAAACTCATGATTTTTTTTTTGTACAAGAAAAAACCGATGATGATTATTAATTGGGCATGTTATTGTGTGCCTGTCGAGAGAACATAAGTCCATTGGTGGTTGTGGTATGGAAATGAGTTATAGTGCTTTGATAAATTATAATCCCACTTCCTCCTATCTTTACTAGTATAAGTTGTCGCTAACCACTTTATTAGAACTAAAAGAAAATGATTGACTTATTGATTCTCCCTAAGAGAGTAAAAGTAATTTTTTAGGTTTACCTATATTTAGGAGTTTAGAGTAATAAAAATACTATTTGAAAAAAAGAAGTTATAATCCATTAAGTGACTTGTGTGTTTGTGTGTATGGAGCCATTAATTCCTTGCCTCCATTACAATGTAAGGGTGTTTTTTTTTCTTTTTCTTTTTTCCTTTTGCTTTTTCTGCTATGATAGGTAGTAAATGAATTAATTCTTTTTGACCAGCGATTTGCACTGGTATCGACTCGTGAAGGAAGGAGGAAAAGACGAAGAAATGGGAACTTGTGTCAAAAGTTGCTGGATCTGGAGAGTCTATTGGCTGAGCTGATAACAAAAATTATTGAATGCTTGACAAATACGAAAATATCATGTTCGCTTCTCATTTCTGTTTGAAAATGCCATGGAAGGATTTAGTATTGCCACATTCGGTCCCATCAAATAAAAAGGCGCTTTTTTTTGTCCAAAGTAATAATTAAGATAGTGGAGCTGGAGTGAAAGTGATGACAATGACCCACTTTGTAGTTCCTCAACAAGAAGAAGAAGAAGACACCCCGCGCAGTGCTGTCTCTTTAATTTGGAAACTCCACTACCGTGCTTACTGGTTGTAGCATTTACTTTGAGAAAAAAGACTGATACCGAATTGGGCAGGAACTTGTACTGCATGGGCTAATTGGATTCATTATGATTTATGACAACAAACGTCAAACAGGACTTCTATGCAAATTTATGAGTCCTTCCGCTAAAAAATATGATGTATGTGAGAGAGAGGATTTGTTTTTGTCCTCTTGATCCAAACATTTTAATGCATCTCTATCTGATCCCGCGGCTTCAACTCAAGCAAGGCAGGCTCTGTGTTGCCCTTACACACCTGAGTCTATAACAGAGTTGATAATCAGAACATCATTTATTTATTCCGTATCCATCGCTTCAGGCTTGTCTCACATTCAACTCCATATGGCCCGTCGCATCTGATTTTGGGGTATTTGGATGAAATCAAAACTATAATTTTAAAAGTGTTTTTACGATGTATGAAATAAATATGTGGAAGAATTTGTCTCGTTTTGCGAAAAAAATATTTTTGGGTACTTCCACATCTCAAATTAGATTTGAAGTCAGGATGAAATAAATTGAATGAGTACTTATTATTCATAATAATACACCAATATATTTCATAAAATGAGTGAGTACTTATTACTCGTTAATTTAACATACACATCAATTCTATCCTTTTATATTTTTAATAAAATAATTTAAAATATTTTTTGAAATGTCAGTTTTTTTAAGAAGTTTTAACTGTGGGTATTTTGAAAAATATATGCCATATTTATTATTATTATCTAATTTAATTAATTTTTTTTTAATGTAACTAAAATAGTTAAATAAATCCTATATTAAAAACAGGAGAAGTAATAATTATATTTTAAGCAATTCTCTTAAACCCGAACTTGTGTGAATGGCGAGATTTATCTGAAGAAAAAATGGTCACCCAAACAAGGCTTGCGCTCCGCTTCGAATCGAATTCAGCAGAAGCAAATCCGAAAAAGATAAAATAACAAACATAAAAAAGCGAACAAAAGAAGTTTCAAGTCAGTGACTGGACTAGCGTCGCAAGTAGCAAAATTCTTAACGGCGTGAGGTAACAGATCAGTGAACAAGTAGCTCAACACTTTTTTTTAGGCCAACCAAAAAGTAACTCCGCCTTGAAGTCAATCTTGTTGCCACTATTAACTTCACATCTTGATCAACTGTATTACTGTATCGCTTCGCTCTCCTCTCCATTCTCCCTGCACTGTTTGTTCATCTGGTTCTCGACCTGAGCCGATATCTTGGCCTTCGTTATACGATCCCATTCATGAAGGATTTGCCTCCGATTTCCCTTTATCTGGTTCATGCATTCGTCGCTGGTAGATTATCATCGTTGAAGGCTTCATTTTAGGGTTTTCCGGAATTGTTTGTCCTCCCCATGGCTATCAGAGGCGTTGATTTTAAGTGGTTTGTCTTAATTCTCTATCACATGCGTCCCCTTGTACTTCCAGTGCGATTGTACGCGCAACTTGTGTTTAAATTCTGATGCAAGCTTTGGTTTTTGCAGGTACGATGGTTTTTTCTTGTCCATGCTCGCTACCAGCGTGTATCCTTTTAATTTCGCCTCAAGAATTGAGGTTCTGGGTTCATTAATTATACCACTATTCCGCATTTCGAATTCGCACACGGTTTCTTTGTTTTTCCGCGCCCTCCCTCCCTCCCACACAGAAGATAAAAATTCCATTTGTTTTCTTAATTCATTTGATTTATAGAGTTATTGTCGCGATTAATTGGAAGCGGTATCATACCTGTACACACCCTTTGCACATATGGATTGTGGTGAGCTTCTCCTTTATGCTGTGCTGTTCGGTTTTCTATTCGAAGTTTATGGAATTTTTGTCATAATAATGTGGTGCTGTCTATTTCACTGTTCAGGTTGACTACTCTACCGTGTTTATCTTTCGGTTGATGATGTTTGTTGATAATGGACTTTCTGCTGGAATGGGTTTGTAAGGCCTCCCATCTTAAAATTTTGCGCTGATATATGATAAACACTTATGTTGAATTTTTCTTAACATTTATTCGAAGTTGAAATGTTGAATGAGCAGAATTTGCTTTGGGCTTATGCATCAATGAAGGAAACCCTGATAAAAACAGTATGAAAGATAAGGCGTGGAAATTCAGAATTCTCATTTCTTCGTCATGATCTAATTAACTGAAAACTAGCCCCAATATGAATGTACAAAAAATCTGTATTTTTTGATTGATAATGTTATGCACAAGATCATGGCATCATCAACTAAAAGCATGCTGATATTGATGTTGAAGTCAATCTACTGACTCTGCCACAACTGTATTTGATGTGATATGGATTACAATAGCACCACTTGGTTATGAACTGTAGAGAAGTTGATGCAATAGCCTAGTCATCTGCTTGAATATTCAATGCAGGAATGCCTGGAATGTGTGATGTGGAGTGAGATAAACCTCTGCTAGGTAAGAAAAGATGGGGTTTAATTGAGATTTGTGGAACATTAGATTTGGCCACGGGATTGTTATGCCTGGCAGTTCTATGGAGAAGATACTTCCAAAATGTGGAATTCTGGAAGTAATGCTTGCAGGGTTCAATTTTACTTGGCTTATTGCTGCATTTAAATCATTTAAATGCAAAGTCATTCATGGTTGCTTTCTGTCATGGTTGACTTCTAGGATTTTACCATACAATAAAATCCACTAAAGTATTTCTGGATCATTAATATTTAGTCGGCCAAAATGAAGTTCAATGATGTTATGACCAGTCAAATCCAGGCGCCGATTAAAGTGTTGCTTTCATTTTTCCAATTTTTCTGCCTTTTTTTGTAGAGACTTTGGGTGGCAGCAGAGATATGCTCGCTTCTGTGGAAGAGTAGTGGTCCTTTCAATCCTTGCTTTGCTTCTATATCCATTTCTATGGGCTTGGACTATCATTGGTACCCTCTGGTTCACTAGTGCCAGGAACTGTGTACGTCTTATTTTAATTCAAACCTCAGTGCTGTTTATGTAGAAAAGCTCAAGGCACATGATGCAAATATTTATCTGCAGTTGCCTGAAGAGGGTCAGAAATGGGGCTTCCTCATCTGGTTACTTTTCAGCTACTGTGGACTCCTTTGCGTTGCTTGCATGTCATTAGGCAAGGTTAGTGGTGCCCTATTATTACAAATTGGATGTTTAAGGATCGGGTTCCATGAGCAATGTTTATTCTGGCTCTGCATGTTATGCGTTGCTTACTTCCAGGGGATTATCTTCTGCCCCTTCCTGGGCATTGTTATTCATCTTTGTTGTCTGCAGGCTGCTGTTAAGGTATATGTTATTCTCTTCTTGATCTCGTTTAGCTTTTTTGTTGCAGTGGTTGGCCCGAAGACAAGCACATTTGTTACGTGCCCAGCAGGGTATTCCTGTGTCTGAATATGGAGTAAGCCTCACCTATGTTATACATGGCAGTATTAGTCGCATATTTCTTGGAAAATCCATACTGCTTACAGCATGAAGTTCCTCATTTTGGAGCATTTCTAACGTAATCTTGAACAACATGGATAGGAATTTCTCCTTTTCTTATTTTTATTTAAAGGAGAGGGACTGAAAAATTATTGTACTGTGTGCTATAGTGAATTTTTAGTCTATATCACTGCCCTGTATTGATTGTTGAGATTTGAAATTCTATCAATCCAGCATAGTATTGATGCTTGCTCATTGACAAATTTGTATTATGATCCTTTACTATTTCCTTTCTAGTTTTTATCATGATGTTTTACTCGCTAACTTTATTGTTTTGATTTGGTTTTTGGTAACCTCATCATTGTCTGCATTTTATGAATTCAATTATTCTGGTGACTGTGCTGGTTTTGATGCACCTTGTGATTTTTGTGGTACTGAGAGAAGTACTTCATTGTCATCATCATGAATCTTATGGACAATGTGTTGTTACCATTGTCTCCCTTCTGGCTTCTTTCCGGAGGCAATAAGATTAGTATTATTCTGTTCCTTCATTTCTTCATGGATGTTTCATATAGAGGATGTATTGGAGTATGGCTATAATTACGTTGTTACGCTTAGTAATCTAATTGTATAGTCATTTCTGATCTGTTTTTTCCTACTCTGACTATCAGACCGTTACAATCACTTTCTTCCTCTCTCTCTCTCTATAGATTCTGGTGGACATGATCCGAGTGCCTGATTGGGCATTTGAAGCTGCTGGTCAGGAAACAAGAGGTATGGGCCAAGATGCTGGTGCATATCATCCTGGACTTTACCTAACCCCAGCTCAGGTAATTTTAGTCGATATTTTGAAATCAACTTATTTTATATTCAAAACTTGTGCAAAGCAGCGGCATGTTACTTTACTCTGAACACTTTGAACTTCATCGCAAATGATCATGAATAAATTCTGCTGCTTAAGTGTTCTTCATGAAATAGTCATACTTTGCTAGTTTGCATATTTATTGACTTTCACAGCTGATAGTTTGAGTTCTTTTACGGGTTTGGCACAGAGAGAAGCAGTTGAAGCCTTAATTCAGGAGCTCCCAAAGTTCAGGTTGAAGGCTGTTCCAACTGACTGTAGTGAATGCCCCATCTGCTTAGAAGAATTCCACGAAGGGAATGAGGTATGCTTTTCAGTATTTTAAGGGTCTAAGCATAAATGATGCCTTAAGTTGTTTATCATATTGTTACTCAGAAACATGTTCTTTAATCAATTACTTGAATGGCTTGTGGGCCCTTTTGTACCAACTGAATATGTATACAGGGCAATGTTAAACAATTTAAATTTCAAATTGCTTTATATTTTCCTGTGTATTTTGATCTTTAATTTTCTGTGTGCTTCTAATTCTTGGAGCCATATACTTGTAAGAAACTTAAATGCAATAGCTGTGGAGTAAATAACGTTTTCAACTTGATGCAGGTCCGTGGCCTGCCTTGCGCTCATAATTTTCATGTTGAATGCATTGATGAGTGGCTTCGCCTTAATGTAAAATGTCCTCGGTGCCGCTGTTCAGTATTTCCAAATCTTGACCTTAGTGCTCTGTCCAATCTCCGTCCTGAATCAGAACGATCTTCTGCCAGTGTTGTGACAACAACGAGATATGTGAGGGGTCAACCTTCTAGTCAGAGTTATTTGTTGAGATTACAGGGTCTTCTTCGCCCAGTGCGTTCAGAAATTGCTGGGCCGGGTGGCGAGGTGGGTAATACTTTGGAAAATGCGGAGAATGGTAGTGTGCCTCAAGTGACACGAAATGCATCAATTAGAGGCCAAGGCCCTTCAGTCGAATGCATGCCCGTCAGTCTCTCCTCTGCACAAAACTAGATCGACTTTTTCATTACTTCTGTCATACTTTGAATCCATTCTAAGAAATTGAAGTCGAGTGTCCATATCTGGCCATTTTATGAAGCTATATAAAATGGTACATACATTCTAACCAGAAATTTTCGCATTTCATCATGATGAAATGAATTAATTTCCTTTTGGGGTGTTGTGAGGTAACAGAACCTGATAATATTAACCCACCGTACCCAAAGGGGGGTGGGGGGAGAATTCAGGCCTTTGGGTATTTGTGTTCTTGGATTTTCTCTCTTGGCTGACATAGATCAGAGATGCAGACGTGTAATTGTCTTTTTGTTCAGTGAAATGTAAAGAGTTAAAAATTCTCGTAGTTGTAAGCTGAATTTGGCCTCTTTTTTTCCCCCCTTCTTGCCTAACAGCCCCCCTTTTTATGTTCCCTTACGTGGAATAATTTCTTTTTACTTCAGGGCGGCAAGTTATTCTTGATAGATCGGCAAGTTGAAATTTTGCCTGAAAAGCTGGGTATGAAGGGAATTGGGCAACAAATCAGATCTTTTGAATTAATAAATTCATATTCATTTATGTGTTACCAGTGGTATTAGAGCCCGTCATTGTGTATTTCCGGAGGAGGATTTATTTATATTTCTTAGGACCCCAATTTTTTGTTTGTTTGACTTACAACTTCCTTTGGAATGGAGATAAGGTAGCTTTCATTATCCGGAAGTGATGCCATCGAAAATAATTCAAGGGTTATTAAACTGTCCGAATGGAATTTGGATTTTGGCCCATTCAAGTAAATGTGGTGTAAAAACCAGCTGGTGCCTGCTTCAGACACGTTCAGACTATGACTGCTAGGGTTCACAATCCATGGGCTTCCCTCCCACTGGATTCATTTTACACTAACAAATCAGATTTGGCCACTTGGGGTTGGCTCCCCGACAACCTCAGATTTGAGGAACGGAACACATGGCACCTATCGCTTTATTTCATATTTGCATGATTTTCTTACAGAATATTTTGACTTGTGGATGATGTTGGGCTGGGATTAATATAAATTGAACAATAGTAACATTTTCTGTCAACACAAAACAATAATCCTTTATTTTAGACGAAATTATGTTTATTGGCAGCAGTCCCTTTCAAGTCCATCTTTTGACCAATATTAAAATAAAATGCATACTCTTTTATTATAAAATATATTAATTCCGCTATATCAAATTTATTTACCCAAAAAAAAAATCATAATCTATAGAAATAGAAATATTTCGTGAATAATATACATTTTATACAAATGCATGATAAATACACTTTTTTATACGCACAATTTAATCTTGGTAAGATTTTTTTTATAGCAAGAAAAATTCTATAATGCGGAAATTAAATAAAATAGTAATAAATAACTATGACATATATAACTTTATCTTAAAAAATACCCCTCTTATTTTATTCTAATTTCATATTTTAACTTATTATTTTTAGCAAGTATCCCATAATCAATTTCTCCGGAAAGAAAACAAATATCCCCTGCCATGTAAAAAGAATTAAATCGATCAATCAATGAAAAAACAATTAATTCTTAAAACGGATTCGGCCATTATTTTTGCCACCAGGCATGCAGTTTTTATCGTCCGGCTCTTATGCCTCCGATTTTTTCCATCTTTTGGTCCACAATGATGACATATCAAGACAAAGTTTATCTCTATCCTCGCTGAGTCGCTGGTTGCTGTCACAGCGGAGTTAATCTCAGAAGACTGCTTTCCCGAAGAAAATCGAACCCTTGTAAGGAAACTGAGGCCTTACCTTAAAATAAACGGCGATAGAGTGATGGTGGTACCGGTGGCGAACACATGGGGAGTGGGACAAGCTCTCTCTAGCTCGCGACCAAGACCCTTCTCTGGTTCCGATGTCTATCCCAACCCAAAGAAATCAGTCGGCCTCAGTTTCGTTCTTGGTTGGGGCTGTGCTGTTCAAAGCAGGCTATCGATCTTCTCCCGTCGGAACCGCAAAAATTCAGACTTCTGTTGCCGTTGTGCAGCCGCAACACACAACAAGAACAACAGCAGCGACAATGGTAATGGTCCTTCTTCTTTGGATTGGGATTGGAATCGATGGAGCCGCCATTTCTCTGAAATTGAACAGGCCGAGAACTTTGCCTCTGTTCTTAAGGTACGCCTTTTGAATACTCATCTTGATTCATTTTGGTGCGCTTTAATTTCTTCAGCTTCCCTTTTCTTTTTTTCTCTTTCTTCCTTCGTTTTTGCCGTGTTCGGTGTTTGTGTTCTTTAGTTCTAGTTGTCTTTCCACCCTTGCTTTATGGAATTAGTATACATGTTATTTTGTCCGTCCTTCAACTTATCTGACTGGTCCTTTATTTTGTTGTGTTATTTGAGCGAAGTAATAATAAAGAACGACTAGTTTGCTGTTTGTGGGAAATAGACTACAAAAGCAAATTCCAAACGTAATTTGCTTAAGTATATGCAATCGTTCTATGCTTTTCAGTTTCAACTTGAAGAGGCGATTGAAAAGGAAGACTTTCAAGAAGCAGCAAAATTGAAAAGGGCTCTATCGGAAGCAACATCAATGGATAGTGTTGCTGATATCATGTCTCAGTTGAAGGCGAGATCACATTATAATTTATTAGAGACTCCAGACCTTCAACCTCTCTAATTATAGTATTGTCAATAATCTTTCTTTTTTTTTTGGTGTGAAAACATCTTTTTCTCTTTATTGCAGAGTGCCATAGATGAAGAGCGATACCATGAGGCTTCAAAATTATCTAGACATACTGGAAGTGGACTGGTATCTTTCTCAGTTGCTACTTCTGCCACCCGTCATTCTGCAGCATTTTTCTTGTAGTTTTTTATGATCTATTCTCAAGAACATTGGTTGATTCTTCCTGAAAGATGTAGTTTTGTTTTCCCCTTCCGTAATTATCTCTGCCTGCGGACAGCTGTAGATTTTGCCCTAGGTAAAAGCAGGAGTAATATTTAAGCCTTGATACTATCTCTGGTTCTTAATATAAGAGATTGTTTGCTTTTATTTTGGTCTTAAATATAAGACTTCAATCCACTTTACCTCTTATATTTATCAATTTTTTCTCAAAATAGTCCTTGTAATAAAGATAGTTCTAACCAATATACTTGATTAGCAAGGATATGTTAAGAAAGGCAAAACCTATTTATTACAAATAACTAAATTAATTTATTTAATATACTTAAATTAGTCAACTAGTTCTTATATTAAGGACCAAAGGTAGTATTAGAGATGTTTATCTTCCTTTTATTTTAAAAAAAAAAAAAATTTAGCATTATAGTGAAAATGAGTCAAGATTGAACTTAGAATCATTAAACGCTTAATTGGGAAGTGTTACATGGTAGGAGGAAGTCAACTTTACTGCTCTCAAGATTAAGAAGCTTTAAAAATGGGGAAATGGTGCCCTAAACTTAGCTATTGAAGGAACAAGGCGATGGTATTAAAGCTATGCTGCGGTATGAGGAGAATCAATGCCCACCTGGAAAGATGGCTTGTAGATAGTAGTATAAATGCATTGGTGCTTGTGAGCAATAATTATGGTCCTAACAGATATGTGATTGAGAATGACTATCTTAATGTCCGTTAATCATTCTTGTCATTATGTGCAGGTGGGTTGGTGGGTAGGCTATTCCAAAGATTCAGATGACCCCTTTGGCAGAATGATACGTATCAGTCCCAGTATGGGTAGATTTGTTGGCAAGAGTTACAGTCCAAGGTACAATCCTTCTCGTTTCCTCTTTGCCCTTCATTAATGTTTCAGTACTGCTTACTTTTGTTTGTTACAGACAGCTGGTCACAGGTTCTCCTGGGACTCCAGTTTTTGAGATTTATGTGGTGAAAAACGCTGATGACTCATATCATATGCAGGTAATATTCAAATTGTTTAGCTTGTTTGTTTTATCTTTTGGCCAATAAATGATGCTTGCTTTATATATTCTGTAAAATGCCACGAACATGAGTTACTAAGGCAGTCATAAGGGGTGCTCCCCGCCAAAAAAAAAAAACACAGAAGAGAGAAGTTTACAAGTGGAATAGTTGTTGATCTAATGGCTAGAAATGTCTCCAGGAATAGAGCGGAAAGATGAGCTTATAGGTTAAAACCTACTATATGTTTGCTTGTTTACCTCTGCCTACTTATGCTGACTGCACAGTGGGAAACCAATCATCTTAATGAAAATTTGTACCTGATGGGGATTTTCGCAAGCACAATCATGTTTTTCCATTGGCCTGCATTTATTGGGATTTTACTTTATTCATATCTTCCAGCTTCTGAATACTTCCGTAAGCAGTACATGTCATGTGTTTTGACAGGTGGTGTACTTGCGGCGAGCTAAAGGAAATTCAATGAGTAACTCTCCATCTGTGCCTGAGAAAAGCCCATCCAAACCTGAAGTTGAGAATGTTCCTCCAGTTGAAGTACAGGAGCATGAAGAGAAGGTTGAGAGAAGTGACGAGAAAAGCAGTACTATTGAGGGAGCAACTGAGGAGGGCATTAAAAATGTGATTAATTTTCTCAAAGAAAAAATTCCGGGATTGAAAGTCAAAGTCATGAACATTAGTGTTGAAGAGGAAGGGACTGAGGATAGTGATCCTGTGAAGCAATTGATGGAGGAAGAGAGTAATAAAACTAGCATCGATGAGAATCCTGAAGAGGATGTTAATAATCTGGATGAACCTGATGAGGTCACTTTACAGGGGGATAGTGATGCCTCTGGAGATGAAAAGGATTTGGATATGAAGCTTTTTATTGGTGGGGTTGTACACACTAATGAAGAAGCTCCTGCCAAAGATGAATTTACGCGTCTTCCAGCTGAAATAAAAGATTCACAAAGAGATTCTTTTGTCTTGCATATCCCTAGAAGAAATCTAGATTATGATATTAGAGAAAATAAATTATCCAATATCAAAGTGGCAGCTGTGGCAACACAAGGAGTCTCGGAGCTTATGCCTACTGATGTTGCTAAAGCATTTTGGAGTTCTGACAAAGTCTCTTCCAAGGTGAGATATTGTTAAATAATCTCGTTATTTATTTTCTGGTAAGTTATATACTAAGTAAGAAATATCTATTATGATTATCATAATTATGATATTATTTTTTGGTAAGAATATGAAGATTTTCATCATGATGAAAATGACACTCCCTGAATTTTCCTACAAAAGTATTCACATCCTATTTATAGACATGTCTAGTACTGAATGAGTGATGCGTTATCTTGATAAAGGCAGAACCTGTGGATAACTATATTATGAGTTCATTGTTATGTTTCTAAATAGTTTGACATAACTTGATTATCTTTGCCATTGCATATGTTCTAAGTAATCTTTTTCCAAATAAAACAATGACAGTGAGTTGTAAAATCATGGAATCTAGCCATGTATGCATCTAAAATTACCTAGAGATTATGAATTAAATTGTGGTTTCTGTCTGTCCCTCTTGTGAAATACTCTTGAGTTTTAGTTACAATGCCATGCTCTCCTTGATAATAAACGGAAAAATCTCGTACTTGATTTAGGTGTCCAAAAGTGTACGTGAAATTGTCAAACTTGCAATTAGTCAAGCACAGAAAAGAAGTAGATTATCCGAATACACGTCTTTCAGTCGGATTGTAACTTCACAAGGGGATTTAGACCCTTTTGATGGTGAGACTACTTGTACTTTGTTTTGATTATTTTCTTTGCAAGATGAGCCGAGAATGACTAAGAGAACGAGATGGAAATTTGCTGGTTGGCATGTAGGACTCTATGTTGGTGCATTTGGCCCTTACGGCACTGAAGTGGTGCAATTGAGGCGCAAGTTTGGACACTGGAGTGATCCGGGCAAGGAAAGCAATTCCTCAGATGTGGAGTTCTTTGAATATGTAGAGGCAGTGAAGTTGACTGGGGATCTTAATGTTCCTGCTGGCCAGGTTTTTGCATTTGAATCTCTCGATTCTTCTCATATTATATTCTCATATAATGTTTAAACATATTGATAAAATTAAAATTCGTATATTTGGTATTCAGGTGACATTTCGTGCAAAAATTGGGAGAGGCAATCGCAACACCAACCATGGGATGTATCCAGATGAATTAGGAGTGGTAATTACAGTTCACAGTTGGATATTGTGTTTTTGTACATATGGATGCATGCCCTTTTTTTTTTGGGGGGGGGGGGGGCGTATGGATGCATATTTATTTATAAATTTCTTTTCAAACCATCATGCTTGAGTTATGATCAATATTTGAAGATAATTTAATTTCATGCTTGCTGCTCTCTTTGTTTAAATTATATCTTTTTTTCAGTCTTGGGGTTACTCCAACTCTATTTTACTCGTAAGACTTGTCAATATTAGCACTTGGCATAGAAGGATTGAATTTTCCTTCAATATTGAATCATTTATGAATGAACAGGTGGCAAGTTATAAAGGTCAAGGGAGAATAGCTGACTTTGGCTTTCGAAACCCAAAATGGGTTGATGGAGAATTACTCCAACTTAATGGCAAGGTAAATTGGGAGTAAGATGTGTGGTAGGATTTCTTATGTGCTAAAGGCTCGGAAGTTTAAAATCATAGCAACATTGCTCCATACCGTTGAACATTGACTATTAAAATAGTAACATTGATCATTAACATTTTTAATGATAGGGGGCATATATTGCTATAATTTTAAACTTCTGGGACAAATTTGCACTAAAGAAAATTTCTAAGGCAAATTTACACCTTAATCCTAAAAAAATTTATGCTTTTCTCTATGAACCAACATGTATTACTGTGATTTCTTTTGACAGTTTTCCTTTTCTTTCCTACTATATTCAGGGCATTGGACCATACGTGAAAGGTGCAGATCTTGGTTTCCTTTATGTTGTTCCGGAGCAAAGCTTTCTTGTTATATTTAACCGATTGAAATTACCAGAGTGAGCTATAATAACCTAATCCTGTCATGATTTTTCTTCAACAATATGAGGCGGGAGTGGGGCACTTTGACGCTTGCCATGAGAGTATCATCTGAAACCTTTATGCAGGCGACTGTACTTTTTTTCTAGCCTTGTAGCCTTTCATGGTACAAAATATTCTTTCGTTCTTTTTTTCGGTTCTATACTGCATCTTGTGTATATCAGTTTTGCTTACAGACCAATTAGTGTGATAGGAACTCGGCAAGAAATTATAAGAGATATTTTTCTTTATACATTCTAGGTTATTAATGTACTTTTATCTCTCAAGACCTTTCTTGTGTATGGTGCATCTGAAGCAATCAACATGAGATTTTGGTTACATTGTTTCTTCTACTAAGATGGAAGACAAAAGCTCTATGTTCTATAAAAGAGATGGATATGCTAGTCTTATGGATTCTTCTGGAAGAATTCGCATGGTTAAGGAATTGTGATTGCAAAGTGACCCTATGTAAAGGACAAAGATGCTTTTCTTGTTGATAGCATAGGTGGATTCCTGCATGCATAGGAGAGGGCTGTGCTGAAGCATGAAAAGGTGTTTTTATGAGAAGTAGACCAGAGATTTGCTTTATGTGGCAAGTTGCTTCGCATGGTGGCAGTCATATATGAAATAGGATTATTTGTAAATGAAAAGGGTTGGAGGAATCTTTACAGCAGACGCTTGTCTAAAGTTGAGTGGGAACATATTGCCTTTAGTTCACTAAAGATAAACCCACTAACGAAGAAATCAAATCTTTTCTTCTTTCAATTTAAAGATTGTAGAAATTTTCTGTGGACCCAATGGCGATTTCTTGCATTTATTGTACGAGTAATCTGGCCTGATCTTAGCCATGTAAACTATGTGGTGAGCTTATCAAAATATGACAAATCAAAGGGCCGAAGTGTTAACAATTGGTGGGTCCAGTGTAGAGGAGGATTTCATGCAGCACATAGGTTGTCCCAATCATCAACCGCATCATTAGGGAGAAATTCAATTCAAAGACTTTAATTTAATGAAGTTAAAAGTAAATTTCGCCCCCAATAAAAGAAGGGTTATAATAGTGAAGGTAGGATGTTGTTACGATCAGCTCATGTTAAGCCTACAGGCAAACCTTTCATAAATTACTTAAGTAGAAAAATAGTTTTGACGGAGTTAAGGCCCTTGAGTATATTTTTTCCCATTATATTCATGGAAAGTGATTATTAAAAAGAACAAGTAGAAAAAGACACGCAGAAAGATTTTGTGGAAAAAAAGAAACATATACGGTGGGCTTCTTTTACTTTAAGGGCCAAGTTTATTCTAAATTGCGTATGGCTTACGTCAAAAATCGAAATCCAAATTCGACTGAACATGGACATCGACCGTCTTCAATATTTACAAAATATAAAAAATAAATTCACATAAACAGGAAAAATTAATTTAACAAAATAAAATTACATGTACAGATATTTTTGTTTAAAGGAAAATTCCTTACTTGGGGAAGCCACCGGATCTAACTGCAAGTATGAGGGAAGCAACAGAATCTGAATCAACTCAGTCAAGTTATCTAGTGCGCACACTCACTACGTTCCTGCCTTCAACTCAGCAGCAACATCATGCCACGTATTAACAATGTTCAAGGGTAACCACAGTGGCCTCATTGTGGCGCGAGATCATTTGTTAGCCTAATCAAAAAACTCTAGTCTTGACACAAACTAAGATTCCCTTTGTTGACGATGATGGAAGAATCGAACCATCGCGGAAATCGCCCACTCTAAATCGCCATGAAGCTCAAGCTTTGTGCTTTTGCTTTTTCTCTTTCTTTTCGCATCACCCAAACAGTCTTCTTTGTATTTAGTAGTTTATTATTCAGTTTCCGTGAAGCCGAATTTGTTTCTCCTGCTTTTAAAATCGACGAACTCAAAGGTATTTAACGGAACCGTTGTTGCAGAAATTTAGTGCTTCAACGATGAAAAAACAATCGTCAAAGAACTCTGAGGCCTCCACTCAGGTGGACTCGCCTCACTCTCCGCTTCGGTTTCAATCGCCTTTGCGATCCGAACAGGGCGACCCGCTTGAGTCACCTGAGTTCCGATCGCCGGAGAACTCGCCGGACAACTCTAAAGCTATTGTAGCCGTCAGCAAAGTCACTCAATGCTCTCCCGCCAGATCCGCCTTGCCTCCTTCGGACCACCAAAAGGCGCCGGAGAACGCACCTCCGGCGAGGTCCTCTGCTCCCATGATGATGGTTAATCGGGCCATGAGGGAGGAGCCTCCCCCGTCAGTGACGAAGGTGGGCCCCGCTAGCGGAGTGGGGCGTGCTGGAGAAGGTGGTCATGTTAGATCGAGGTCGGCGGCGTCGACTCCGGCGTGGTCGAAAAGAGACGAGATGTTGAGGAAGGCGGCGTTAGGGTTTAGGTTGAGTGAGGTGTTGCTTTGCCTGATTTCGTTTTCGGTTATGGCTGCTGATAAAACCCAAGGTTGGAGTGGCGACTCCTTTGATCGCTACAAGGAATACAGGTATTCTTCTCTTCCTTCATTGAAGCTCTAATAGCTAAACTTCTACAATACAAACATTTTCAATTTTTATTTGGGAGTTTGGACTGCTTTGAATGTCAATTTTAATATGAAAAAGAGAGTAAGAAGTCCACGTTTTCCCTTCGCTTGGCTTTTACTATTCTGTTTTAAAGTTCAGATACAGCTGAAGTTATGAAGTCTGACAATATTATGATGCGTCCCACTTTTCTACAAGGTTCCATTATTTACTTCGGACTTCGGTAACATAAACATTTCTATATCCATCGAACTGTCAACCGTTGACCTGCTTCTATCTTCTTGCCCTGTTTATTCCCAATTTCCATGAATTTTGTTCTTTGAAGCCCCCGTACCTCTTTTCCTAATGGAATGGCAGCATACTGTAACTATTTCCTGAAAAATATTTTTGTCCCCTTTCCAAATCTGGTTGTTGATGCTTCTATGCCAATCAGTATGGTTTATAATTAGTAAAGTACTGCTGGACACTACAGTAACTTTGCATTAATTCTACCTTTTAGTTCAAGCAATCTCAGAATTATTATAATTCTACCTTACCTTTTATTTTGAATATTGGGCACTCAATGATCCTGATTCCTGATTTATTTATTTATTTCACTATTTAATTTTTAACAACACTTTTCTACGCATAGGGCCATCTGCTGTTTGTTAGTATACGACTTTCTAGAGACTTACATTAAAGACATTTTACTAATCTAATTCCTCTTGCCCTGCATCTTAGCAGCGTTTGAATGTTAGCAGCTTCTTATGGTGAATTGTTTATAGGAATGCTCAGAGATAATATTTACCCAAATGGTATTTGGACGAACGACAATGACGGTCCCAGATATATGTTTGTTTCAATAGCTAGAATAACCTGCCTTTATTATTCATGTCAGCACCAAAATGCTAGTTGAACTGACAACAGTGATGGTCTTGGATTAATTTTATAGGACTGCTTTGTCCTTGTTGAATCCGTGAATCGCTTGAAACTCCCTAAAACAATGATGTTAAAGATAACAGTAAATAAGGACACCGTAACTGTATTTCCTCCCGCTGCTTCATGTTGAATTCTATGTTTTTATATTTTTCTCTCGCTCTCTTGGTTAGATTTTAATGACAGTAATTCTCATTTTTGGGCAGGTATTGTTTATCTGTGAATGTTATTGCCTTTGTATACTCAGGATTTCAAGCATGTGATCTGGCCTATCAACTAGTCACCGGAAAAAACATGATCAATCACCATCTCCGCTGTCACTTTGATTTCTTCATGGACCAGGCAAGTTAGTGGACTCAAAATATAATCATTAGTTTTAATTATGTCAAATGGTGGCCCTAAAGTTTAAAAATCTTCAGTATGATTACCATACAAGGTTAAGAGTAGCAAGAGAACTAGATAGAAGTGGGAATGTAGAGACCGAAAGAGAGGGAGGAATGAGCTCATCATTTATTGAGCTGTGTACTGCATCAATATCTTATATAAGTGTGAAACAGAACTAACTGACTGACTGCTTTGAGTTAACTGAGTTTTTAACAGAAGACTAACAGAATTTAATTAATAGCAAGCTAAGCTGAGTCTAGAAACTTGTAATAGGATGCTTTACACTAGTATCATTGTACCTCGAGAAGACTTCACAAACAACAAACTATTCTGTCACTGATTTTGAGCCACACCGGTGCCCGTGATTTGCATCACTGAACATTATGAGGTAGAGCGACATTTGAATTTGTGGGAATAACGTTGCTGTGACTTGTGACTTTGTGGTTGACAGGTTCTGGCATATCTTTTAATATCAGCATCATCATCTGCAGCCACCCGAGTTGATGATTGGCAATCAAATTGGGGAAAAGACAAGTTCACAGAGATGGCCAGTGCTTCCGTTGGAATGTCGTTCCTGGCTTTCATTGCTTTTGCCATTAGCTCACTCATCTCCGGCTACATGCTCTGTGCCCGTAGCTCCATTTGAGCCTCCTTCTTGTTGTCTATACGTATCCTCGAGTCTCTGCTTTTTTCTTCTCGTTCCCCAATTAATGTTTAAAGGGAATGGATCGTTCGAGGAAAATGTTCGAGCCCTTTTTTTTTGTTTTTTCCTTACTGTACAGGCACACGCATAAAGTTGCTAAGGTATTGTCTTCTTACAATTGGAAGGTGAAGGAGAAATTCCTGCTTGTTTCGCGTCATTTGTGTCTTTTAGGATAAAGTAATCATTACTTCATCAGAATCTTGATACGAATACAGGTTATATTCCAATCCCCATTACCATAAGGATACCAGAAAGGAGATCATCTTCTCTTTCCATTTGCATTTTGCAGTGCCACTCTGCATCTACGCGAAAGAAAAAGCTTGTAGAAAATGCGCTTTGTTGAATTGCTAAAGATACTGGCAGATATGAATTTTGGTATCTGGTTTCTCGTTCTCAGAAGATTTTTTTTTTTTTCTTTTGGGTGAAATCGTTCTTAGAAGATTGTGAGGGGAGGAGTTTTCTCGTAAAAATTGTGAATTTTTCTATTAATTGATAATTACAGTATGAAAAATCCATGTTTTTTTATACACTTCTTTTAATGCACAAGAAAAAACCATGTTTATGGAGGATTCGTCTGAGAACCTCTTTGGAGATTGACATCAGGCTTCAGCATGAGAGAAAAGGAGCGAGAAGTGACGGTCACTTTGTGAAGTTTGAATCCGAAAACAAGTAGGCTGGGCTGTGTTTTTGGGCCAATATTAACCTATCACGCACACTATGAGGACTTCCACGTCAAAATTTTCAACATTCCAGCAGGGTAGTTTAGCCTAGCGAAGGATGTTATTTCAAACAGGATTTCCTCTTGCAGGAGGAGGATGTGTATGCCTAAAAAAATATTTTCAACATTCCACATATAGGGTGTAGAGATCTTCTTTATCCTTATTGATGATTTGACTTAATCTTATTTGCGTGGTTTTTCTACAGCGGCCAAGCATTTAAAAGAGATCTGGAAAAACACAATTTGCGTATGTAAATTAATGACATAAAAGAGGCTTTGATAAACTCTTGAAACATTAAAATTAAAAATACATAGTTTCTTTTTTTTTAAAATAGGAAAAAAGGGTAGGGCACATATGATAAAATAATAACATAAGGGAGAGAGACGTGGAGAATGAATAGGAGAAATGAGGGAGGGAAGAGAGAGGTAACGTCTCAATCAAAGGAAGCAGAGTTGGAGGAGTTGTGTGTATGTTGGCTCAAATCTTGTGGGCTGTTGGGCCTCTCCCTGACATGCCATCCCTCCCACTTAACCTCTCTGCTTCCTCCTTCCTCTTCACTCATTTCTTCTCTTTTCTATTTTATAACCCCACCTTGTCTTCATTTTCCTTCACTCCACAGCCTCTCATTTTTGTCTCTTGATCCCAGTTTCATCACCAAAGTTATATATGGGTCCCTTCTAAAACAATTATCTACATTTTAGTCCCTTCAACTATGACCCTTTTCAGATTTATGGCCATTTCCCCTTGGTGTGGCATGTTTGGTAGGCGCAAATTGACTTCCTAGAAAAGAGCTCCTTTGATGAAGGAGGGAATGCCGCTTCGCTTCCCTCAACATACAGAAGGAAGCTATTTTCTTATATAGATAGTATTCTATTTAAGAAAAAAAATACAAATTCAAATTTTAAAAAACATATTTATTAGAAAGACTAGAAAGACTGTTGCGAACTTTCATTCTCTTTTACTTTCTTGCCTTTTCTTTCATCAAAATATTATTTCTGGTTTTAATTATAAGACAACATATAAACGAGATCTTATAATTAGAATAGGAGGTAATATATTTTTTCCCTTTAAATGGGCCCTTAATTAAGCATGTAATTGACAAGTTTGGAGGTTGGGATCAAAAACAGTTTCACGTGGTGACCTGCATGAACCCGGCTTTCGTCCTAACTTCTAATAACTAATGTTCACCTTTCAACTAAGCGACAAATATTGTTTACCCTCTTCTCTTTCTCTCAACTCTGAACTCAACCCAGGCCCCCCCGTGACCTCCTTTTTCTATCCTTTTCTGCAATCTTTTCACTTTGTTCATCATGTTTCTTCCAAGCCCTCCCATTTTTCCATAGTACGGATAAAGCCATCACATGATTTTCTAATCCCAATGTTGTTTGGGTGGGCCAAATGTACTGTTTTTTTTTTTTCTCTCCAAAACATAGGTATCATTCTATTCAAGACAATTCTATTCGAAGTATTATCAGGTACTAAGAGTTGACACCTCTCCCAATGAGGACTCAAACTTTGATTTGTCACGTTATAAGGAACTAGTCCCTTCCGCTAAACTCCATCCCTGTTGGTCAAATGTACTGTATTTAAATCTAATAAGATCCCAAGTTCTTAAATTGTAATTTTCTCAAAAAAGAAATCCAAAATGTTTTTAACCAGACGCCAAACATGATTAAGGTACCGCGAAGGGGTTCATTAAGTGATATAATTAACAATAATTGAGTTCAAGCGCCAATATTGTAATGACACGCGGCGTTTAACGTGTCTTTTATTGCCTGTGCTTTGTATTTTAAGATTGCACGAAATCTCTTTGGAATTACTTAGGGACAAAAGAAAAATGAGCCCACGACATCCATTCAGGTGACTTTATGATTATTGGAGAAAAATCAATATGACCTTTGATGACTACTTAATTTCCAACTACGTCACTTCATTTTTTTATTATTTGTTAATTTTCCCCCCATGCCTTACGAAAATAATGGCATTCATTGGAAGATTCAGTTTGATATCATTATCACCTATAAAATTAATATGTTATATTTTTTTTAAAAAAAATTAACACGCTTTTAATTTATGATAAGCGTGTAAAATTATTAAATTTAATAGAGATAAGGGCATTGCTTTTTTGCATATAAAGGTTGAACATCTGTAAGGATTAATCTGTGAAAGGTGGGTATTTTATTTTTTTTAGTGAAAATTAGTAAATTATTTTTCAGATTAATCTCTACAAGTTAGGATTTTTTTTTAAAAAAAATCTCTGCTTCTATAAAAAAATTGAGATAATCCTCTGAAATAAATTTAAAAAAAGATTAAGAGAATGAAGAAAATAATAAAAATCAATATGTTAATGAGTTATCTCATAAGATCTTCCGATAAATTCAATAAATAATGACATGCTGATATCCAAAGTTTATCCAAATACTTAAAAATAGATAAAATCCATCAAATTTAAGCACTCCCATCATTTAAATATATGGTCTTGTAAAAATTAAACCGTAGTAGCTCTAGGTTCTTCATAGAGAGAAAACAACAGAGCAATAAAATAGGAAGAGGGTGTCCCTAGCAGAAGAATAAGTGATAGATCCTTTTGAAAAAAAACAAGGGGCATTTCCAGAAGGGAAGGCCAAGAGTCAAAGAAAATTATAAAGGTGCATAATTAATCCTCTTTAATTTTTTTTCTTGTGTTTAATTCAGGTTTCCTTCTGCAACAATGTTTTTTCTTTTAATTTTATCTTGATTTACATGCTCGTTTTATTATTTATTAAAGGTTTGAACTCACAATCTCACTTTAAAAAAAGATTTAATAAATATGTTTGTTGCCAGTTGAATTGCAAGATACAACATTAATTCTTTATATTTCTTAGTTTCTTGACTTCATACGGTTGCATTCCATTCCAGTAAATGGTTGTTAGTTTTTTTCCTTATAATCATGAATTGATAATATGGATTTTGAAAATAACATTTTTGTTTTTGGGGGGGGGGGAGGAATGAATTTTTTTGGGGAAAAAAAAGAAAGAAGGAAGGTTCATTGGGCTTACGATTTAAAGCCTATGCAGCATCAGACTCCATTGTTGCATCTTAGGCTGATTGGATACCGTTTGGGTTCACAAGGTTTCGCTACAACATAATAAAATCTCCAACAAAAGCACATATTTCCAAAATTAATATCCTTTGTACAAAGCAAAGGCTGTATCAAATTTTACATCTTCCTCTGTTTTACGTTTAAGAAAAAGTAGATATGTGATATGTCAACTAAAAAGTCTTGAAAAAATATGTTTCTAAAGAAAAAAAAATAAGTATTTTATTCCAACTGTGTGTACTTTGATCTATAATATAAGGTATGTAAGTGTTTGCTCTTTGAAAATAAATACTTTTTTATATTATTAAGGGAAATTATAATTTTTGAAATACTGATCTTGCTCAGTTATCTTAGGGAAACCTTTTTTTTTTTTTAAACTGAATCCAGTTTTATTTGGAGACCACCTTTTTATCGAGAATTGGTTTTCTAAATTTATTACAATTTTAGGGGATAACTCCATTTTTTAATCTCATCATGCCTAACTGAAATATTCTTATTTATTCTGACTTTAAAAGTGAGTTTATGATATATACAACATAAAAATATAATTTTATGCTGTATGCGTTAACAATAAGAAAGGATTGAAAGGTGTGGAAGTCCTCATGACCCAGTGAAACCATGTTTTCCTTTTGTGGTGTAAGGTTCGATCTGCAGTTCTGAATCTCTCTTGTTTTCTTTCCATCCTCTTTCTTTTTTAACTATTAGATTAATATATTTTAACAGCTGAGATTTTAATTTTTATAAACTATTTATAAAAACAATTTTAAAAATATTTATTACATTTGTAAATCATTAGAATTAAATTTTAATAGAGTTTGTAATTTATTATGCATTTATTTTTATAATTTAATAATTTTCTAATAGTTAAAAAAAAGAAAAGAATGAGAAGAAAAGATGAGAGGTTGCGAGCCAGGTTCCATCTATATCACAAGTAGCTTGCCCTGTCAGGTCAAAATAAATAATAATAATAATTAATTAATTAAGAATAAGGAATTGAAAGATGAGTAGATAGATGTGGGGGGCACGTGGGGGGTGAGAGATGCGGTTAGATGAAGGCGTTCGCGTTGGAGTTTGACATTTAAGGGTATTTTTGAGATATAAAACCAAATTTTAAAAGTGTTTTAAATAAACATATAATGGAATTTGTTTTGACTTATGAAAAAGTTTTTTTTAAAAATATTTTTAGAGTTAGGCAAATATCCCTTAATTTGTGACACTTTGATATTATAATTAAAAAATAAAAAATAATAGTATTATGCTACCACAATTTTTACTATATAAATTTCATTTTGAATTTAAACACTTCAATCAATTTTATTTCTCATATTTATTTTTTTAAGTAGTGTTTATAATAATAGTAAGTCTAACAAACATATTTGATTAGCAAGGATATTTAAAAAAGACACATATATTTATTACAAATAACTAACTAACTAATTTTTTTTATTTTAAAACTTTCTAATTTTAAAAATAAAATGAAATTATTGGGATTCATAAATTAATTTTTTTAATAAAAAAGTGAAAAAAAAAAAAAAGGGAACGACACTTCCCAAGAAGAGAGAGGACATGAAGAGGGCCATAGGAGAGTGTGGGGAGCCCTTGAAATAAAATAACGGGGCTGCTGGTCCAGTGAAGACCGTATACGGAAGAGGACCATACGGCTTGTCCGACACTTCCCACGGATACCAACATCCCACTCTGGGCCCCACTCCCCCCTGATTCTTCCGTTATTACTCTCTCACCCCTCCCGAAATTTCCCCATTTCTCAACTTATTTTATTTAACTTCTCAATACTTACCCATTATGATTCATTTTCAAACACTCTTCAATGCATGCTTCTTCGTATTCTCTTCATTGTGTTAATTTATTGTGTGAAGTCATTGTGTATTAAATACCAAACCAAAGGTTTTTATGATTTAAATGAATCGACCAGCAATAATCAATTGTCAATTATTAAGGGAAATGATTTTTTTTTTCGTTTTATGAAAAAAGAACGGCAATCACATTTGGTTAGAGTGTGGCGGGCACGACCCTATAATTATTGAAGGCTAGAAATAATGGAGGGGTAAAATGGTAATATGGGAGTTAGAATGGAAGTGGTGGCATTTTGGAGGATATAGCTAAAGAGGAAGGGTAGAAATGGAATAGGAGATAGGAAGAGGGGTCATAATCAGAGCGACCCGGGTTGTCTCCACGGAAGTGGATCTTCGCACGTTGTGAACGTAGACCAGTGTTGTGTACTTAGAAATGGCCACCACCCAACACACACTCTTCCCTCTTTTCTTCTTCTTCCTCCTTACAAACTTCCTTCTTCTACTCGCTCTTGTCTTTCTCACACCCTATCCTAATCTCTTCTTTTGATTAATATTGACAAAAAAATAAAACTTTAAAACCAGAGCTTTCCTCTGTCTTCAGTTTCCTTCGTCTTGATTTCAGCTCTCTTAGCTTCAGGATTTTAATGACCCAGGGGACCAACTTCCTGACTTCTCTCTTCCCCACTGTCCACTGACTTGTAGGCTCTCTCTCTCCCCCCCTCCCAAAAACAGAAAATATTTTTCTCTCTTTCTTGGTCTCTCTATAATGCTAAAGGTCATCTTGCTTCTCTGATTCCTTCCCTTGTTTCACAACAGTATACTTTCACAGTGGTCGTTTACACAATTTTAAAAAAGGAAAAAAAAAACAAGATGAGGTAGTTTGGAGTTGATTAATTTCTCCTTTTTTGTTTTCCAAGTGCGTCACATACTAATGAGAAATATCATACCACTCAACATGTAGTTAGCTCGGGAAGAACTGTTTAACCTTTTCAAAATCAAGCGTGTTCTGGATCTACATTGGCCTTTAAGAAGGGTGGCTTGAAGGGGTTGATGATTGTGAAAAAGGGCTAACAATAACAACACTGAACCATGAAGAACTTTCACAGCTTCAAACAGATTCCAACCCCCAAAAGGTCCGGAAGGAGGCTGTCGCTTGGGGAATACAGGCGAGCTGTGTCATGGTCCAAGTACTTGGTCTCTTCAGGGGCTGCCATAAAAGGAGAAGGAGAAGAGGAATGGAGTGCCGATCTGTCTCAGTTATTCATTGGATCCAAATTTGCTTCTGGAAGGCATAGTAAGCTCTACAGAGGCATTTACAAGCAAAAAGATGTGGCCATCAAGCTCATAAGCCAACCTGAGGAGGATGCCGACTTGGCTGCTTTGCTTGAAAAGCAATTCACTTCTGAAGTTGCTTTGCTCTTTCGTCTGCACCATCCAAACATCATCACTGTAAGTTTGTTTCCTCAAACCATCCCTGTGACATCTTCAATGCTCCAGTTTCAATTTTTATCATCATATATTCTTCTATTTCTCCTTGTTGTGCTGTGAATTTCTTCAACCTAGCCCAGATATATGAACTAACTATAAGTTAACTGCAAAAGGCATGTACTTGGATAGAGTGAAAATTGCCAAATCTGTACGATGTATCAGTACATCCTGGTGGTATAAACTGAACCTAAAAGCCGGGAGTTATCTTTAGTTCGTTGTCTTGTCGATGTTGTGGCCTGTGGCTGATCAAGTATTTGTGTGAGGTGGACAATGTTGCCATTCTGGCTCATTGTTCAGCATTTTCCAGCAGCTAATGATTTCCTTGTGGCCCTGCAGTTTTTTGCTGCTTGCAAGAAGCCTCCTGTGTTTTGTATAATTACTGAATATATGGCTGGAGGATCACTGAGAAGTTACCTGCATCAGCAACAACCAAATTCAGTTCCACTTAATCTGTTTCTGAAATTAGCCCTAGACATTGCAAGAGGGATGCAGTATCTTCATTCTGAAGGGGTGCTTCATAGGGATCTTAAATCAGAGAACCTATTGCTTGGGGAAGATATGTGTGTAAAAGTAGCAGATTTTGGAATCTCATGCTTAGAATCACAGATTGGTAGTGCAAAAGGATTCACAGGAACTTACCGTTGGATGGCGCCTGAAATGATCAAAGAAAAGCATCATACCAAGAAAGTAGATGTCTATAGCTTTGCCATAGTCCTATGGGAGCTCTTAACTGGACTGACTCCGTTTCACAACATGACCCCAGAACAGGCAGCATTTGCTGTCTCACACAAGGTACCTTCTGCATTCGAATTTTCTTCATCATATGACACATATTCTCATTGTTATTGAATTGAACTGCCTTAGTTTCATGAGACTTTTGGTAAGATTAGTCTTAATGTTTACTCCTTAATAACTATGTGAGCTTAAGAAAAGTGAGCGTTCTTGTTCTGCTGCTGTCTACATTGTTGGCAGTACAAGGTTCTAGATTAAATCACTCACTTAGTGAGTATAAGCATATGGATATCACGAATTTATCGGTCTGGTTAATTGTTCCAAAAAGAAGCGCACTTTTGACTTTTCCCCCTCAGTCCTAATCCACTTGTAAAGCTGCTGGTAGTGGTGATGTTATTATCAGATATACTAGCTTACCTGTTGTTCAGGATGAAAATAAAAGATTGCTATCTTACATCTTTTCTGTTAATTTCATTAATCCATGATGGAGATACCAACCCACTTGAGCAATCTACGAATGAAATGCAAGTGAAAAAAGAACTTGTGCCACTAAAAAGGTTAAGATGAAATGAAGTTTTATCCATACGGACCATATTAAAGCACTATGGTAGCACCACAGAGGATTCATTTCATTCTCCACCTTGATGCTCTCTGTTCTTGCACATTCTGATAAAAAGACTGCTCGGTGTTATATCAGCAGTTTGTCTTGTGTGTGTGTAATCTAATATAAAGTTTATAGAAAGTCACAATATTTATTTAAAAGTTACGAATAGTGTAACTCATCTTAAACTCCCTATAAAGCAAAGGCCCCACAGTCTAGTATCTAGGTAGAAATTCTAAACCCTTTGCTTCATCAGTTTAGCCTGGTATCTCTGAACAAACAAGGCAAGAATTACAAAAGGTGCTAATTAAAACCAAGAGGAAAAATAAGTTAGACTTGGTCCTATTAAGTCAATCATCATTCAACCAAGTCTATTCATAAAACGACTCTGTGCATAGTGAAGTTGCATTACATTTCGAGGGTTTCAACATGAAACCAATGAAATTATCTTATAGTGCTGATATATTTTGCATGTGCATTTTTCTTACCTGGTATGATAGCATTTGACTGGGTCCTTTAGGTATTAATATGGCTGTATCTTTCTCAAATGTGAGCACCTCAACAAGATATTTCTCTGTTGATGATGTAACTGGAAAAAGAAAAGGCCTCATTTTTCAGTAAAGAAAGAAAATGCCTCGTTAATTACGGCTTTGAGTGCTTTGTCCTGTTTGAGATGTGAGATTTACTGTGTAATTTTTTCCACTTGTTCTTTTCTGTGTAGAATGCAAGGCCGCCATTACCTGCTGATTGTCCAAAGGCATTTAGTCATCTCATAAACAGATGTTGGTCAGGAAATCCAGATAAAAGGCCACATTTTGATGAGATTGTTTCTATTTTGGAGATGTATAGTGAATCCCTTGAAGAAGATCCTGAGTTCTTTTCAACTTACAACCCACCGTCTTCTAAATCTGTTGTCATGAGATGCTTACCAAATTGTATTAGTAGCCATAGATCATCTTCTTGAAAGGCTTATTATTAGGATGCTTTTCAGTTTGTGACGTGCTAATTACCAATCCTATGAACATCATGTATGTTCAACTCCGATATTACAATAGTCTTGTTCTTGGTTTATTTTAATGATGTTTTTATGCTTTTCTAAGAAAAGCTACTGATGGACATGGACTATCTTGCATATGCATCAGTTACACCTTTTGTTGAGTTATTTTTTTTAAAAAAAGAAAATTAAGTTAATTATGCATGATATTTTGCTTATTAAACGCAAGAAAGTCTAACTCTATGAAGGGAGACAAAACAAAAAAGAAAAATCTTAAAAATTTGCTTAAAATAAAATCAGAAGAACTGTAATTTAATTTTATTAGTATAGATTAGATTAAAAATATTACAAAAAAAAATAGAGAAGTCAATAAATTTGTGAGTCACAAGTATCGAATCAAAACAATATTGTAAAATGAAGAATGAAAAGGCATGTTGCTGAAATGTTTTGATGTAAAGATTTGTATTATATCAGCGGCAGCATAATTACATGATGATGATAATAATGTCATTTGATTTATTTCTGTACACAAAAATGTTTTTTTAAAAAAACAAGAAACAAGCGTAATTAATGGTAATTCCAAAGATGGGACTGCACTGCCAAAGGGTGCAAAATAATTGATTGAATGCTGAGTTGCTGAGTCAGAATTTTTGGTAATGTCCCTTTAAAAAAGCAACACAAGTGGGGCATTATCTTCGTTTCCCAGAAGTCTGTCTCTAAAAGACCTCTTCAATTATTGAGTTTTTCACATCCTTACACTACTCTTTGTTGTATATTCTCTCGCTTCTAAATATAAAACTTATTTATAGTATAAATTATATTATAAAATAAATTTTATATTAAGAATCAAAAAAATAATAAATAATAACACAATACTAATATGTCTTATTCTATATTTAGATAAGATGCGTTATATAAATCACATCTAATAAGTTACCCTGTTCTATCAATAATCAAATCTTTAAATAGATTATTGATTAAAATTTTTAGGATCTCTATTGATTAATTATCTAGTTTTGTAATGCCTAAATTCACTTGCCTCCGTAATTATCTCATCATAAAGCATAGTTGATTTAAAGTAAGTAGTGTGTCATTATAGGATATACTCCTCCATCTCGAAAATAATTACCGTCATTTTGATGTTTTGATCAAATAAACTGTGTTACAATCCAAATTATGTAATAATTTATTTATATATGTATATAATGCATGTTAGGTGATAATTATTTTGTGGAATTTATTCCACATATTCTTCATCTTAATCATATCCTCCGTATCGTTATCGAACTAACTGTCCCTTGAAGAGAAATTAAACGAAGCTTCGGAGTGGAAGTTTAAAGGAGATATGTAAACCTCATGATCGAGACTCCCCGTCTGTCTGACCGACCTCTTTTCCAACTTCGACCACTGCGACCAAGGGAGAGTGACCAGGGATCCATTTGTCTTTTTACCTTTTTTTTAAAAAAATAAAATGATTAAAATGCTGTTAAGGACAATATTAACATAATTACAATACAGTTTCTTTACCAGGATAAAGGAAAGGAAAATTGAACTTAACATAATTACACCATACTCATTCCAATTTATTTTTCAACTCAAACCTTTGATGTTGAGTTTAATTTAAAATTGATTTAACAAATGATATATACTACATCCAGTTCTAATTATGAGGTCTCGTTTGTAGACGGAGACAGTGTATATAAAAGAGTAATGGTCACATTTATATAAGGCTTTAGATATAAAATATGAAAAATAGGAATAAATTTATACCACTTCCCTCCTCATCATAAATTACATGTAAAGAAAACTTTTGATTTTAAATATAAATCATTTTTAGAATATTTAATAATTTATAAATTTTAAAAAATTGAAAATAGGAAAAAAATTACTTGTGTCGGGTGCCAGCCTGCTGCTGAGGTGACAAAGTGCAAGAGCGGACTGATACACTGATACACTGATACAGGACCTGTGCAGTTGGGTTGGTAAGAGAATGCGCCTTGGTCCCTCGATCCTGACGCCAACTCTGCAAATTTTCAATTTTCTTAGATATTTGTTTTCATACTCACTGCTCTTAAATTGTCCACTTTACCCTCTCAATTAATCCTCTTCAAGCTTCCAAACTCCCTCTCTGTCTGTTTCATTCGTCGCCTCCGCATAATGGATACTTCTCACCAAAAAGGTCAGATTTCTTTGTCTGACTCTTTCCTTATATATACATACATTGTTTCATATCTCTTTCAGTGTGTGAGGCGGGTGTAGGTTTGCTCATTGCCATGGCTGATTACTAAGGTATGGCTTCCCCTTTCCTTCTTTTTGAGTTCCCTCTTTTATTTGACTCCATTAATCTGTGTAGTTCTATTTTATGCTCCGAAAAAGGACCCTTTTGTTTTCCCTGCTCATAATCGCTTTCTAGGTAATCAGTTTCTTTAGTTATCTTTTCTACAAATATGGATATTTTAAATTTCATTGCATGGTTGTTTATGGGCTCTGGGTTTCTCTGAATAATCTTGCTTGAGTTCTGTTATCTGTATGCATAAATTCCCTCCGATTGAGTCTAACTTGTTTCGGTATATCCCATGAGGACATTGTCATTATTACAGAAATGGAGGAAACTGAACTAGCCGAAAATGCAGTGGATCTTTTACCTGCTGCATTCATGGCTTGCGTGTTGAGTTTAGTGCTTGTATTTTGGATTGATACTGGCTTCGTGAACATGATATCTTGAACTAAGTTTTATTAGCAATCCAAAAGTAAAATACCATCTCTGGACGCTTTCATTTGGATTTCCTTTCATCCTTCTTTCTTGGGTTTGATGTAGATTCTGGTGGCGTAGTTTGCTGTCTCTCTTGTATCTGCTGTGACTATTGTTTGTTCTGCAGATTAGCTTTTCGATATTGGTTCTGCCAGTGAATTTGGTTTCTGAAGAAGTAAAGATGCCAGGAATCCTTACAAATGGATTTGAACATAATGAAAGAGCAAATGAAGTGAACGGAAATGCTTCCCCTTGTAAGGAAACTGCTACTCCAATCAAGCCCCAAAGGAGTTCCTTTAGTCCACAAAGTCCTCCGAACACAGGTCCAAATGTACGTGTTCTAGCGGTTGACACCTCAATCGAGCAGCTTTATGAAAATGTCTGTGCTATGGAAAGTTCCGATCACTCACCTTCCAGACAAAGTCTCGGATCTGATGGTGATGAGTCTAGGATCGATTCAGAATTGTGCCATCTAGTTGGAGGAAAAATGAGGGAAGTGGAAATAATGGAAGAGGAAGTGGAAGAGAGGTCGAGTGGTGAATCTGTCAGTGAAACATCTTCCAGAAAGGAAAAATCAGCGAACGGTGAGAAGTTGGTGCAGGCAGATGAGAAGAGTCAGTGTGAGAAGCTGGTGCGGGCAGATGAGGAGATTCAATGTGAGAAGTCGGTACAGGCAGATGAGAAGATTCAATTTGAGAAGTTGGCACAGGAGGATGAGAAGATTCAATGTGAGAAGTTGGCACAGGTGGATGAGAAGATTCAATCTGCTAGTACAAGTTCTGCTTCTTCAGAAGCTTCAAAGAAAGTGTCAGACTCACAGGTGGACCTTATCCCTGAAACACCGCCAAAGTCAAAAGCCAAGGGAAAAAGTTCTCCCACAAAGCCTCCTACTGATAAGAGGAATGATAAGGCTGTGAGAAAACAAAAAAACAGAGTTACTCGTGTGAAAAAATCAAAGAAATCTCCTATTAAAAGGTTAATGTCTCAAAATCAGAGCGAGAATTCCACCACCGAATCTACATCAGACAAGCCAGGGATGGGGCCAGTTTTACTAAAGCAAGCAAGAGATTTGATTTCATCAGGAGATAATCCGAGGAAGGCTCTTGAATTAGCTCTCCAAGCAATGAGTTTGTTTGAGAAATATGCTGATGGAAAACCAACTTTGGAACTGGTTATGTGCCTGCATGTTACTGCGGCAATATATTCCAGCTTGGGCCAATACCATGAGGCAATCCCACTTCTTGAGCACTCCATTGAAATTCCTCTCAGTGAGGAAGGGCAAGAACACGCCCTTGCTAAGTTTGCTGGTCACATGCAATTAGGTGACACCTATGCAATGTTGGGCCAGCTTGAAAATTCAATGATGTGCTACACCACAGGGTTGGAAGTCCAGAGGAAAGTCTTGGAGAAACAGACCCAAGATTTGGTGAAACTTGTAGGTATGTGGCTGAAGCATATGTTCAAGCATTGCAATTTGATGAAGCTGAGAGGCTCTGCCAAATGGCTCTTGACATTCATAGGGCAAATGGTTCACCCCCTTCTCTTGAAGAGGCGGCTGATAGGAGGCTCATGGGCCTCATATGTGAAACAAAAGGAAACCATGAAGCAGCTCTTGAGCATCTAATTTTAGCCAGCATGGCAATGGTAGCTAATGGCCAGGAAGTGGAAGTGGCATCTGTTGATAGCAGCATTGGTGACACATACTTATCTTTGTCTCGGTATGATGAAGCTATTTTTGCTTATCAGAAAGCACTCACAGTTTTTAAGACCAGCAAAGGAGAGAATCATCCAGCCGTGGGATCAATCTTTGTACGTCTGGCTGACTTGTATAACAGGACAGGAAAGATAAGGGAATCAAAATCTTACTGTGAGAGTGCACTTAGAATTTACGAGAAACCCATGCCTGGGGTCCCTCCTGAGGAGATTGCAAGTGGTCTCATGGATATTTCAGCTATCTATGAGTCGATGAATGAGCTTGATCAGGCGCTCAAGTTACTTCCCAAGGCTTTGGAGATATATAACGATGCCCCTGGTCGGCAAAGCACAGTAGCAGGAATTGAAGCTCAGATGGGAGTCATGCACTACATGTTAGGAAACTATTCTGAATCTTACAATACTTTGAAGAATGCCATCTCGAAGCTCCGTGCTACTGGAGAGAAGAAATCAGCTTTCTTTGCTGTTGCTCTTAATCAAATGGGACTTGCTTGTGTGCAGCGCTATGCATTGGGTGAGGCTACAGAACTGTTTGAAGAAGCAAAGAAGATATTTGAACAAGAGTATGGACCCTATCACCACGAAACACTTGGGGTATACAGCAACCTTGCTGGCACCTATGATGCAATAGGCAGGTATGTATATACCCACGCCATTTGTTCCTATCTGAGTCATATCCTCATTTTGTCTGCAAATTTTCTTTCACTTTAAAAGCGAGTGTTGCCCTGTGAAGCTATTCTTTTGCTGCATTATATGAATTGTGAAGCGGACTTTGCTTTAAGGCTGTTATGTTTTTTTAAGGATTATTAGGCCCCAAATAGATAGGCATATGATCTCGTCAGGCCCTAACACGAGGGAAGATCAAACTAACAAATAGTAGGTGACAGGACGCACATGGAAGAAATATTTTAGCCTTATGCTTTGATATTGTATTTCAGGGTGGATGAGGCAATTCAAATTCTGGAGCATGTAGTTGGAATGAGAGAGGAAAAACTTGGGACAGCGAACCCTGATGTGGATGATGAGAAAAGAAGGCTGAGTGAACTGTTGAAGGAAGCTGGTAGAGTCAGGAGCAGAACAGCCAGATCACTTGAGACCCTTCTTGATTCCAATGCTCCTTCAGAAAACAGTAACATAGTCAGCACCGTTGCACAAGGGGAGGCTATCTAGGACTCGTGAAAGAAATTTTTATTCATTCTATAATAAACCAAAGATCAGGTTGTGACAGCATTAAGTTATGGGGAAAATCAAATGTCTGAAATATCAGTGAAATAATTGATGCGTAAATTTTATGTAGTATGTAGTAATTGTGTATAGTTAAGATGTCATTATGGTATACCGTATACGGAAATGCCTCGTGTTTGACACTTCTTATTGCATAATGCATCTCTCTTAAGTTACACTAAATTCATAAAGTGAATGTAAATGCATGCAGTGCATTGGAGGGAAAATAAGGGGGAATAATAAGCATAAAATTGAAACATGGTTCCTATTGTGGAAAGGGTCCAATTTGCTTACCACATTCACAATATTTGAGTGCCATTGGAATCACATTGATAAAGTTTCTCTCACATATTTATCTTACATTTCATAAATTATGATTAAAAAGCTGTTTATAAGTCACTTCAAACATGTCTTTGATGATATGCAACATTCATATTAGCAAGTTTTAATTTTTAGGCAAAGATGCTTTAGAACAGAATGATTGAGGACGAAGAGAATACTTTGCTGAAGTATTAAGCTCGATCCCTTCAACTTCCTTTAAGAAGCATCAGATCTTTTTAACCCAAAATCTAACAATGACATTCTTCACAAATCATGACATAATACAAACTAAATCTAGGGAAGATATTGTACTGTTAGTAAAGTTATCAATATACAGTAATAAGACAAATTTATGGGCAAAAAGAAAATCTAGTGTGACAAGTTTATTATGAAAACTATGGCGATCAAACTCAGTACCATTTCCAGTTTCGTCTCCATTACAAAAAAATAATTATTATTGCCAAAAATAACCCCAAAAAGTCAGACGTTTTATTTGTACTCATCATTTCCAGTTGAAGCTAACACATTTGGAACAGTAAGTACCTCCCCAGTGTGGCCGCTGTGTTCACCCTCGGCACTCGATGCATGTGGAGTCCACAAAGAACAACTTTTTTTTCCCCAAAAAAAAAAAGAAAGAAACTCTGTATATGAAATATTTCAAAACATCGGTATTTTTAAGTTAAAAAACATATCAATACTTATGAGTAATAAAATTTTTAAATGCGTACTTATAGCTTAAAATTCCTTACGAGGGACGAAAATTTCTTTTGCGACTTGGAAGAAAAATAGGATATAAAGTAACAATAGCATCCCAATTTGTGAAATAAATCAACCAATTATTATCATAGATGAATCTAATACATACATATACACACACATATATAGAGTTCATAATAATAACAACCCTCTTTATACCCCGTAGCTTGAGAACGAAAGAATAAAGAGCTAGTAGAAAAACGTAATTCGATTGGTCTCATAGATAACCACTAAAATACATGTGTATAAATCACGATTTTAAGTGCTCAGAAACATTTTTATATAAATCGAAATAAAACTTTATTCGTATTTTGTAAATCAGATTAAAACCATTCCAAACAATGACAAAGTAACTTTTCCAAACCCGAGTAATAATTAACAGTTTAGTCGGATTGAATCAGCACTAGGATGTGGAACCAGCTGAGCACTAACGAGTTGCAGAATGTCAGAACAGGCCTTTGTCCAATGGGAAGAAGGGTTAAAATAGAAGATGGAGGCCATGTGCTGAGATATTTATATTATATATCAGACCGGATGGGGGCTCCCTGGATCCTGGGAACTGTATTATGCACGTATTCATCTCATCACTCTTCACCACTGCCCTCTTTAATCTCATCTCACTTACTCTCTCCAAACGAAAGCTGCATTTAAGCCTCCGTACGTTGTTTCCAGAGTCTTCCTTGTTCTGCAGTTTTCCTCAGCCCTCATTTGGCTGTATTCCTTCGATTCATTTTCCCATGCATCCGGACACACCCCACACCTTCCACTCATTAATTCGCCCCTTCCCTACCCATGTGCTCCATCTATATATATGTACACACATACACACGAGTACGTAAAGCTGTAGTTTTAAATTCTGAGATGAAGTAACAACGCGTCATTATTAAAAAGCCGGCCACGGGCCAATACACTCTTGAGGATGGTTAGGTTATGGGATCCAAGTTTTGGTGTAACGTACATCAATTCATAACGAAAGACGTATGAGTGAGCTAGGTGGCGGTGTTTTTAACCAAAGGGAGGGTAAAAAATGAAATCAACTGCAAGATTCTGTGCATGTAGATCCAAAACCATGAAAGGGTTTCGTACAAGATGACACAATTGCACTGGAATGAACAATCCTAATAACCTATTCATACGCGATCCTACACTCTAGGTCTTTATACTCGTTGGTGAAACTCATCCAAACGCATATATATCATCAAGCACAAGTCTTCCATATTAGAAAAACCAGTCATTTTAATATGCGGGAAACCCTCCACACAACACCCACATGCCTACAAATACTCCCAACCCTCTTCCGTACATATCTCTGCTCCTTTTTCACTGTCAGCTTCCGCAAAGAATCTATACAAACACTATATCACACACCTATGTAGAAAGTTATTGGAAATAAAGTTGAGCCAGCGAGTGCGAGGAATCGCTCGTCATCACCAAATGATAAAAGCAGAGAGAAGGATGGGCGTAAATTTTTGAGCTTCACGGTCTGTAGAAAGTTAAAAGGGCAAAACACCGGTTGCTCCGAAAGAGAGAACATAAGAGGAGACATGGATGCAATAATTGGAGCAAAATCTTAATGAAACGTGGTTAAGTGTGAGGACGAAAACAAAGCAGCGGCGTGTCTTGGTATGGAAACTGTTATTTCCAAGTGGACCCTAAGGTCGGAATGAGATCTCAATAATGACTGTTCGATCTTTTTCTTACACATACATCGTACAGCAGACTGATATATTATTATGACTTCACAACTCTCACATGAACTCGTAACACAGTGTATCCTCATCATTATAAAACACACGCGGGTTTCCAGTAACTTTTCCATCGAAGAGCCAGCGACGACCACCAAGAATCAATCAAAATCCTCTTTATTTCTAAATTCCTCGAGAGACATACCGTCGCCTTCAAACGGCAGTATCAATGGAAGGTAGACATGAATACAAGAAGGGGCTGTGGAATTCTCAGGAAGACAAGATCTTAATGGAGTACGTGAAGCAGCATGGAGTTGGGAAGTGGAACCGTATCGCTAAAGTCACCGGTATACATATATACACATACACATATATATACACAAACATATATACACCGCCGTGATAATTTTATATATCTTTGGTTTGGGTAGGATTGAAGAGATGCGGCAAAAGTTGCAGAATGAGGTGGATGAACTACCTGAGTCCGAATGTGAAGCGCGGAGATTTCTCAGAAGAAGAAGACGACCTCATTATTCGCCTCCACAATCTCCTTGGAAATAGGTCTCTTCTTCTCTTTCCTTATTCACACACACATACAGAAATGAGCAGTTCTGCCCCAGAATAATAAGGTTGTGGATTGAATTATTGATTCAAACTTGAGATATAACTAAACTGATGAATTGTTGTTATGATTTAAGGTGGTCGTTGATAGCAGGGAGGGTGCCAGGGAGGACAGACAACCAAGTGAAGAACCACTGGAACACTCATTTGAGCAAAAAGTTGGGTGTTAATAGGAAGGGAAAGACCAAAGTGTGTCAACCTCAGAAGCCACCCTCTACTGAATCAAACGAAATCGCTTCGAACATTGCCTCAAATCCATTCAAGGAAGCTTCAAACTGTGGCCAAGAGGGTGAGATTGGGAAGTCCCTGCAAGAGAATTCTTTAAGCAGGGAGGATTTCATAGGCATGCAAGAGATCATGATGAGTGATGATGATTTTGAGACCAACCTCTTGTTTGCTAACAATGGAGTTGGCCTTTGTTATCCTTCCTTCTTCTCATTCCAGGACTACTTTGTTGACCTTGATGATTGGGCTGCCTTGTAAATTATATCAAACCCTTTCTCTAAATAATTATCTTGAGATAGTATTGATATTGGCCCTGTTATTATTTGCATGCGTAATCTGGCTGTGATTATGCATTTTAGGAATAATAAGTGGCATTGTACATCTGTCTACAATTCTTAACTATGAATTAAAGTGCCCAAAAAATTAACGATAAAAAATATAAGTCAGTACGAAGATTATTTTATAGTATCATATCTATGTATAATATAAAATTTATGAGAAGGTTCTTTGAATAATGGATGTAACTCTTATCACATTTTGTGCAAGAGTATGGTGCCCGACCACAATCTCATCTCATTTTTCTCTACAAATCAACTCCTACGAAATATCTAGAAATTAAACTGAAAGCCTCGTGACTTTATTTAAATATATAAGTAATGTATGACAGCACAGTTTTTCTTATTCATAATACTACCCATATTAGTTATAAGATCCCGTTTATAGTCTACAAACGGGATCTTATAATTAAGATTGAAGGTAGTATATATGATGGGAGATAAACAACGGTAGATATTCAAAGATAATGTAGATAAACTGTTTTTCTTATAATTAGATCATCTGATGATAATCTCTCTCTCTATACATATAAAAAACCTGACTAGATGCTTTAATAACCCAACTAAACCTAAACTGTGTGCGAGGCCTCACTATTAAATAATTGCCCTGTGTTTAATATGTATTTAAAGTCTTGAGCAATTGTAAGTTTTCAGCAAGTTTGAACGCAGCAGAGGAAGCTCGTTTGCAGTCATATATTTGTCGCGTCCAGCGAAAGTCAGACAAGCCGCTTTGGTGCGCACTTTCCAAGGAGGCTTGTGAACACCGACTGGTCAATCAGTCCACTTTTTTGTTGACCAAAGAAAACATGTCCACTTTTTTTTGTCTTCCCATTTTAGTTATCTTTCACACCTCAGCATATTTTTTTAACCAGCATTTTTTGGCATACATCAGGTAAATAGAAAAAGAAACATTTAAGCGTACATGTTAGGGAATAAAAAATAATAAAATAATTATTTCCGAAATATTATAGTATGTCCTAACTTTTTTCATACTTAACTCTCTCCCACCTCATAATTAATGATACTTTCATTTTTGGAGTGGTCTACTCTTATTTATAAAATACATTTAAGAGGATGTATGAAATTTTAATCATTTTTTATGTTTTTCCCCTTCATTATATGTCATATCAATACATTAATTAATTCTTACACATTCTTCCTATTCGTCCGCCCCTTTTCGCTCGCTGAGATATTGGACTTGGAGGGAGTATTATTTTCAAGGTTTTTTTTTTAATCAAAACTAACCAGCCTTCTAATAACTGGTTTCGTAATAAAATATGCTATGTAGATCTTGACTCTATATCACAAGTCTAGGGATCAAAATCTATCCTTTTCCAAAAGCTAAAGATTCAATGAAGATATTAAGCTTCAAGTGAAAAAAAATTGAAGATATTAAACATTTGAGGCAAAATTATGTAAATTAATATAAAAGAGAAGTTAACAAAATGATTCACACATAATAACAATGGGTTAATAGTTAGATCTTAAAATTGGAAAGGAAAAAAAAACTCCAAACCAACCCATCTCAAAGCTCCACTCATAGAGCTCAATCTTAGGGTTAACAAATGAAAAGCATGGTTACACTACCTTCTCTTCTTGATATAAAAGATAATTAGAAGTTGGATTTAGTTTAGAATATAATATCTCAATTCATTTTGTGTTTCAAATTTATAATCTTTTTTTCAAAAATATCCATATTGATTATAAGGTGTTTCTATCATGAAATCACTAAAATAATATACATGATTAAAGATGAAAGTAAAGAGAAGTCAACTGATTTTTTTAATTTCTTCATATTAATTATTTAGCTTCATATTAAGTACAAAAATTATAATACTTATCCGTTTTTAAATATAAAACTCATTTTTTTGTGTAGGTTATTTTTTGACCCCTTCTGTGGTGGGTTGGAATCTCAATGACGAGGCAGAATCAGAATCAGGATCGTGTATGCTAGCTAGTTCGAAAACTGGCGTCCGAGGAACCCCCGAAGCTAACACTGGGCAGTCCCATTTTTAACCCGGGACTTCAATCAGGACGCTTTGCTTTTTGCTTTCTCCGATGAATCCATCATTCATGTTCCAACTTACGACTTGTCGTCGATCTCTTTCATATTCTCTCCATTGTCCTCTGTTACTAGTCTTTCTCCTTGGCTCCTTCTTCTTGTTTCTTTTGCTTTGCATCTTTTCCTCCACTCCACTTCCGTCATAGCTCTCATATGTGCTTGTTTCCTAGACTAACAAAAACATATATATATATATATATATGTTTATATACATAGATAATGCGTAAATTGCAACTTGAAAGAAAATTAATTATTGATGACAATTACCGTGTTGAATGTGTAAACTTAATGATCAACAAGATTGAGTATAGTTCTTTTCTGTTCGACTACAAGCACTGCAATAGTCAGATATTCAGCGACTCCTATACAAAAGTCTCTGTTTTGGCTTCATCACATTAATTAAAATGGTCTTGTAATTGGTAATGGCAATCGATTTCACGAACATCAACAAAATATTGGCTTTTTTGGCGGGTAAACCATTATTTATCCCATAATTCTTATCAAGTCCCTGCGCAATTCAATTGAACCATATTGGATAACCTTCTTCAGAGTGGTTCAGGGGCCTCTCTTTTGATTTTTCTACTTGATTCCCGTGAATTGGTTTGCTGTAAATGGAAACAAGAGGCTTCAATTAGATCTCACATGAGTTCTCACTGTGCTAAATCAAAATAACACCCAGTCTTCTTCTTCATTGGACGTGCATGTTAGTTATTAGAATGCTTAAAAAGTATTTAACCCTATGAAAAAGCAGAAAATATTTGAGAGGCTGAGATGCACCAAAAGATAGTGACATAAGCGGCGCTTAGGTACGGAAGCATGATGAGTGATGCGTTCTTAGTTGAAATGCCGACTTATCCGCATCGTTTTGGCGTCTTTCGTAGTGGATGCGCTCCGCGATGATCAGAAGCCCCATCCTTTTCTCTGCCGCTATTCCCTCCTTTTTGCTCATCAGAATTCTTGATTCTTGATTCCGTTGACCTCTCCATCGGCTCCGGTGAGAACTAACATCTCCGTTTCCAGTTCTCTCTACCTTGGGCAGTTCAATTTCTGTTCTCTCATGATTTCTGTCGTTCAGGAGTTTAGAACTGCGAGGTGAACATGGCCGACCAGTCGGATGGTCCTCCCAATGCTTCTGATGACAAACGTCAAAACTCAGGTGTGAAATGACAAGCATTTAGCTAATTTCAGCCCTTTTAGGTCTGACACTCCTTGTCTTATATCTATCGTGGTCTCAGTATGGGCTTTCTTTTTTGTGTTTCTGGTAATCCCAACTCGCAAGAGGAATTGTCATGAGCCCTGCCAAATTCAACTTAACATTGTCCAGATTTTTGCCCTGATTCCTTTATGAGATAAGTTGAATTCATTAAGTTTTCTCAATGTTAGCCTTAGAAAAAATGTGTTCTGCTGTTCTTGGAGAAAGAAAAATGTTTAGCTTGGGGAATTAGTCTGGATATATTCAGGAAGGATACCGACCATTGATTTTTATCAATCAATACGGAAAACTTATCGCTTTGATTGTGTTGAAGTATGGATTGCCATTTTCTCTGTTTGGAAAGAAAAGGGAGACGTGTGTTGGGGACCGACGATCTGATTTCTGGTTTGGATAGCGGGAAGCATGTCCACAACTCCTTTATTTGCGTTTCTTTAGCCACGGCTTACGGGGCATGGTGTGGAGAAGTAGAACTAGGCTATCCTATATTCTTGTCGCTTGAGATTTTTCCATGCTCATTTGAATGTTCTGGCAGAGTGTTTCGGATACGTAACTTACAATATTTTGGATTCGATAAAATTGAATCGTCGGCTCACCGTTTTGAGGTTTAGGTGCTGAGATCATGCAGCCAACAAATACGGATCAACAAAATGCCGCCGAGCCTGTTAAAACAAAGTTCAGCAACATCAGTCTTTGTGAACTCACAACATCCGTTTCTACCGGTACCACCTCCTTCATCAGGAACGTTATCTCGCTACAGATTCCACTGGTCCCATGCCCTTATTGCTGTTGGGTTATTGGCCGCTTCAGGTGCTGGTACAGCTGTACTTATTAAGGTATATTCTGCTAACATCTTTGTGTGATGCCTTCTGGACTGGTATTCTAACACATAAAGGGCATCTGGCATTGCCATGTTCATTATGTTACTGCATTTATATTACTGCCATACCTTATTTAATTTAGTGACTTGTTACACGCATAGGGTTCGATATATATGTTTGTTTGAGCCATACTTGACAATCTGAAAGCCTACTTCATGTTTTAGAATTCCATTCTTCCTCGGTTGAAATCTTGGATACAGAAGGCTGTTGTTGAAGATGAAGATGACCACTTGAAGAGAACTGACTCAAAACCAACGTTGGCTGAAGAAACTGCACAGGCTGCAAAAGAAGCTGCAGCTGCAGCTGCAGAAATGGCAAAAATAAGCCAGGGGATGCTGACTTCAAGAAGTGAAGGTTGGTATACTATAACCTCAGTTCTACGGCATAAAATTTTGTAGATTTTATTGCCCCTACTTATGCTTGACATACTTTTTTCGTGGTACTCTTCTGGTTCTAAATGTAGTACCTATTTTATAGTATAATGGACCGGAGGAGTAATATTTTTATGCTGCTACATCTGAGTTAAATATATGCAGATCGGAGATCTTTGAGGCATAGTGAGCCTTTAGATGAGCAAGTACAGCAAATGAAGTTAATGACTAATATGATAAAAAGACTGGAAGGTACTTTGAAGTTGTTTTTAATCTATCAGGCTATAATATAATAAGCTGTTTGATCCAATATTTATTTATTTTATGGAACATTTGATTTATGACTTGCCAATAGTCCTTTTGTATTCATTAAGAATTCACGCAATTGTAGCATGGTATTTTGTCCTGGCTTAGGCATGGTGACCCTGATGTTTTCACTAAAACTGCATTTTAACTGTTCTATTTGGATTGGTAGCTTGATAAGCTGTGTCAGGAATCTTCTAACCCCATTGCATTTGAGACTTTCCAAAAGAGAATTTGTAGCTTTCCATGTCAGAAATTCTCACACACTTACGTAGAAGATGCATAATATTTACCTAATTCTAAGCTCTTATGATTATCCTTTGCATCTGTTAAATTATGGGACAAACAATAGCCTCAAGTGGAGCATCTCTTTCAGAGCAAGAATATCGAGTCACTCAAGGTAGCTCAAAGGTTAGATATGCACGGCCACATGAAGGAGAATGTTTCTCTATTAGTTTCAGTCACAACTTTTTCACTTATTTGACTTGTCTTTCGGCAAATTTGATATGCTTTCTTCTTTTTTGATGCATACAGCAAGTTTTTGTGAATGGCAAAGGGGAGTATGACATGCGTGCAGGTTGTTATACAGTGATTAAATCTTAACTTATTTTATGTAATATATGTAATCTTGCATATAACTTGAATGCCATGGGCAGTGAGATCTTCATCACTACCTGCCTCTTTGGAACCAGCTACTGCTCCTCCTCCAAAGTCATATACGGATGTAAGCCATTGTCTTTTGGTTTTTTTGGTGCCTCTTGCTATTGGATAGTTGTTCTCTCTTGATCAAGAAGTTTGGACTTCCGCCCTCAAATTCCTTCGTTAGTTTTGAAAACAAATATTTATCATTATATTGTAACTGTTGCTATCCATTAATTCTCTCCTCATGTCACATTTTTAATGGAGATTCTCGTGAATTTCCATTATTTAGAACTTGTTTTTACTTGGCTTCCAGAGGAGGAATCAACTCTTTTCTTGCCCACTTACTTTCCTCTTATTTTGGCTTTAATTTTAGCATTCCTTTTCCTTTTCATGCGACTGTAACTCTGTCAGATCCTTAGGCAGTAGTAACTCTTTTCCTTAATATACCTTCAAATGTTTTGATCAACCTGTACTATTATTTTGTTTTTGGCCAACGATTTACACTATTACGTTTTGCAGATGATGGCCACAGTCCAAAGAGGAGAAGGGTCTTCTAATATCAGAGTAAATTCTTTATGCTTTCTGTATTGGATGAATATCTTTTGTACTTGCATGCCTGAAAGCTTACAACTTTTTCACACCTAATTTCTCTGCTTCATTGATTTAAACAAGGCAGTACGTATATGAAGTATCTCGTTTGCGTTAGTCATAACTCATAAGTGATATTGGAGTCTATTTAAGTTGAGATAGAAATTAGGTAGTGAAGCAATTGAAAGAGTAAATTATTTATAGCCTAGCATATGTAAGGATACGCTGGCTAAACTCGGAGGCTACCATGTATTTGATTTAAAACTTGTAATGGTTTTGAGCCACATGGAAGTTACTTCAAATTAACCTAGATGATAAACTTAAACACTCATGTTAATTATTGCAAACATTTTAGAAACATGCATGTTTCTGAGCATTCCTTTGTCCATGGTTTGACGCCCATGTGAGACTGACTAGTTCTTCCTTGTTAGCCTTGGGAGCCTGGTCAGGTGCAAAGCAACTATACTGAAGAGCATAGGACCCTAGTAAACGATGAAGAATTGATTTCTATGGCAAACACCGTTCGATCAAACGCTAAGGACTCGGTTACTATGGCTCAAGACACTATTAAATCTAATGGTGATGCACCGTCGCCCTGGTGGCAGAGGAAAAATGTCAGAATCCAAGAGATTGAGAATGAATATGAGCATAATGCAGATTCTTATGGTGCTCAATCTAGTCAGCAGCCAGTCCGACGTTCTTGGGTTCCTCCTCAGCCTCCTCCCATAGCAATGGCAGAGGCTGCTGAAGCCATTAGACGACCAAAGCCCTCGTTCCCGAAGGAACAGGCGTCAGATGATCAGTCAGTGGCTCATTCTTCAGACACATCTGATGAGGTGCAGAGGACCCCTCAAATATCTGAACCTGAAGGTGCAACAGAGGGTGGCAGTGTCAAATATGGTGAGGGCGAGATACATGATGAGGAAACCAAACATGAAGAGCAATGAGTAATACTATAATAATATTTTATTTTGTCAGTTAAATCCACAAGACGTGAAGTTGGGAGAAGGAGTACCAGCAGTCCCAACTTCAACATAAGCTTGGAACATTCTCGTTCTATAGCCATACGTATTCTGTATCTTTAGACTAAGAATCGCTACAATAATAGATATCATGGTTTTGATTTCTTTATGAGTTATGTCCTCATTTTTTTTCCCAAATAGCTGGATATCTTCTCCCTGACGGTACAGGAGACAAATAATTACCATATTATTGGAAGACTGGAATAATATTTCCAACATTTAAATCATGTTGGGATGTGATGAAAACAAGGAAAGAAAGAGAAGATTGAAAGAATAAAAAAACTGTATAAATGTATTAGGAATTGGACTATTCATGACTTATAAATGATGGGAGCGTTTGTATAACATTTTTTCAGTGTTATATCATTTTATTTTGATAGATATTATAGACTAGGGAGTATTCAGGTTTGCAACTAACACATAAAGTCACATGTTAAGTTGGGAGACTTGTATATAAAGCCTAGCACATATTATCCTAGATATGTGAATTGTGAATATACCGTTGCTCCATCCCTACGTTTCCCATTTCTGTGTGAACTCCTTCATGGTATACATGAAAGTGAGTTCTGAATCTCCCTTTCCAATGCGCTTAATCATTCTGTTTCAGGAGCAACACTATCTATCATGAGAAAAGGCTATAATCTCAAGAAGTTCATCTTTGGTCCAGACCATCACAAATTGGGGTAAAACGTCAAGAAGCACAAAGAAAGGTTGGAAATGCTCAATCAAGAGAATAAGCATGACTCAATTCGCTATAGCAAAAAAAAAGGGGAAGAGGATGGTCAAACAAAAATTCATAGTTGGGCACTTGTAATTTGTGAAGAGGGGGCAGAGAGGAAGATACGGGGGAGGAAGAACTCATTCGAGCAACTCAAACATACCTCATCACTTAATTATGCCAGAAACATACTTAACCTCCATATAGCCAATATCTGTCCAATATATTCGATCTCAGCCTCAACGAAACGAAGCTGTGAATGAATGAGAAACACCAAACCTTACTCAGAAATAATACTTGGCCTCTACTTCTACCCCACTTGTAAAACTTGTAAACATTAGGACTGTACTTGGTCAATTTTCTCTAATGGTGATAAAACGCTAGTGTATAGACTTGAGGGAGTTTTTTATTATAGGCTTAAGCAAGCTCTTCACTCAGATTTTTTTTTTTTTTTAAAAAGCAAGCTCTTCACATGGTCTTACATATTGTATGTATATAATCATTTTATCTTTCAAATTTCTCCTTCAACAGTATCTAATATATATAGTCAAACCTTAGACCTAAAAAACCAAATATTTCTCAGTTACTTGAAAGAAAATACACTCCACGTTTGGTTAATGGTCACTAAGGCTAAAATTCAAAGTGCCCAATCAGTGGCAACGGCTCCAGTCATTGGGCTCTCAAGACTCAACCTCGCCACCTCGGATCCTTTAGGTACTAATCGATCCTTCGTTGGTGCCCCTCAAATAAATCATCATAACCAAACCACTTAGTCAGTTAATAATTGTTTGGAAATTCATCCCATTAGAAAAAAAAAAAAGGGAAGAGGATGGTCACAACAAAAATTCATAGTGGGCACTTGTAATTTGTGAAGAGGGGGCAGAGAGGAAGATACGGGGAGGAAGAACCCATTCGAGCAACTAAACATACCTCATCACTTAATTATGCCAGAAACATACTCTTAACCTCCATATAGCCAATATCTGTCCAATATATTCGATCTCAGCCTCAACGAAACGAAGCTGTGAATGAATGAGAAACACCAAACCTTACTCAGAAATATACTTGGCCCTTACTTCTACCCTTGTAAAACTTGTAAAACATTAGGACTTACTTGGTCAATTTTCTCTAATGGTGATAAAACGCTAGTGTATAGACTTGAGGGAGTTTTTATTATAGGCTTAAGCAAGCTCTTCACTCAGATTTTTTTTTTTAAAAAAAAGCAAGCTCTTCACATGGTCTTACACATATTGTATGTATATAATCATTTTATCTTTCAAATTTCTCCTTCAACAGTATCTAATATATATAGTCAAACCTTAGACCTAAAAAACCAAATATTTCTCAGTTACTTGAAAGAAATAGCTCCACGTTTGGTTAATGGTCACTAAGGCTAAAATTCAAAGTGCCCAATCAGTGGCAACGGGCTCCAGTCATTGGCTCTCAAGACTCAACCTCGCCACCTCGGATCCTTTAAGGTACTAATCGATCCTTCGTTGGTGCCCCTCAAATAAATCATCATAACCAAACCACTCAGTCAGTTAATAATTGTTTGGAAATTCATCCCATTAGCACACCACATCATTTACTTAGTCACAACTCAAAATATGTGAAATTTTTCTTTCCTTTCCTTCTACTTTTCTTATTTTCTGATAAAACCTTTCTTGACCATAAACATATGCTTGACTGTTTACCGGTGGGTCCTGAAATGAATACTCACGATACTTTGACTAAAATGCATTCAAAACTAGCACGTTGACTATTCAGTTTTTCTAAAGTGGGGAAAGTATCACCATCTTGATGTTGAAGATTAAGCAAAATAACTATTGTTTATTTTAGAATTCTTCAGTGTTTGAAGAATTTGCCGAATCTCTGTATAAGATATTCAGAATTTCCGATTGGGAGGATGAAATATATATAGTCTTGACGTGCGAAAGTGTAGCCACCGTTGAAAGTTGATCTAAACTAATGAAATCTATTAGCAAAACCAGCGCTGAACGCAGCCACGAACTTTGTCTTGTTGATGGGCTTCATTTATGAGATGCTTGATTAGGCCATTAATTAAAAAAATGATTAGAATATTGATGGATTATTAATTATTACAAAATAAAGAACCGTGGACACTGAATTCATCAATCTTTATATATTTAACGGCAAGTCGATTTTGCTATTAATAATTAATAATAATAGCCTTTTTTTGCTGGTTTTTTTGTCTGTACTTACTTAGTAGATAATTAGAAATTATTGCGTTATTTTCTTCTTTCTTTTTTTGGTCTATCCTAAATTAAAATTTTAAAATAAAAACATATAAAATAGAAGTTTTGAGAAATCATGATAGAAGTTTGGTCCGGTTTGGCCGTCCAAATTTAAAATTTACCATAGCGATTTATACAAAAAAAAAATCAATATCTCAAACGTATACTTTTCAATGAGTTATTTTATTGGGAAAAAAATTGACTGAGTCAATTTTGATTGTAAATTCGTGCTTCACCAGATGCAATATATGCCTCCATGTCATGCGTACTTCATAACACCAACCTAATGTTTTTTATTTGTTTATAGTTATTAAACAACTTCTCTTTGTTAGGCTTTACCCTATGTTTGCTAGAAAAGGATAGGAATTTTTTTTAATAAGCTTGATTTAAAAATTTAAAAAAGTGGAGGTATAAAATTTTGATAAAAAAGATGTAAGATAACATATTAAGCAAAATTAGTCAAAAGTTTTTAATCTTACTTCTTTAATTTTTAAATCAAACTTATTAAAAATTTCTCCTCCCCTCGATTTTCCTCATATCAAACAAACCTTAAGTAGTCAAGGGAAAAAAAAAAAAAAACTCACTAGCTTAGCCTCCATAAAGCCTCAAGTAAGGTGTGTAGTGTCGGCTTCATGATTACATATCAATTATAAGTTAGGAATCTTAGTTTAGAAGAAATAATAAACAAAAAAAGAATAGATAATAGTTTATATTTAGGATGAAATTTAACCTACATTCTAATTATATATGTAATTTATTTGTAGGGAATAAATTTGGTCATAAGTTAAGTTATTTGTAGGATAATTAAGGACAATCTTTTCAATTTCACCAGAGCACAACACAAGAGCAGAAAATATGTGGAAAAAAAATATAACATTTTTTCAATATCTTTTTAATTAAAAAATGTAAAAATTTTATCAATTAATATTCTGCTCTTGACACGCAAGAATAAGATATAAATGGACTCACATACTCTCTCCGTCTCTTATTATAAGATCTATTTTTTTGAATAGGTTTGATTCTTTTTTAAGATCTTTTTTGAGTTTGTCTGAACATTTAATGTATTATTACTTATTTATCTCAATTTAATGTATTTAATATATTCTCTTTCTTTATTTATCTCATTATTATTCTCTCATATCTACCTATTTATATATAGGGGTACATCTGAAAAAAATTACATTTACTACGTATTAATTGTTTTTTATTAATTTTAACTATTTTATTAAACTGTACAATTTAGTTGAAAGTATTTTATGCACGGAATAATATAAAGCTAGAGTGATACTCGTATCCAATTAATTAATTAGTTTTAAGTGGGGGAGTAGTATTTAATTGTTCATGCGAACTCTTGGAACTTGTGGGGCGGTTGGCGTGAAATAAATTAAACAAGGCTCATTATTATTCCCTCTAAATTTAAAAGCCATGCCTTATCTTTTTTTTATAGTATTCTAATGCCTTTTCTTTTTGCCAACATATTCTAATGCCTTTTTTTTTTTTTTTAATAATGCAACTGATTTGTACTCAATTCATCATGCAAAATGAGTATATATCATTATATCAAAATCAATATACATTTATATTCTTCAAACTCCGTAAGTATTAAAAGAAAAATAAAAACGTATGGCGGTATTTACAAACTTTGATTCTCACAAAATCCAAAGAGCCGACTGACTAATATTTACAAAATCTTGGCGCGCTTTCTTTTTATTTTTATTTTTTTGGTTTTGAAAGAATTCCCTCAGTGGCAAATAATAATGTCTTAGATTTAGAATATTGATTTCTGTTCAATTTGCTAATATTGAAATTAGTATCGCGTCATTATGAGCACCTTAGGTGTGCATGAAAGGGGGGAAAAAAATTATAACATTACTATATTCACCCAAAAAATTAATACAACAGAAGAAAATGAATTTAGTGACAAAAAACAGAAGAAGGTGAATTGTATTTTTTGTCCTCAGGATTAATTCTGAAGCAGAATTTGGAATACTGATTGTCGTGGATGAAAACATTTGAATTTTATTGTCCGATCCAAATTAAAATTAAAAAAATGAAAAAAAAAAAGATTCATGAATAAACGTAATTGGAAGCATTTCATTAAATACTGATCAATTACACACACACATACATATAAAAATAGAAACAAGTAATGAATTAACAAGTATGATTCTGTGAATACGAAATTGTGCCGCTTTAATACTACATTTAATCCTTAATATAAGATTTTGTTTGACTTTTATTTTGATCATAAATAAGACTACAATCTATTTGTCTCTCGTATTTGTGCATTTCTTCCTAAAGTAGTCCTTTTAATAATGGTAGTTTTAACCGATATATTTGATTGGCAAGGTATTTTAGGAAAAAAACAACATACATTTATTACAAATAACTAACTTAACTTCTTTCTTTAATCTTCTCAAATTAGTAACTAGTTTTTATAATTACGACCAGAGGTAGTAAGAGGTAGTAAGTAATTTTGACCTTGGTATTTGGGTATAAAATTCTGTTCACCATTGTTGTCCTAGTTCTTTTGACTTTATTTTTATTTTTTAATTTAGAGTCTAATATTATTTTGATAATAAATATAAGATTCCAGTCTACTTTGTCTTTTATATTTAAATATTTTTTTTAAGGTAATCCTTCTAATAATAGTAGCTCTAGCCAATGCAATTGATTAGCAAGGGTATTTAGAAAATACAACACCTATTTGTTACAAATAACAACTTAACTTATTTTTTAATCCCATCAAATTAGTTAACTAACTCTTATAATTAAGATCGAATTTAATATTTATTACCAATAGCATCCCCCGTCATAATTGTAAAATCACAGTTAGTGTGCATTTACTGATTTTTTTCCATCACATTTAATAGTATTATTTCTCGTATTTTTCTTGATTTTCCTCATGCCATGAGCCTGTTAATTTTAATTAAAACCCACTATTTAGTGGATGCATCTTTGACTAAATGGTAGAGTAATAAATGTTGAAAGGAAAAAAATCATATAAATTAAATATTTGCTGAAAATAGGGAGCACACCTTTTTTTTTTTGGGTCAACTAGAGAGAGTAATTCATTTAGTTTAATTAATTTATTTGGTTTAATTCACTGCGCTGGTGGTCAGGGAGAGAGAGAGCAGCAGTCAAATTCAATGGTGGGTGCTGATTCCTCCCAAGGCCACTCGTCTCAGAGTGTTTCGTCCTTTTTCAGTGCTGTGAGGAAGAACTAGAAAAATAGAAAAACCCACTTTCCATTGCCTTTCAATAGTAAATAATATATAATGCTTCCAAAATCCTCATCTTAGGCTATTAAACCACGCATCTCTTCCACCACAAACAGATATTCTCATTTCTGTTTCTCTTGATTTCTTTTCGCTGTTCTTCAATTTCAGCTGGGTTCCATTTTGTTATTTCCATGGCTCTGAATTTGCCGTCTCCAGCTGAAGTGAAGTCCGTTTTCTTCTCCGATTCCTTCAAGTCTAGCAGACTTGCAAACCTTCCAGGTTCTAACTTCGTTGCCTGCCATTTCTTTCGGTTCCTGACAGGCACACATTATGCTGGGAAAAATTAAGAGCTGAGAGCTTTGAATTTGCCGTTTCCACCTTTTACTTGTGCTGAATATCTCCTTGGCTTGATTTTTCCGAAAATTATGCTATTCCTTTTGTGGTTTATTCTTCTTACGGAGTTTGTTGCCTATGCAATCATCCTAATGTTCATCTGACGTTTCCCAAATTGATGTCATGGATTTTGTGTGAACCATTCCTGAGTGCTGACTCCTCTTGTGTTCTGGTGTTATTCTATTTTTCTGATTTATTTTCTTCTCAAGCTGGTGTCATTTGATTCTCAGGTGGTTTGCTTTAAATAGAAAAGGTTTTGGAACCAAAGTTGGAAGTAGAATTCATTGCTCTGTGAACACACCGCCTCCTGCTTGGCCAGGACAAGCGGTTCCAGAGGCGGTTCGCAAGACTTGGGAGGGGCCAAACCCATCTCTATCGTGTGGCTCCACTGGTTCTATTGGAACTCAGGTATAACTGAAATCTACCCTTAAATTTGAATAGCCTTGTAGATGCAGTTAAACATAATTGCCGCATGCTTGTGCAGAACCCATTAGACCGAAGATTTCACTTAATAATACCCTTTATCCTTATGTTTTGTAGACTCTGGATATCGTGGCTGAGAATCCAGATAAATTTAAAGTTGTGGCGCTTGCAGCTGGCTCAAACATCACCCTTCTTGCAGATCAGGTAAACCCCATAATTTAGTCACATGATGAAACTTTCTTTTGTTTTATTTCTCCATCTATGATCAGAACCACAGATTTCTTGATATAAATCAAATTTGTTGATTTATCTTATCCCGTAATTCGGTCAGTATATTATAAGCTTGACTTTCCGAAAATTATGCTATTCCTTTTGTGGGTTATTCTTGTTACGGAGTTTTATTGCCTATGCAATCATCCTAATGTTCATCTGACGTTTTACAAATTGATGTCATGGATTTTGTGTGAACCATTCCTGAGTGCTGACTCCTCTTGTTGTTCTGGTGTTATTCTATTTTTCTGATTTATTTTCTTCTCAAGCTGGTGTCATTTGATTCTCAGGTGGTTTTGCTTTAAAGAGAAAAGGTTGTGGAACCAAAGTTGGAAGTAGAATTCATTGCTCTGTGAACACAACGCCTCCTGCTTGGCCAGGACGAGCGGTTCCAGAGGCGGTTCGCAAGACTTGGGAGGGGCCAAAACCCATCTCTATCGTGGGCTCCACTGGTTCTATTGGAACTCAGGTATAACTGAAATCTACCCTTAAATTTGAATAGCCTTGTAGATGCAGTTAAACATAATTGCCGCATGCTTGTGCAGAACCCATTAAACCGAAGATTTCACTTAATAATACCCTTTTATCCTTATGTTTTGTAGACTCTGGATATCGTGGCTGAGAATCCAGATAAATTTAAAGTTGTGGCGCTTGCAGCTGGCTCAAACATCACCCTTCTTGCAGATCAGGTAAACCCCATAATTTAGTCACATGATGAAACTTTCTTTTGTTTTATTTCTCCATCTATGATCAGAACCACAGATTTCTTGATATAAATCAAATTTGTTGATTTATCTTATCCCGTAATTCGGTCAGTATATTATAACTATTATTACTACATAATTCATGCAGCAAATGGTCTTTCCAATTCGTTATATTTTATTTTATTTGGGAAAAAAGTCAGGCTCGGTATCTCTTATTTTGAATGCACAGACAATAGAATTTGACCTTTTCAACAATTTACATCGAACAGGTGAAGACTTTCAAGCCTCAGCTCGTTGCTGTTAGAAACGAGTCTCTTATTAATGAACTCAAAGAGGCTTTGGCTGATCTTGAAACAAAACCTGAGATTATCCCTGGAGAAGAAGGAACCATTGAGGTAGACATCTCAGTCTGTCTTTATGCAGTTTCGCTTATAGAGCCAATTTTGCTTTTCCTAAGCTATAACTACATATTTTTCAGGTTGCACGTCACCCTGATGCAGTGTCTGTTGTTACGGGAATAGTAGGTTGTGCAGGACTGAAGGTAACTTTTCCTTCTTTGTTTTTTTTCCTTTTGCTGACTTTTACCTGTGCTTGATATTCAGGTCTTACGCAAGTTTAAGTAGAGAGAAAGACATTAACACTATTAGACAAACAACTGAGTCACCTCTTATTATTTTCTTAGCCAACAGTTGCTGCAATTGAGGCAGGGAAGGACATAGCTTTGGCCAACAAAGAGACGCTGATTGCTGGAGGTCCTTTTGTTCTTCCCCTTGCTCACAAGCATAACATTAAAATTCTTCCTGCTGATTCAGAACATTCGGCCATTTTTCAGGTATAAAACTAGGACATTGCAACATCTGTCAATAGTGTTCAACACGTTCAATGGACTTTGTATACTATCGTTTCATTTATTACATGTATTGTTTGTATGCATTTTATTGCACTCTAGTAATTGCTCTTCTTGCGACTCATAAGTACTGAAGTCAAAAATATATTTCTCTACAGTGTATCCAGGGCTTGCCGGATGGTGCACTTAGGAGAATCATTTTAACAGCATCTGGAGGTGCTTTCAGGTGAGAATATAAAGAGTTTTCAAGAGTTCTCTTAAATGCACGCAGTTGTACATGTTTACAGTGCTCGATGTTTATATACATACAGAGTCTTTGTCTTTACCGAACCAGAAGGGAACTTGACGTCAAAGAAATGACACCTAAATTTTTTTATGCCTTCTGATTTTCTGGTTGCTGCCAACTAGTCATATCATGATGATCTGTTTGGACTAATATCCTTTTATGGCAAACTTTAAATTTTTTACGTTCTTAGTGTACTTTATATGATCCAGTAATCAACTTGCATTTACTTATTCACGCATCATTGGTTGACAGGGATTTGGCTGTTGAAAAACTGAAAGATGTAAAAGTCGCTGATGCATTAAAGCACCCCAACTGGAATATGGGGAAAAAGATTACTGTGGATTCTGCTACCCTATTCAACAAGGTTTGACTATATTTTAGGCGTCAATATTTGGGGTGGAAAACTGCATCCTTTCGATTTAGTTATTTGCCATGAATTTTGTAGATATAAGAGATATTGTTCCTGTTTTTTTGGCAGGGCCTAGAAGTAATTGAAGCACATTACTTGTTTGGAGTTGACTATGATAATATTGAGATTGTCATTCATCCACAATCTATCATACACTCAATGATCGAAACTCAGGTTTAATTCTTCACCATGTTATGTTGAATACTGCTTGTTAAACGAGAAACTTACCTGCTGAATGGTTATATACACAACAACTCCTGACAAATACTTGTTCAATCATTTTCTCACGCTAAATTATTTCAGGATTCATCGGTTCTGGCACAGTTGGGGTGGCCTGATATGCGCTTGCCTATTCTCTATACAATGTCTTGGCCAGACAGAATTTATTGCTCTGAAGTAACATGGCCTCGTCTTGACCTGTGCAAGTACTATCATTTTCTCAGCTCCTTGCAAAATTTACCTTAACTTTTCTTGAGTTCATTAAAAAGATGAATCTTCTTAATTTAATCAACATTATTAAAGTTTGGGAAAGCATTAATATTAGGCTTTCAATTTTGTAGGAATTTCAAGTTAAATCATTAATCCTTACTGTGAATGAACAGATAATCTCATTCCCTTTTCTTCTTTGGCTTCTTGCCTACTTCCATCTAGCATTGTATTGTATTCCTTGTTTCAATGTGTAACTCGAGAAATTCCATGGTCATTGTCTGCCATTTCTTAATCGGTATCTTGGAAAAAAGCAGCTTAAAATACGCTTGATATGATGACTATCCCAGTGCAGCTAATATTTTGAAATACATACTATGTATGATGCATTATGTAGTTTAATCGAATGGCCATCCTTTGCAAAATCTGTTTGCTAATTTAACGCAGCTATTTCTGAAATCTGATTACACAGGCTTGGTTCTTTAACATTTAAAGCTCCTGACAATAAGAAGTATCCATCCATGAATCTTGCCTATGCTGCTGGTCGAGCTGGAGGCACCATGACAGGAGTTCTCAGTGCAGCCAATGAGAAAGCTGTAGAGATGTTTATTGATGAAAAGTAAGTATCTTAATTCCTCATTTCACTGAGAATTTCATTGTGTGTGTATAATATATGTTTCTGTGGACTTGTCTGAAATTGTTCGCATATGATGGGAGAGAAAGAAATGAAGATGGAAAATATGAACCTTCTGTAAATCCGAGGCTCTCTCATCTTAGTGTGCTGAAAGCTGCTGCTGGGCGATGATAATGAAAAATAATGAATGTTCACTTGCATGCACCTCGTGTCTCAACTCTGAAGGGAGTAAAAAAACACTAATGACAAGTTTTTGAAATTCAAAAACTTCAGCCTTCTCGCACCTGGTTTTCTTTGTGAAAAAGGAAAAAGCCATAATGAAACTGCTAATTCATTCTGACCAAGTTTGTCAGAATATATCACTGTTAAATAGATGAATGGTTGAATTCCGCGTACTGATATTTTTTTTTTGTTAATTAGAAAAAGTAAATTGATTGTTTGGTTAAATTTCTTATGGGTCTGCAATGGACATCATTGACTGCATCAGTTCTTATCCTGCGTTTTATAATGCTTTTGACACCTGATTTTAAGGCTATAAACTGTTACAGTAGGCATTGTCTTGTGAATATGAATTATCTTCTAATGTTTTTTTTCTTTTTTTGGTTGTTTGCAGAATTGGCTATCTGGATATTTTCAAAGTTGTGGAGCTGACATGCGAGGAACATCAGAAGGAGTTGGTTACCTCTCCTTCTTTGGAAGAGATTATTCACTATGATTTGTGGGCCCGAGAATACGCTGCTAGTTTACAGAGCCCTTCGAAAATGACTCCCATTCCAGCATGACGATGACTCTGCATTGAATAGCTGGGAGATTTAATGGCCTCCTCCTTACTTCTCCCTTGCTTCTTCATTATTTTTGTTGGCATACCCTATGTAGAATTGTTGCACATGTCAAAAGCTTTTTGCCAGAAATGGCTTCCGAAAATGCATCTCAGCTCATTCCCCAGTTCAATAATGAGAAGGTTTTGTTTAATGGAATGCTATATCTCACAATGACAAGGACAAAAGAAGCTAACGAAAGCAAAAGGTTCAATTGAAAGGCCTCATGAATCCTCCCCGTTTCTTAAATTCTTAATTTCACGTGTTTCATGTGGGAACCAAAGTCTAATAATATTTCATCGGGATTGCAGTATATTGAAGATCATTTGCCCCAACTCGAACATGTGCAACACATTTGCTCCGTTGATTGATAACGACCAGGGAACTCAGCTATTTGATTAATATTTAATCGGATCAGATGATGAACCTGTACAATTCACGACATATCAGCATGCACGGCCTACTCATTAATCCTGATTAATTAATTATTAATTACCACTAAAAATCAAAAGAGTTAGAGACAAGATGGCACGCCTTTTCTAGGGTTCTCCGTCAAGAAACCACGTTTCCATCAAATGCTAATGAAATGCTGACACCCGGCCATTCCCAACATCATTTAAATTTAGATATTAATAAAAAAAAGGCAATAGTTAGGAAAGCAACTAGAGGGTGAAAGATTGGTCACCTCATTGGATATCGCAACGCCAGTGGAGATAGCATCGAAACAGAACCTGCAAATAGCAGCAAGATCTAAGAGTATTTGAATATAATCGAAACTATAATTTTAAAAGTATTTTTATAAAGGAGGAAATTTGTTTCGTTTTAAAAAAAGCGTTTCAAAAAAGTATCTTTGGGTATTTCCAAATACTCCTATAGTCACATATATATGGTTACCCTTTCTCCCCCTCTCTCCATATATATGTATATATAAAATATGGATGGATGGATGGATGGATATATTTATTTACCCATGCACAAATTTTGTAGCGCCATGAAGTGGCCAGATGGGTTCACATGTAAGTTCTATAGCACCACAAGCTCCGCTGGTTACTTCACAAATCAACCGATAAGATCACCATCAATAAGCAGTTGATTCTAAGATTCTTTTTATTTTATGTTTAGAGCAATCATCAATAGGGAGAAAGAAAGATAAAATCGCGTTTGGCCTAAAAAGGAAAAGAAAGAAAGAAAGAAAGAAAGAAGAAAAAAAAAGAAAAAATCGCCATCTGACGGAACAGGAAAGAACAGGAGAGGTTGAATGTGACATACCACTGGCAGCCATATTTGAAGAGAAGGGGAAACGGAACGACGATAATAGTTCTATTTTATCTTTTTTGGCCAATAAATATTATGTACTAAATGTGTCTTATTTACTGTTTATTTAAATTTCTTATGTTTTAGAATAATTGCCCATTTTATTTCAGCAGACTTCATTCTAATCACTGTGATCATCATAATTCATTACGTATATTGTATTTTCTTATTCTATATTCATTCTCATTTATTGTGAATACTCTTAATTTGGACACCCCATTAACTAACGAGACAGAGAAACATATTTAGCAAGAAAATGGGAAGTAATTGATATTATTTTGAAAGATAAAAGTTGAAATCCATTCAAATCAGTTTCGATATCCTAACAAAACTGAAAAGCGACCTTGATGTCCAAATAACTTGCATAATTCTAGCTCTGAAGTCCTAAAATTTGCAGACATGTTCGTGTATCTGTGCATTTGTATAAAAGATCCAATGCATTTAAACAAAATGATGCTGATTCAGTGTTTTCAATCTCAGGATAAGGTCATATAATGGACAAAATAACAAAAGCAGAGTTTGGCACTTTGTGATGTCTGGATTTCATTTCTTTGTGGTCCTGCCAGGCCAAACAAGAAATTTTGGCTTTCGTTTTACTTGTTTGTTTCTCTGTACTGCTGAAACGGAATCACTCAGAGTCCTATCACATCTATGCCTATTCATAATCTCCTGTTCATTGCATTTCACGAGAAGCATGCTTCATTGGCCCTTTTTTAAGTCTTGCGTCATCAACAAGCCCAAAGAGAGCATCATCTCTTGAACGCTCTCTAGCTACGAGGTTTAGAGCTTCCATGCAGTCACTCAACACAGCCACTTTTCGGTAGTCTTTTCACTCCAAACAAAGCTTTTGTTTCCTCGTAATATTATTCCCTTCAGTTCTCTGTTCTGCTCCCACTTGCCAATCGATTTATCAATTGAATGCAGTTTTGCATCAGATAATATGTTGCGCGCACACACTCTCTCTCTCTCACGGTTTCTGGGAGAGACCATAACTGCCTATTTTCGTATATCTGTAAACACAGATGAAATCTACGATCAGGTTGCTCGTTAGTTAATATTAGTCCCTTGAATGATTTTAAATGGGTAAATTTTCTGATTGGGTTTGTGGCTTTGCAGGTAAGATTCCCCATGGACTGAGTGGGACCGACTCACTTTGGAGTGTTCGGCACAACCTTCATGGCTTTTTTGCCAAACAATAACAAGTTGGTCTTGGTTCCCCCAAAGAAGACCGAGCCGATGCACATGGTGGCCACAACCTCAGCTATATGTGACTGATCCGGTTGTTTTCAGGTACCCAACAATAGCAAAGGGCATATGAACTGCTCTTTCACAAAACAACAAAAACACACCTTAGAAATGCTTTATTCCAACTCATTAGGAAGGTTAGTTTTAGATTAATGAACTGATGACTCAAATTTGCTAAGTGTGACTACTTGAAATGTACAAAATTGGGAAAGGAAGAGTATTGAAGGAATGAAGCAAGGTGGCTCTCAGTGGTTATGGAACAATCGTTCAGGGTTGCATGGAATCATGAAAGCTTCTTGAAGTGTTAGAGATCTTAACAATGGTAGCTAATGCATGATTTTGCTAGTCCGTGGATGAAGATTTGTCGAGGAAAGCAGCTAGGGAGCATGAAATTCTTAAAACTTTTGATGTTCTAAACTTAATCCCACCACTTCAGATTAATCTATCAGAATTCATAGTCTATGTATCTGTTAGGTAGTGTCATGATACTTTCACATTGCCAACCATAAAGACTCAATGCTTAACACAATATACATTCCCAATCTATTAATATATGTTGAAGCAACTGGACAGTGAATTGGTTCGAGTTGTGCCGTGTTAAAAGTTATTTCACTACCGTGGGTAAATGTAAATGCGGCACCCTTCAAGATTAAACAAACCTTTCCTACAAAAGACTGGATGACCGAACGGCAAAAATATCACAGAGACTCAGCGGCAGAAAAATAATAGGAGGAGAAGATAGCAGAGAGGAGAAATGATACTTGAAAGCTTAAGAGCGATGCATTGAACACTCTGTCCCGAACCCTTTTATATAGGCATCAAAGCATTTGAACATTGGGCACCACACTTATGACAATAAACATGATTAAATCTTTAGTTTCAGATGTTGGCACAATAAACACAATTTACACCTTCGGTTATGAACATTAGGGGCACCCAAAATTGAAGTTTAGGACGTTGGCAAGCGTCAACCCATGAAAAACCGTTTAAGGATCAACGAAGAAGTATTCTCAGACTATGAACCAGACTTAGACAGATAATACTTACCACACAACGATGTCAGTAAAGCCTGCTTCTATGAACCAACAACTCTTGGTGTGTGCCAGAGATATTAAGAGTTAGATTATACTCCCACAATTTTCACTGTTGCCGCTGGTTTTGCACGTTATAAATTGTTCACCCTCACTAAGAAATGCATTTTAACACTTCTCACATCATAGTGGATCTGCCAAATGCACTTTTGATCCAACAAAATTGATTGAGACTACTTTGTCTTTAAGCAGCTGTCTCATAATATTATGCCTCAATCGTACGTGTCAAGAAGATGATATATATACACTTGAACCTCCTTTATTTTGAGCAATATGAGACTTCACTTTTGACACACCCACTTATATTCACAACAATATATATTTAACACACAAATATGGTGACAAAAGTATCTTATATTGGTGCTTTGTAAAGAAGGAAGATAGAAGAGAGAAACTTAGATTGTCAATGAGGTGATCCCTTGAAATTCTCTGGCTACCTTCCTTAGCAAATCTTTATCTAAAGGCTTATAATATCGTGCATTAACTGCAGTCATTGGGATCCCCAACGCTTCAACAAGCCTCTATGCTTGAATGCAATTTTGGACCACTATTCAACACCCAAAAAGAGCCACCCTGCTTCCTTCCCTCGGATACTCTTCCTTTCCCAAACTATGACATTTCAAGTAGTCTAACTTGGTAAATTTGGATCACCAATTCATTGGTCTATGTCTAACTCTAATGAGGTGGAATTAAGTACCTCTAATGGTGTGCCTCTGTTGTTTTGTGAAGTAGTGGTCCCTATGCCGTTTCCTCTTGGGTACCTGAAACAGCTTGGTCTGTGATCTATGGTTGCAGCTGTTTTAACCATGTGCATGAGCTCGGTTTCTTTGAAGGAGCCATGGCCATCATGTTTGGCAAACAAGCCATGAACGTTGCGCCCAACAATTGCTGCTGAAATAGAAGCAAGGAAAGACATAGATATGGCCAACAGAGAGACCCTCATTGCTGGAGGTCCTTCTGTTCTACGTTGTATTTGATTGTTGCGATGGGAGATGCCCGTTTGTATGGTAAAAGTTTTTATAATCATGGTAGTATGTTTGTTGCACGTTTCTCTCTTTTCTACCATATTTAATTTTGTAATTGTGTAAAAAAGAATTATTTTTGTAAACTCTATAAAGATTCAGTCACCATGACAGTACTTTCGTTGCATTTTAATCTTTTTCAAAGCATAACAAAGAAATTCTTCCAGCTGATTCAGAGCATTCTGCCATTTTCCAGGTATGGAACGAGGAAAGCGCAACATCTGTCAATAATGTTCAACAAGTTCAAGGGACTCTCTATTCTCATGTCATTTATTACGTTTAGGTCTTGTTTGATAGGAAGCATTGAAAATTAGAGATAGGGATTGGGATTGGTATTGGTATTGAGAAAATCTATTAAAAAAGTATATAGCATAAGAGATTACTTGTCATATGGGATTAGCTAAACCTATGTATGTGGGATTGAGGAATACTATAGGGGGAAGTGGTATTCCCCAATCCTACTTCTATAAGTTTGTCTAATCGTATGTAACAAATAATTAATCATGCTAAATACTATTTTAATGATTTTTCTCAATTGCAATCACAATCCTTATCCCTCATTTTCAATGCTTCCTACCAAACAGGACCTTATTGTTGTGTATAATCCTAGTTCACTCGAGCAATTGTTCTTCTTGGTCCATTTCTTTCTGCTGCTAAGTGCTCAAGACAAAACTCTAAAGTATTCTTCTCTGCTGTGTTTCCAGGGCTTGCCAGATGGTGAACTTGGAGAATCATTTCAACTGCATCTGGAGCTGCTTTGACTGGTGAAGCCTAATTGAAGCATCTCAATCACTTGTTCTGGGGAATAGAAAACAAATTGCTTTTCTTTCTTAACAAAATTAAATCCAATTCTCTTAAATGCAGCTGAGTATGTCTGAATGAGCAATGACTTGAATGCTTTGTGTTTATACTTTAGATAGATGTGAAGCATTTTTCTTTCCTGAATCAGAAGGGAACTTGAAGGGAAATATATGACACCTAAAGTTCATGTGTGCTTTTGAATTTCTGGTTGTTTCCAACTAGTCATATGATCTGTTTGAATCAGTATCCTTTTATGGCCAACCTTAGTTGTAACAATATATCCGGTTGCCGCCAACTATTTTTTGGTGGGGCCTAGAAGTACTCGAAGCACATCACTTGTTTGTAGTTGAATATGAAGATATTGAAATTGCCTTGCCTCCAAAACTATCATAAACTCGTGCTGAATGATCGAAACACAGCAAATATTTAATTCTTCCCTATGTCGCGTGATGCTTGTTTCAGAAGAAACCCACATGCTGAATGATTATACATACAACTTCTGGGCCCTTGGCTGAAATAGTTCGAGAGCATTGCTTGAGGCCGTGTTTAAGTTTAGATAATTTAACCTTGGAAAAGAATACAAGAAGGTCAAAAGGTTCATTACGACTTGTTAAATCATTTTCTCATGCTAAGTTATTTTTCTATTTTCAGGACTCATAGGTTCTGGCACTAATTGGTTGGCCTGATATTCTGATATATGCTTGCTAATTCTCTATACGATGTCTTGGCCACGAAGACTTTATTGGTTTGAAATAATCTTTGCAAAGTACTATCATTTTTCCTTGAAGCTTGAAAATTTTGGTTAAATATAAGTGCAACCAAACTTTTCTTTAGTTGTTTCATTGACGAAAAGTAAGTGACTTAGTTATTTCCTCATTTCAAGCATTTCACTGAGAATTTCATTGCGCCCATGTATGTTTTCAACGACTCATCAACGTCCCTGAAATTGCTCTTATATGAATGGTCGAATGGAGATGGGAAACGTGATCCTTTGGTAAATCCGAGGCTCCCATCTCTGTCTGATAAAGAATTGCATGCTCTACCAGCGCACGCTGGCACAAATGGATGAGGGTCTGTGTCCCTTAATCATCGTTTTTGGATTTGATCCTGCTAGAGGATGGGAATGGAGCAAACGTGTTTGGGAGGGTCGCCCCCTTCTTGGGCCTTTATAGTACCCGGGTGATTAGTCATTGGGGGACCGTCCCGGTGGATACACTGTAACAAAAAATTACCCAAAAAAGAAGAAGAATTGCATGCTCTACGCGTCTGAAGGAAGTAAAAAAGTGAAACAATCTTCAAACAACTTCTCATTTGCATTCTTAGGTTTTTTTAAAAAGAAAAACCCATAACTATATGCAGCTAGCTTGCAAAGCTCAAATTCCAGAATGAAGCTGCAATTAGGAACTTGGGCCTTTCATGGCTTCCTGCCAACTGCTACCATATTTCACCATCATTTCTGTCGGCATCGAGCAATTAAAATCATCTGTACATTTGATGCAAATCGAAGCTTCTGCAAGAAATGGCTTCCAAAATGTATCTCAGTTCATTCCCCTGTTGTCTCACAATGATAACATATCACATGGATAATTATTAGAAGCTAAACTTGATTTTGGCCCAAAAATGTTCTAAAGGTCTTATATTTCTTAAATGTCATATTTTAATGTTGAAATCAAGTGTAATAATATATTCAATGTGATTGTACAACATTGAAGATCATTTGCCTATCCTTATAAAAGCGTCAAAATCTTCTATTTGCCTCGCCGTCTAAACTAAAGCGTTGCCTTTTTCCTCCTTTCATTTTAAGTTGCGATGATTAACCAGGGCACTCCTGGAGGACCTTAATTATCTGACTTTTCTTTATTTTTTTAATGCAGTGATTTATATAATGAACTCTTTCTTTTACATAATTCTATTGATAAGCATCTTCAAAAAGCGTCCTAACAATGATGAACTCAATAATATAAAATGCTTTATGAGCAAATACATATATCCAGCATGTGCAACACATTTCGTCCGGGGAACTCAGCTTTTTGAGTGGGATCAAATATCAGAGTTCGATTAAGACAGCCTCATCTTCGAAATAACGTTAATTAATTTGGACAGATCAGTGATTCCTCTCCTCATGTACAGTTGCATTTGTCTCTGTCACATTAAGTGTCTACTCAAAGGAAAGAAAAATACTTTGTTCATAATATAATTTATTCAGAGTCAACGGTTCACACTGATACAGCTGTTGAGAAGTCGTCCTTAACATATACAGATTTGATGTTAATCGCTAGTAGTCGAAGATGGGTGGATGGGTCAATTTGGAATCTAACTCTTCTCTAATTATTTCCAAAAGATGTAAGTTGGTAGAGAATAAAACTGGGAAACAGATGTATAAGTGATTAATTGAATTGAAGTTTTGTTCATCTGGGTAACATAAACTTGATATGTTATTCATATATATATATATATATATATAAATATATATATATATCAGCAATTGAATCAGAAATCCTTTGCGCTCGACTGAAGGAAGTTGATGATTGAGAAAGCAAAAATAATGAAGGACGACACAGACACATCTGACTTTGTCTGCCATTTCTATAAAAGTGGCTCGTCCACTTGCCCATTGATCAACATGGCCACCTATGTTTTCTTGTTTCACTATCAATTCATTTTGCACACACAACATTAGGATTCACTGCAAGGCATTATGATTTTGCAATATACTTTGTTATATTTAAAAATCGCATAATGAATATAGCAACTAAACATTACAAGTTTAGGTTAATACATAGGTCAATAGAATTGGACGGTGTAAAGTAAATAACAAGCTGTCCCAATGACAATGCCACCCGTCACGTTTGGATAAGGTTTCAGGTTCGAGTATGTCATTAGCGTGCTTGTATGCGCTCCAAGATGAGTATGATTATTCCAGAAGGTCAACTTTATTTACTGAATGAATATGAAAAGGAAGGATTAGAGGATATTACTAGTTTATTACTTGTTTGCTTACATACAATTGATAGTAGTGGGATTCACATGGATAAGAATCATTCTAATCAAACTTATTAATCCAGTAAACTATAATTAAATAAAGCATTTGTTCCATTTTAGAATACTGAAAAAAATTGTCCTGTTATTATCAATAGCAATGCCTAAATGGCATATCCGCTCCTATGACGTTAGTTGCTTTATTAACACTGTTCTCTTTTGTAAGAGAAAGAAATGGTTTTTTTTTTTTTTTGCTAAAGTATAGGTATCACAATTCTATTTGAGGCACGGAGATTAAATGTAAACACCTCTCCCAGTGGGGATTCGAACTTTGATTCGTCACGTTGTGAGGGGCTAGTCCCTTCTGCTAGACCCAACCCTTATTAGTGGAAAGAAATGATTATTAATGGTGACATAATAAAATCATTGCGTTTACAAAGAATATAAAGTCACAATTGGGCTGCTGATTAAGAAATTAAAGAAATTGATGATTCGTCCTCTTCCTCCTTTCCTTTTCTCTTTTCCTTCCTCTGGGTGTGAAAAGGTTGGTGTAGCTTAATGAAGCCATCATTATTATTAACAAAAATAATTTCAGGTTTCAAGCTTTCCCAATCTTCACTCTTAAGATTTTTTTATAGCCTGGTATTAATCAAAAGTAAAAGGGTGGGTGTGTGTGAAAAGAGCTTGAACTTGTTCCATTTTGGCCTGCTATGCTATGACATACATTGGGTAATGGAGAATTGTGTTATAGGACATATTCTGCAAGATTTTATGTGAATGGTTGACTAATCCTCTTCTGGTTTGCTTCCTGCTTTGATTTGTCCAATCCTTTTCCTTTCTTCTGGGTCCCTATTACTTACCCCCCAAGCATTAATTGCTGGTGAAATCAGAATTCTCTGAAACATGTTGTTAGCAGAAAATAAGGTAATCTATCTATCTGCAATCTGCATTGACTAATCCTGTGTGTGTTTGAGTTGTGAGATGCCTAACAAACGACAACGACAACAACATTAAACCTAGTACAGAGACGACATGAATTAACATTTACTATCAATACACAAGCTCTTTAAAAGGGGAAAAATAAGGGCAAGAGATAAATAGATGTTATATATATATATATGTGCGCCAATTGCCGCCATGTTGTGCGGCGGATTTGGGTGGTTTGAAAGAAAGCTAAATGCTTTTGGATTAGGATTGACGAGTGGTTCCCACATTTTCAAATCAGAAAGTTCTTAATCCTAAATTTCTTGATAGTATTAGTAGTCAATCAAGTTGAAAGTTAAAACCTTGCAATGGTGGAAGTATGGTAATATGAATGGAATGCTATGTACTGCCTGCTTCTTCCAAAAAGGAAAAGCCATATGTCTGTGTCCTCTGTCTCTTTCGCTTTTCCCTTTCACTTTATGCATTTCCCAAATTCCAACGCTCCTTGAAAGCTCTATCCACTCCCATTTTTCCATAACCATGTTATTCCCCCTCCACTTTATAACTATTCTATTATCATTAAATAAATTAATTAAATTAGTTATTTAAAATAAAAGTATATTAATTTTTTTTAAATATACTTTTGGGTATCTTAAAAAATATCCTCTAAATAAAAAATTATAAATTTAAGAGTGAGAGTGAAATGATGCTTTGTACTATCTTTAATTTTTAATAGAAGAGTTAGTTGACTAATTTAAATAAATTAAAAAAATTAATTAAGTTAATTATTTGTAATAAATATGTGTTATCTTTTCTAAAATATTCTTACTAATCATGTGTATTAGTTAGAACTATCATTTAATAAAATCTTTAATATGTGTAACTACTACTAAGACTATTCTGAAAAAAATAGACACAAACAAGAAATAAAATATATTAAAATCTTATATTTAAAACCTAATTAAATATAAAATTACTTCTTATTTTAAACACACAGGATAGGAGGCAGTATTTAAATCCGGAGGTATTGTGTATGCACTGTGTGTATGTGTGGATTCACAGAGAGGACAAAAGAGGAAGACCGCCGCACCAAGTCAATCCAGAGACTACAACATCCAATATGAGAAGAACATTGCATTTTGTTGCTGTCTGGTAAACGCCTACCCTGATTTCCACCCCCACAAGACTCCAGAAACAATAATGTGTACTTAGATTTCAAGATCTGAATTCCATACTGACCCCTTATCAATGGTTAAATTTTCTGTTCATCTCTAGGCACAGAAATTTAAGGGGTAACACCACCAAAAATACATTAGCAAGTCATTATTTATAAATCAAGTTGTTAATACATATGACTTGTTCTTAAGAAATTCTGCTTTTACCATTCTTAAGAACATATGTACATGTGGGTCTCATGCAAGGACCTGGAGATTTCAGTTAATATTGGTTAGGGAAGTTCATATGATAGTGAATAGTGATGACCTCATACTGGCTTTCCATTATTAAACAAGTACTAATACTTCTCTCATAAATTTTTCTCTTACCCTGCTGCTTGTGGGCAACTAATTAAATTTTCAATTAATTAGTTGTCATTTATTATAAATTATATATGTATAACTTTGGCCTGAAAAGAGAAAAGAGGAACTGAATAAATTGAAGAGCTAGCTCTAGAAAGTGCAAAAACTCACAGGATTAAGATGGAAGGTTGGGTGGAAGATGATAATATAATAAATAAAAGAGCAGCAAAGCGATGACAGGTTCAAAGTTGGAACCTTGTTTCTAGAACATATAAAAAATCAGCCCTGCTGCTTTCTTCTTCACCCAGAAAAGGTTAAATTAGGTTGAGGTGTTTATTTATTAAACGCGTCACCTGCTTTATAGTTTATATCACCTTCAACCCATACTTTATTTAGAACCACATTTTACGTCCTCTGGGGAGAAATTTTTTTTGATAAATTTAATTACAATTTTAATAAAATAAGTCGTGATAAAGAAAAAAAAGAAAAATTAAATGAGAACTTTTAACATTACTTTTTCATTTTAAAAAAATCAAACCAAACAATAACCTAAAATTTAAGATATTCTGTCTGATATATTTAATCTTGTTAGTTGCAAAATTAAAGTATGAATATGATTTCATATGATTTAATCACATTAACTGTTGAATGAATATAATAATAACGGGACTGTTCCTGAGTTGAGTGATTCTCAGCTGTTAATCGCATTTCTTTTCTTTTCTTTTCTTTTCTTTTTTTATAACATTTATATTTCTTTTCTATTCAAGTTGGAACCGACAAATCTATATTTTCTCCGCAAACACAAGAAAAGGAAACTCTAGGTCAATTAAAAACAAAATCTCTTCTACTCAAATTTATGTTGATAAGATCATAGTTTACGTGTTGCTAATTAATTTTGAAACTTCAAAGTATAATTAAATATTTTTTCCTCAGGGATGAAAAAGGCTGCAAAAACTCAAACGTTAGATAAATAATAACCACGTAGCATATAAAACGTATACGAAAAAATATGTTTCCGAATTACGAAAACCCTTGACATCGTCAAATTTTCAAAATGAATTGAACACTCCTATTTAAATAAACAAAATATTTAAGAAACAGCAGCAAAAAAAGTGAATATAATAGACTCATACACATCTATTTGATTACACTACTTTCTCTTTCACAACCGCATATCTAATTTCAATCTATTTGTAAGAAATTTACTCTAGGTTTTGATGGAAAGAAAAATAGAGGGGGGAAAAAATAAAAACTTCAAAAATAATAATTTTTTTTGTTTACTTTTAAGAGTTTTTCTCCTAATATTTCTTCTCCCATTTTTCTTTGGTTCGTCCTTCCATCCATCCAAACCAAGTCCGCCACCTTGTCCGTTTGCAGCTGGGTTTATCCACAATATTCCCAAATAATCGTCTTCTTCAACTTTTAACTTTTAGCATGTTAACCCAAATATCCAAGTCTATTTCCGTGTGAGACCCACACGCATTTCTCTGAATTTTACGAAATTACTCTGTCTACCTCACCATGCAGGCGCCAGCACACACATCATTCTTCAGAATTTGTTCAAATACTGCTACCCTCTTAAATTGTATTTTAAGAAAGCCAAATCTTTGAGGGCAAAGTGAGAGCCACTCTTTACGACCCTTTCTCTCTTTTTACACTAAATCAAATACCAAATCTGAACTAACCCCACTACTAAGCTCTTCATGGTTCATACCCGCTAAAAAGTTTCAAGGAATAATCTCATTCTCGCCCACTTTAATTACAATAAAGAGTAAAGGGAACTGATGTAATTAACCCCACAGAAGAAGAAACCAGAAAAAGCAAACACTAGACAAATCAAAAGCATTATATATAATCAGGTGATTTAGAAGAGAAATGCAAAAGATTAACTTAAATTTGTACTTAATTGCATTTCAAAATGGACGCAGATTCCTACCAAGTCCGTTCACATTTGTGAAAAGTCCTATGAATTCCTGCCTGTAAGGCAACGGCTGTTTTCTCTTACTTTCATCCTCTTCTTTTGCTGGAGCTATGGTTCTGCTGGGTTGGGATGCCTTCTCTGATGAGACGTTGGCATTATTGTCGCCGGAGCTGGGCTTGGACGCCTCGTGAGCCACTTTGTTGCTCTTGTTGCTCGTTGTGAAGATCACGAGCGGTACCTTCCCATCGCTGTGGCTTCTCGGAAGTAGGTCCCGTAGCTTCCACCGCTTCGACGAAGACCCCGTCGAACTGCTCTTCTTGCACGGCCTTTTCCACGACGCCGACGACGATTTGGGATCCCACACGCAATAGGTCCCCGAAGCCACACCGTCAAGGTCAATGTCTTCTGCTTCAGAGGTCGAAGAGGAGCACGACCCGGTTTCTCGCTCCTCGAACATGAGCTTCCTAAGCGGAAGTCGGCGGCGACGAACAGCCCCCGTTTCATCGGTGTTCTGAGTCAGCGAAACAGAAGAAACGCCGTCAAGTAAAGAGCGGTCGAAGATGGGGTACGTGGGCCTGATCTGACCGTTGTAAAATATATCATCGGCGGATACCGGCGAGGAGTGTGGATCCCTGCAAACAAAAGCGAACTCAAAATCGTCGTCGTCCTGATGGTGAGCATCACCGTCTGCTTCCTTCTGATGGACGTCTGAGCGGTTATCATCGGCGTCGGGGTGCCATGAATCATAAAGAGAATCGTCGGAGAGGGGAGAAGGGTCAGAGTGGAATTCCTGGATGACGCGGGCGGCAATCTCAGCAAGGGTCTCGGAGGAATAGCTATTGAAACTGGGAGAAGGAGAAACGTGAGAGGACTGGGACTGCATCATCTGGAAGTTGATCATACAGAGCTTTTTTTTTTTTTTTTTGGGCGAAAGATCATACAGAGCTTTGATTTTGGTTGGAAAGAGAAGAGCGTACGATGCAGAGAGAAGGAAATGGTTCTCAACTACTGTGAACGATAAGATATATATAGAGAGAGCAGGACTGTGAGTGGCTGGTTGAATTGATTTTAATAAGTTAAATAATAATAATGATAATGATAAATGGAAATTAAATATGGAGCTCAAGCGAGGTACGATTGGCTGAGGTCAGATTTATATTCTGCGTTAACGATGGGTGGCTGCAACGCTGCGTGTGATCCTGGCTACCCCTTCCCTTTCCTTCTGATCTTTCATTATACTACGTTATATTTTTAATATAAGATTTTATTTAAATTTTATTTTGGTTATAAATATAAAATTTCAATCCACTTTGTCTATCATATTTATATATATTTTTTTAAAATAATCTTTTCAATAATTGTAATTCTAACCAATACAGTTGATTAGTAGAGATATTTTAGAAAAAGACAATACATATTCGTTACAAATAACTAACTTAACTTCTCTCCTTAATCTCCTCAAATTAATCAACTAACTCTTATAATTAGGACTGAAGGTAGTATACTACCTCCGCTCTTAATTATAAGATACGGTTTAAAAGAGGTCTTAATTAGAAGATCTCGCTTGTAATTTTCAAACGAGTTCTTATAATTAGGATTGGAGTAGTATTTTTTTTTTTTTTATGAATTATGACATTTTACTAATTGTTATTATAATTGTTTTAACAAATTATAAAAATGGTAAAGTATTTTAGCCAATACTAACTTTGATGCTTAATATAAAAATTAATGTCACATTCAATGTAATCCTAAATATAATACCTCAATTTATTTTGTTTCTTATATTTATCTATTTTTTAAAATAATCCTTATAGTAGTTACACATGTTAAACATTTTATTATAGTTTTAACTAGTACGCATGATTAGTAAGAATATTATAAGAAAGATAATATGTAGTTTTCATAAATAGCTGATTTAACAAATTTTTTTAATTTATTTAAATTAATCAATTAATTTTTATATTAACAAATGTAGCTAGTGTGTAATTAAGGCTGGGGTGTATTGGGCAATAATTAAAATTGGTTAAAGAGACCAAAATTAGAACTTAGCAATATACACAACGAGATGCCAAAATGTTTCAAAAGAAGATTTTGAGGTTGCCTAGTCGAGACGAACCACGTGATCCGGTTTTATACTGGCAGAGCATGTCTGCGCCTGTGGGGTTTCACACATCCAATTTGGCCGCCAAAAAAGTGGTGCAAGGAAAAAAAAAAAAAGGGGGCAAAAAGTGACTAATAGTGCTCATGAAATAAAATTAAACAATTCAATAAAAAGATAAAATGTTACAGGTTTGAAATTAAAAATTGTCGGGAAGACATAGACACATGTAAAATATTTTTTATAAAAATTTTGAAAAATGTTATATAAAACTTGAGAGAAAATATAATTAGTTATTAATGATAAATTAATATTCGGGCCATTTTAAAATATAAGTTTTTTATTAAGAATTTCATAGACTGATTGAGAAACGCAATCAGCACATCAAACTATTGACTATATTATTAAATTTGGTCTTAATTTAATGTCAAAAGCATTTTCGCCTGTCTTGGGAAAAAAAAACCATGTTCACACGATATATTAATAAGAATATGATAAGAGAAATGGTAATAAATACTTGTATTATTATATATTTTTTAAAAACATAGTATTAAATGAGACAAAAAAAAAACTCTCTTAAAAAGACTCCATATGTTTATTTACTCATCTCTGTTTGCTAATATTTATGGTCACATTAAAAGAATTATTATGTACTTAAAACTTTAATAATTTACCTTATATAAATAGAAACAAAGAGTTAAAAAGACCGGAAGAAGCATTGATTAAAAAGAAGAAAAAAAAACTCTGGCAAATAAAAGTGGAGAAAAAGCAGAATTGAGGTGAGAGGTGAGAAATTGGTGGCGGCAATGGTTGGGGGAAGGGAATGATGTGGAAGGCAGCGTATGATAATGATTGAAAAAGAGCATCATGTGGGCCCGACGCTAGTGGCTACCACTCCAGAGGCGGTGATCCATTTTACACAAATACCCCTCCCCCCTCACGCTCTCCCTGTGATCCTCCTCATCAACCTCGCCACCAGGCAACCTCGTCCTCTCCTCCTCTTCCTCCTCCCATCCCCTTTCCATGATATTTCCCTCCCACCTTCCCTTTATGTTCTTCAAAAAAAAAAAAGAACATTTTATTTCGTAGGTTTCGAAAATTTATTTATTTAAACCAATGAGAATTGGGTACAGTAGAATAGGCTAAGTCCTCAGAAAAAGTTTGAATTTTTATTTTTTACTGGTAAAATATATCCTTAACCGTAGTTGAACAAGACTAAGTGAAAGAGTAATTGTAAGTAACAAAAACACTTCAGGTTAATGAATGTAATTTAATCCAGCAATATTTATTTATGATTTAACTTCATATTATGAACTAGAATTAAATAGAAGAAGCAGGGAGGCTCGTGCTTAATGTCTTTTACAAGATCAAATATGGCCAGCTTCGAAGGAGGCTAATCTTTTCTTAAAAGGGATATCATGAGCCCTTCAAACACTCCTAATCATGATGATGACAATAATCATTCACCAAATTAAACAAATTATACTCTTAACACTCCAATGAAGGAATCTCAATCATATGCAATCAACTTCCCCACTGTACTGTTAAGGCCTACCTACAAATCTCAAGACACTTACAAGTGGACACCACTTTTGACACATAAACATCAAGTAGTTGGTAGTTTCATAAGATAAATATAATTTCCAATTGAGACGAACACAACTCTCGGGTTTTGTACGCTTAATTAAGCTGCTCCAGAATTTATTTATTTATTTGGACAAAAAAAAAAAAAAAGAAGCTGGGTTGGGTGTTTGGAGGTGGATTGCACTCTTGTGCTTCTTGTGATGTCAACCACCAACACGGCCATTTGTCAAGCTGGCTTGGCCTATTCTTATTGGATAACATCGCGACCTCTGTGTGTGTGTGAGAGAGAGAGAGAGAGACGCATTTATATGAATATGATTTTGTGAGATGATCATCTTAACTTAATCAAACTTAATTTAGTTAGTTGTCTTATTTAAGTCCCGGTGAATGGTGATAATGCATAGATGAAGCTTGGCCAACAAGAAAGAGCGCCCCAGAGTACGTGGCATGTTTTGTTTATACGAATACTGACTCCATCTTCCCACACAAGAAGCGCAAATAATGAGTAGCCTAAAAGCCAAGAAAAATCAAACAAAAAGAAACAGATAGGTAGCACACGTGTTTCCAGTTGAAAATTTCTGTCTTTATCACATACTCTGAAGCCCAAAGGCGGAAAAGAGAGTGAATGAAAAATCAGTAAGGTGAAGAGTTGCTGTGTCCCTTATTTTGAAAGGGCTGGCTTGGCCTTCAATTTCATGGGATCGGATTGGCCGACACAATATATGCATTATAAAGCAAATCCAAACAATGTGTGTTTGGGCCTTCTTCTATCTATTTCATGGAAGGATTTGCCACTTACCAACACAGTCCATTTGCCCCAGCAAAGCTGTTTCCTACAGTTTAAATGGTTGGATCATTGGAAGGATTTGCCACTGTCTACGCGGCAAAATATCATTCACTTGACTAATATTCTTGGCTTAAATCCAATGGTCAACATGTTGCAACGTAAGTAGTGTAATATGTCACGAGGGATTCCGTAAGTTGTCCTGATAAATTATGCATTATGCAGCATCCAATCGCTGGTTGATAATACCATTACCCCTCAGATATGCACACAGGAAACTTGGTGAGCAATGGGCCAAGTCTGTGGCCTTGGCTAAAGATGAAGTCTTGTCAGAAGAAGACCCCATCAGAACATGAAAACTACATGAAAGAAAATAGAGACATGAAACTAGTGCAAATGTTGACATCCAACAACTTTTAAGAGATGCAGTGGATCCAAATTCAAAAATTTATATCATGGTTATTGACAAAACAGGGTGAACTCCACATTTCAGAGAAGAAACCACAGTAAAACCATTCAAGGATGTCCTTATAGGTTTCCTTGTTCCTGGATGATATATTCCATTCCGAATATCTACAAGGTAAAAAAGAAAAAGAAAGCTACTACTTGATAATACTCCTGTGCCTACATTTCAACAGATGTCAAATTTTCAAAAGCCACACAGTTCCTCACCCAGAATGTACAGTAAAAATTGGTTAACAAGTCAGTAACCAGTGATCCCTCTAGCCGATGATGTCTGTTGTGCCTCCTCTCTATCAGTGATTTCGAGTCACTGAGCATCATGTCAACTCCAGTGTGATATCTACCTGTTATCAACTAATGGATCTCGTGAAGGAATATGTTCCGTTTTAATGACCAGCTGTTTTATTCTACTTCAGTTCTTCACCTTAGCTGAACGCTTGCCCGTTTTCTGAAGTACAAATTCATATTCACACTGTTAGATTCCATAGCAAATACATGCGCAAAGAACAAGGATGAGACTGCAAGAGTTACTGCTGCAAGATATATAAAGTTCCTAACTACCACAGATGCAGAAAACTAAATAAATTGGACCCAAGTTTAAGCCTCAAACGATTTCCTCTTCATATATAATGGCTTATTTATTTATTTATTTATTTCTTTTGCCTAATAATCTAGCAACCGCTCCAAGATTAAAAACCACGTGATTTTCACATCAAGGAAGCTGCACTCTGGCATCATGCACTCTTGCAAGTATATTAACACTTGCAAAGAAATCCCCAAAAATGAAGATTTAACAACCAAATTGAAAAGCAAACAGCAAAAATCTTCAAGCACTTCAATTAATATGACATGACATAGTTTGCAAGATGTAGAGCACTAGCACTAGTTGTATAAAATCTACGAAGCCAGTAAGGTTGATTTTTGTCAATTGTCACTGTGTTGAAAAAATGATAAACCAAATCACAAAGGGAGAGATTAATAGCACCTTTCCCTGAAAGATTTGATGACTGAAATCAGCAACTCATCTCCTGCTATTTGTCTTACTTTTTGTACGAGTTCTTTCCGCGAAATCTTCTTTTCCTGAAAATGAGAGGAAGCTCCATTAGTGAGCTCATGTCAAGTGACAATAATAGCTTTGGCAAAGATTAGAGTGAAGGAGTTAAACCACCGGAAGGAAGTCAAAGCACTTACTTGGTAATCTTTGTGGAACTTGGAGATGAAGGCAATAGCAGATGGAGGCAAAAGCTTAGAGAGCCCAGAAATTACACTTGGAAATGGAATCCAAGGGGAGGATGGTTTTCTTAAAGTTTCTTCAAACTTCACCAGCTCTGCAAAATTTTAGAACATTCCACACATTAATTTTACAACTTTCCGAATACCATAAAAACAGAGTAACCCCATCACATACTGTTCTCGTGCATACCTTTCATGCTAGGAGCTTTGAAACTTATAACATATTCTGGAAAAACATGCGTGTTCATCCGGGCACACCAAATGATATACTTCTTGGGAGCTGAAAGGCTGTCCACCCCTGAGTCATATTCTTCAGAACTCGGATTACATTGATCAGAACCAGGAAGCACAAGTTCCTGCCTCCCCAAAATAACGCGACACAATAATAAGTGTCTTAGACCGTCTCTGTCAACCATAGAGCTTTTCAAACTACAAAACAGCAAGAATGAAATTTCATTAACTTGTGAATTAAGATTGAAAAAATGCAAATAATAGTCTAAAAGCATTTTAAAATGAATAAGTGTCCGACATCCATTTTAAGATGTTGTGCTGCTTTATAAAGAACTTTTTGTATACCTTTCCATAGGAGAATCATCTGAATAGAGAGATAATCCGCAAGCATAATGTCCATCATTCTGAGGTTTACCGCCATTACAAAAACCGTGCGAAATAATCTCTCGTATCTCTTCCTTGCCAGAAGTCCCATACCACGCAAACTTCACATTGGCATTAACACGACGCTTCTCCTCAGCTCGCATATAAACCTGAAATGATTGAACTCGAGCTTGCGCCATAACGCTAGAACAAGCATTTCTATGAATTGCAACGACCTTCGTGTTCGCTCCCAGCGTCCCTAAACCTAGAATGAATCTTCTTTGAATGAGATCATGAACGCTGTCTCCTTCAGCGAGTCTAAGAAAACCTTCACCAAGCGTCTGATGCTGCACATGATTGCTTCCAGAAACAGCACTTTCGCAATCCGAAACCGTTGATTCTTCGTTGCTCGCGGTCTCCAGGGCCGAATTCTCGACCTTCATGTAACCTGATTCATCGCTTGCCTCCTGCTTGATGGATTTGTTCGAAACTGAAGTTCCAATCTCATCAACTGCCAACCGTGGAGTAGACCCATTGTGACGGGTTTCTAACAACATATTGTCGAAACACATGGCGATGCAATGAAATCCTGTAAACTGTAAGAGAAGCACAGAAAGCTAAGTTGGAGGTATCTTCAGAATAAAGATGGGACGTGAAACGAAACCATTCAAATAAATGGATGGACGTGTTTGGAAGATATATATACCATAAAAGGAAAGAAGAAATCAAGCTGTATTATACATGTGGGTAAAACCGATAGAAAGAGAAAAACTTGGCGAGAAAGAAAACAAGGGGTCACGCAGAAGCAACCAGAGAGCTAGAAACAGAAGTGGGAATGTGATGTGAAGCGGTTTTCTTGGAGAGGAAGAGAAAACAGTTATAGGGAACAAGGGCAAGGATGAGGATTTTGAAAAACAACGTAACGGAAGGAGCTTTTGCCTTGCGATGGGCGGTGCAAATTGTTTTGGGTCGGTGTGAAATTACAGTTGCGGGTTGGTCATGATCAGATAAATTACGCGGTGAACCATGCCTTGGCGGCGATGATGACGGTTATTGACCGAGGATAAAGGTGTAAATATACATCTGGAAATGGTCCTCTATGTTGGATTGACTAATTTTAATGGCGTGCATGGGCGCTTGCAAACCGGAGCTGCCAATCTGTGGACATATTGGAAAAAGAATAGTTAGTAGTCGGTTTTATTTTTAATTTTTTTATCACGTGTTCTTATAATTATTTTTTCGACTTGTTTCCATACATAATAAAAAATTTCATCTTCCAAATATTGATATTGTATAGTAGTTTAAAATATCCAAAAATAAACAAATACTAGATCAAAATTTGCTAATGCAACATAATAGTGAGTTGATTATTCTGAGTATAATCAAAATAACATGTTTTCTTTTATATCTATTATATCAATTCTCTAATCACATATAATTTATATGTATCCCATTTAATTATAACTCTCATAAAAAATTAAACACATATTTATATATAATTAGAGAATTTGACGTAATAAAAATAAAAAAATATTAATTATTAATATGGAGTTAAAATATAAATGCTATCAGAAATTATATAGAAACGCACACAACTACTTTAGCTTTAAATTAAAAAAAAAAAGTTAAATGAAAACTTCCACCAAAGTAAAGCATTGAACAAGACAATAAATATTCCATAACATAAAAATAATAATAAAAAATTAATGGAATGCTAGGTCAATGCAAAACACTGAAATGGCCAGCCTAAAAAATATCACGTAGCGTCCCTAATTATAGACGTTAACCCTTTGTTTATAATTATTAATTTTCGGTCTTTTATTTTATGTTTTTGTGATAACTTGTATGTTAGGATTTAATATTTATAACATGAAACAAAAATAAACTACAAAAATTAGTTGAACACTAAATATAAAACCATGTAGAGAAAGGACAACTCTTCCTTTTCTTTTTCCTGAAGAACAGTTTTTCTTTCTTGGATGAAAAGATAATCAAAGGCTATTCATATAAAGATGAAGATAATCAGATACTGTCGTTACAAAATGCACAAAGAGGGTGTCTCTCCAACAATTTTGAAGGCAATATAAATTGTTATCAATTTAATTTTGATATCTTTAGTTAAATACGGTTTTTTTTTCCCTTGTACTGATCTGGATTTGTCTAGAACCCCGTGATGTTTATCCTAGATATTAGCCCCATAGGTTTCTCCCAAGTCCAAACCAAATACCAATGATTGTTGATGCTAGTTTTTCTACTATTACACTTTTCATTATCAAGATCATCTGATTTTCCTAATCCTCTGTTTTTCTTCCACTTGGAATAAAAATCCAATTGCCCTGAAATTAGATTCAGTTGATAAATCTAGCAGCAAAGATCATTTTTACAGCGCCCTTAGTATGCAGGCAAAAGCATAAACTAAGCCCACCATCCATTCGACAAAACTACTAGGAGGCATTCTCAGCTACGTATCTAACCCTAATTTTCCAAAACATTAGAAATTCGAGAGCCAACAAGATACGATCAAACACCAGTAGATCCAAAACCGCCTTCACCCCGGGCAGTGGAGTCCAAATCTTCAACCTCTTCAACCTCAGGCGTCATGATCCTCTCGATTATCAGCTGCGCAATCCTGTCTCCGACCTTCACTTCAAAATCAGCGTCCGAATAGTTGAACAAAATCACTCCAACAGGTCCCCTGTAATCCGCGTCAATCACACCCGCACCCACGTCGATTGAATGCTTCCATGCCAAGCCCGAACGTGGTGCTGAAGAATCCAGGATTTCGAAAGTCAAAGATAGTCAGAATTCATCCGAATTACTCCCTCAACCAATGATCTAAAATTACAAGAGATATGAAACTTGTCATTACCTATACGAGCATAGGTTCCTTCAGGGATCGCTATACTCAGATCAGTTGCCACTAGAGCCTTACCCCTTGCTGGCACCTTCGTCTCCACCGCGCTGCAACATTATTCAGGTAACATAAATCTCCCGTTACTGCCGATAAATATGTGAGAAAGAGAATTTCTGATCAGAGACTCACCTAGATAGATCGTAACCGGCGGAGAGAGAGGAAGCCCTAGAAGGCAAAACGGCCTTGTCAGAGAGCTTCTTCACTCGAAGAAACGGCATGATTGTTTGAGTGTTTTCAGTGGTACCGTTGTGTTCAACCTTTTGGATCTTTGGGGAAGGCTCCAGGACCTCACAGCCATTGCTCTGCACCTCTGTTTGAGCCATTACACGAAGACGACGAGGAGAACTTGAAAAGGAAAATGGTATGAGGCGAGTGGGTGATGAAGAGGGAAAGGTCGGGTTATATAGAGGAAGAGACAGGAAAGACTTGAGGGCGCCAAGTTTTCCCGCCATTTTGCTATATGCAGTCCGAACCATTGCTCTGCAAATTCTTGGCTTTGGGCCATGAAGTGGGCGTCCAATGGTCCTTTTATGAATTATGAAGTAGACCGAAAAGGGCTAATTGGACAAAATTCGTATTTTGAATGATTTCCAATCAGCAGAATATGCATAAACCATTTGAAATTCGAAGATGAGAATAGAAAAAAAAAATTGTTATTCCTAACAACTTTAAAATTGGATAAAGCAACATGTCATCCGGCATCTGATGTTATTTTTATTATTTTTCATTTATGTCCAGTATCATTTTATTTATATAGTTGGGGATGCTCAAAATAACATTAAGATACCGTACCATAAACAAGATTGTTACATGCAACTGAAAAATAAGATGCGTTTTAAGATTTTTGAAGACTTTAAATTCTCTTGGATCCTCAGAAAAAAAACTTCTCAGTGATTTCAAATGCAAAGACGGGTAGGATTTAATAACTAGATGGTGGGCAACTTAGAGCCCGTTTGGCTATCATGGTTTGGGAGAAAAGTGAGCCAAATAGGGAGAAATAATCCGAAACCATGATTTGACCTAAAAACCATGGTTTTAGAGCTCAAAACTATGGTTTCAAGAGAAGTGGATCCATTTTGCTTTTGGTTCAAATTGAAAAGTATAATTATACTTGTTAGAGTAGATCTCAACAATAATATGACTTTAACACCCCTCAATTATTTTTTAATAAACATATTTAATCTTATATCTTATAAATATATATACACATATTAATTATTTATTAATTACATTATGTTATATATTATTAATTATGTTGGTAAAAAATATATTATTAACAATTTTATTCCTTCAAATTAAAATATATTATAAAATCTATCTTTTATATAATTATCATATTAACTTATTTTTTTTAGTAATTTGCATATATAAAAAGTGTTTCTGATAACAACTATCCAAACACTCTCACTTTATCAGAATCACTTTTTCACAAAATCTATTTTCTAAAAACTATTCTCCAAACTATGGTTTGATTTCATTCAAACACCTTTTTAGTTTATGATATCAGGCTCTATCTGCTGCCTCCCCTCCCGCCTCGCTTTTTAATGCCCTTCCCTATAAATGCTTATTGATTCAGTTTGCTAAAAATTACATTAAGCTTAGTGTAGCTTGCTGTAGATTTGATATTTTATGTAGGCAAAAAAAAAAAAGATTTAATATTTTATATGAATAAAAATATACTTCTTTCATCCTAAATATAACACTGTAATACATTACAAAATAAGTAATAGAAAAATAGTATAATATACCATGGTCACTGCATTTACTGCTCAAGAAAAGGTAACATGCAAAACTTCCATTAGAAATAAAGGTGCAAGCAATTCTTTATGTCTTAACTGTTGCAATATTGTTAGGCGCGCACGCACACATTGCCACGTAGATAAAGATAATATCTATAAAACTGACATTAACATATGCAATATCAGCGACTCTTAAAAAAAATTTCACAGTAACAACTCAACTATAATAGATTTATAAAATTTAGGAATCCTATTTTGGTAAAGCTTTATTTGTTATCCATTAGGTCTTAAGAAATGTAATTTAATGATTGGAAATGTAAAGTAATGAAGTAAAAATTGTAAAGCATCTATTTAATATACTAATACTCCTCCAATCCTTAATATAAGACGCATTTAACTAATTTGATTAGATTAAGAAAGTTAGGTAAATTAATTAATTATAAGAAAAGTTACACATTTTTCCTAAAACATTATAATCATCTTTTTTTAATATCTCCTCCTTCTTACTACTTGATTATAGTTGAAAGAGTATTTATAGAAGTAATTTAGAAAAAATTAATAAATATAAGAAATGAGTCTTATATTTAGGATCATAACCAACTCAAGAATTGGATCCTATATTAAAAACCGGAGGAGTAAGAAATTATAAAATAAAATTTATATTTTCCTTTAAAAAATCAAAAATAAATGTGAAATGTTCTTGTAAAGGCCCAAAAAAGGACCAGGTAACATGACACATTTTGAATCAACAGATTACTTTAATGACGGAGATGTGGAAGGAGTCCTTTGCCCTCAAATTTCGGGCGCGACTGAATATCTCGTCAAAAAGCCCCATAGTTCTTATAGTGGAAAGAAGGCATTAAGCGGAGACCAGCCAAGCTTCCTCGCGAAACCACCCAAGAACTATTCAACTGATCCTTTATTTCTTTTCCCCCAAAAGGCACAAAATTGGATAATGGTTTGGATATGTAAAGTATCTGATGACGAGAACCAAGATATTTCTACAACGCCAGCTTCTGGCAGTTGGCGAAGCGAGGCGGGACTTGACAAAATTCCCAGCTCTGCGACAAAAAGCAGGTAACATGGAGCTTCGCCTTTTCGTACTCAACAGAAAAAACAAGATATGTAGACGTATGGTTCAATGTACAGGTTTAGATTACATATAAGAGAGAAGGAAAAGATTAGCCTCTGCAATATGAATGGAATATGCCGCCTATACAAGATAACTCAGCGGTCAGAGGGCCAACTGTACGTGGATTTCCTTGTTCACGCTATAACCAAGCTGCCCAACCAGGAAACATTTGGCACAATCGCTCAGGATCAATTGCATCTTGAATGAGTTGTTGAACCTGAAATTAGATTAAAATAAGATCATTTAAATCATTCAAGGAATATCGAAACTGGTTCATTAGGTTTAATCTCTTCTCCCAGTACGGTTATCATCCATGGTTTGACTGTAAATTCCAGGGAAGTGGAGACACTTGACCACTAATCGAGCTGGATGCCATTACAAGCCATGAGTACTTTGAGGAGGAATGAAGTGAATGATCTTTTGACTGACAATAATTTAAATTAACAAATTTGTGTTTCAATTCCCAATTATATCAGCTGCACTACTGGGAAATGCAATTATCCAAGTTTATCCGCCAAAAAGAGGCGAAGAATGAGAAAACGCAATTAACATAGCATGCATACAGGAATATGGCAGATACATATTGACAGAATACCTGCCCATGTACACTCCGCATTTCACCTTCTTCGTATCCATCTAACTTCTGCTTGACACGCATGCACGGGTAGCATCCTTATTTCCTTCGTTGTCACCATGAGGTTCCAAGAAAGTTGTATCCAAATCATCTAACTTCTGCTTGACACGCAATAGTGCACGGGTAGCATCCTTATTTCCTTCGTTGTCACCATGAGGTTCCAAGAAAGTTGTATCCAAATCATCTTCTGTTTCCTATAGAGTATAGAGAACAAGGGACAGAAGTTATTGCAGGTCAATCTAGCTCATGAACAGGCCAATAGCACTAGCCCAAAATCTACAGCCCCCAATCCCAGTATTCACTGACTGTGTAGCAAATGCGTGTAAATTTGCCATTTAATTGTTTAATAAATTTCCGTGTCAGTAATCTTTATTATACAAAATCTAATTGAATTGTGACTTCATCTCAGTTGGATCACTCCGTAAGCAGCCTCCCTTTCCACTTGATTGATCTGGATTTCAAAACATAAGTTTATAAAAAATTATTTTAAAACTACTCTAAATTTAAATTATCCCTAAATGCATTTTTGTAAGGTGCTTAATAAATCATTTCCCCCACTCTTAATAAGTAATCAAATCAAGTAGTCTAAAAAAAGATGCTAGACTTGAGCTGTGGCAGTGTATAACTAATGAAAATAACCTGGAAGGTATGACATACCTTCTGACGCTGCAAGGCTTTTAGAGGAGATAAGGCCCACTTATAAAGAGGATCATAGATAAAAACCTGCAGACGGCATTCCTCATAAGAAAATAGGCGAAAATAAATTCATTTGGGATAATCTTAAGCAAAGTATGATTCAATTACTTCAACAATTGTCAACAATGCATCTTTGTTTGTTCGCATAACAGAAAGAGTTTCCTCACAACATCTTCTGAAAACCCCCTCTACTCCGGTTATGCCCATTCCATCAATTATGTCTCTTGTCAGCCGAAATGGAACCTGTCAGTAGATACAGATGAGTAGATAATTAATATAGTTCAGAAAAAGTAAGCAATTGAGAGCAGGATTAAAGAACTTCAGGCATACCCGTTCTGGAGTCTTAAGCATCAAACCTTGTTCAAAGGCAACACCAAGATCTATGTGAACAACCTCAGCAGAGGCTTGATCAATTAAAATATTCATTGAATGTCGATCACCGAGGCCAACTATGTAACCAACCTAAAAATAAATCATAAGAATCATGAGAAAATAAGGCTGTCATGACATCATAGAATCATCAGAGAATGTGATTTGGGTCTCTTTTAAGCCAATTATTGACACTTTGGTCCTTTGAACACATGAACCCCTTTGAGATTGATAACAACAATATACAAAATTAACTTCTCTATTTTCCCCTTTTTTAAGTAGGGACAAAAGTGTTAATAATTCCCTTACAAGGGACTCAAATGACATTCTTCCTAGAATCTTTTTCAAGTAGAGAATAAGACAAACTAGGTGCTGAAAACAGATGTAAAACAGATGGTAGACTTAGTCATGGGATGGGCAAAAATACAATGATTCACTACAGATCCAACTAATTCCAGCAAGGCTACGTCATAAAGAACCTACATGCTGTCACTTGCCAATAAAAAATGGGAAAATAGGAGGTACGACTATAAAATAAGTACATGACAGAGTTTAATGTAAAGAAACCATTCTTTTACTTGTTAGCACTGAACAGTTATTTACTATGGTTTTGATTTATAACACTGACGGCTACAATCTCAGATAACTTTGGGACGGATTAAGCACAGGGAGGTTAAATTGCAACATGGAATGCACTTACCATAGAACTAGCAGCTACGCTTCGGGTGTAGGCTAGTCTCTTCTCAAGCCACTCAGCTGCCTTGAAAAATCTCTCCAAGAAAAAGTGATGCATAACTGGCCTGCATAATAGTCATGAAGCTATGAAGTTGACTGTTTTCCTGATTTGAAAGAATAAAGTACAGGAAAAACCTGAAATTCTTGCAAACTTCTTGGAACGCTTTGCGTTTGTCCCTTTCCTGTTTTAAAGCCAACAAATGTTACAATCGTTTCCTTGATGTCTAAACATAGTAGGTGGCCCTTGATAATTCTGACAATTTCACTCATGTCAGTAGGAACAGCGAAATAAACTATATCAGAGCAATATTCTGCCACCTCCACTAGTTTCCTTAGATGCTAGAAAAGATTAACGTGTGATGGATGAAGTAAAATCTATCCGACAGATACAAATTGAGCCAGAGATCAAATTAAAAATGCTTCATTTCTTCTCGTGGCTACAAATCTTTATCACACAGGATGTCTCTTCATTCTGTCCTCTTCTATCGTCACCATATTTTTCCCTTTAGCTTTTGGAAGAAGGTAGAAGGAATACAAAAAGTAGAAACTGTCTCAAGAATAACTGGTGGCTAAACATGGCAATGGTCATGTTTCACCATTTACGGCCTAACCCATAATTTGCAAAGATCAATTGCTAGTTCTAATGCAACCCTATACCATGCCTCATACGTGTGTAATGTGGATGCATGAAAGTATCGTAGACAACCGCTGTTTTCGAATTTTCATTTTCTGATTAAAAAATATTTATGATTCATTTACAATAAAATCAATATAAAATTTAAACTCTGTTTAAAGCTTGGGGCTCACATTCTAATTCAAGGCATATTTCAGGAGAGTGGACTATTGTAGACCTATTTAGATGCTAATATCCATGTAAAAATACCAAAATATTGGTGAACTTACATTGGCCATGTGCTCTCTACATTTAAGAAATGCCCAATCCCCTACTCCATATCGACAATGAGCACCGCCGTTTCTGGTGCTAAAGGATCATTTAGATGTTGAAGATAATAAATTTTGCAGCAAAATACAACTTTCTTTGACAGACCTCCCTATGAGATAGTCAGCAAGAGGAAGAGTGCCATTGACCCACTCAAGAACACCGGCACTTGGTGTAAAAGGAACAACCTGTGACATAAAAAATATGAAAATAGGTTAATACTTCACACGCCCACACATCTTATAAACTACCACACACAACGTAAGATAAGCAACCAAGTCAATTTCCCTTTGCAAGAACTATTTACTGATCATATAGACGACAAAAAGAAAGCATGATAAATAGGCAATAGGAAGAAGAAACTACAGAGCCAAACATTACTTTGATAACTTAAATCGAAGCAAATGAAGGAAAAGAAATTGATAAAAGCAAAATGCTCTGGGCTTGAGGCAAGTACAAAGCAAAGGCCCAATGATATATCATGCTGGACTTTCAGTTTCGTATGGGATGTTGGTGGGCCGCATTGAATGACTGAAACAATTGGTCAAAAAATACTTCTTTATCTTGTGAAGAAGTCGACATCATTCCAAAAAGCTAGGCATTGCATGCATTCTCAGGGATGGTTTTTATCTGACTGTCCAAAACATGCTAGCATAGTCTACAGACAACACATGGTAGAGTAAAATATCACGGAAGACATGAAAAAATTGCAGCAAGAACTTAAAATTCCAGAGGGATGAACATCACATGCATTGTTTTGAACCAAAAAAAAAAAAAATGATGGTTGACCAATTGGTCAAGACTCCCCATTCTTCATGATTAATTTGAAACTTAAGAAAGTCAGGAATAATGAACGTATATTATGCTCAGACTTCAGGCATAGAGATTATAATAAAATCACTAATACATGGATGACAGATTAAGCTTTTTGATTAAAGTGGCTCTTAATAGCCCTGAACACCGTTGATAATTTTACACAAGACAGTATTATGAGACTATCATCAGATCACAATTCAAGAATTCAGGAAAATCAGAGTATACCTTGTAGGTCCGTATACTTAACCTTCTTTTCCATGTATCTCGGTGGTTCCTCAGGAATGTGTTAACTAAACCAAAGAATTGTTCCATCACCTATAAAGGTAATTAAAAAAATGTAGCATCTAGGCTAAGCCATAACAATTTATCTTGCTTATTAGACTATGATAAAGAATGGGAAAAGACTACTTGGAGAGATACGGTCGATTATTTGTAAATAGTGAATAATGCAATCTTTCACCAAAAATAGGTAACTAAGATCAATCGGGATGCTCTTCCTCAACAATCCCTTCATTGTTTTAAGACTGTCCTTTTACTTCTCTACAATCACTTGTCTGTGGACTTTTCATTCAGCTCAGTAAAGCAATTGATTTTCTTCCCTTCCTCTCCTTATTTGTCTCCCTGTCTCTCTGTGATGGAAATCTCGACAACATAGAAATCCTAGAATCTGAGATTTCCTGAGATTTATGTTTTTAGGATTTTAATTTGAATTTAGAATTTATATTATCTTTAAAAAGTTATATTGTCTTTATTTTAGAACACAGTATTTAGAATTATCTTATCCTATTAGAATTTGGTTCTTTTCAATTTTCTCTTATCTTCCAAACTTATTAGCTACAGGTTGGATTATTGTTTTAAATAATTATACCCAGGGCGTATAAGTAACCCAAAGGTTCTCTTAATTGTCAGATCTTTTGATGAGTTGAATAAATACTGAATATATTTAGTACTCTCCCCCTTAATATCTTCAATTTCCCCCTACTTCCCCCCCGCCCCGGTGTCTCCTCCTCTCTGCCCATTTCTCTCTTCTAGTCCCCCCTTCCTTTCCCTTTTTTGAATCACTCTGTTTCCCCTTATCCTCTTGTTCTTCCTCTCTCTAGCAGGTGTCAGTGTTCTATGCAACACAAATTTAATAAATGCAATTTGTCTGTTGTGAGAGAACCATTGAAGAGTGCGGTCGGTTGTTTTCCAATTGCAACTTCACAAAAGGCTGTAGCAGCACTGTTATCTAGAAGAGCACTGTTATCTAGAAGATTAAAATAGTACATGGGTAGTATTTTTTTAAGAACTAATTTGCATTGGAAGATGATATCTCTATGTTTTGTGTATTTGACAAAATTACCTTGTTTTCAAATGAAAATCTAAATCAATAGGCAGAGATTTCAAATATTTACATTTAGCATTAAAACCTTAAAATAACAAAAACTTTTTAGACTAATAAACATTTGTCAGATATGCTTTTGCCTGGGCCCCTTATTTCTCTCTGAAGATTGAGAACTTGAAACATTTCAACAATAAACTTCAGCAACAGATGCCATCAAGAATAGAAAGCAAATGCAGTTAGAATTCATACAGCATCTTGTCTTAGGTCGTCATTTCCGGATTTTGCAAGTTGTCGATACCTGGAACCATCAGATCCAAGGCACTCAACCACTTTTGGAGCATTTATACCATTCATTATCCTGTATTAGACAAACATGAAGAAGATCTAAGCACCGGAAATTGCAAATGAGGGAACGTTTCTGAGAGTGTGACTAATGGTTTAGACATACGTTGCTGAATCTGCTAGTCCTTTGAAATAAGGAAAAGTTCCATCATATACTGACAGCTATAGTCGATTGGAACAGTAGCTGTGACTACAGGTACCTGGATGCCCAAAGTAAACCAAAGAAAATTCAGCACAAACATAGCTTTATTGAAAGGAACACGCGTCAACATTGATAAATATTTTTGCACCAAATATTCATATCTGGCAGCTACTGCTGTCTGCTGACGTCTATACATTTCTACAGGACAAGTTATCAACTTGCGATACATATCAGTATTACAAGATTCATCATTTATGTTTCGTCAATTTGTCTATGATGAAATATGTAGCATGACTTAAAGTTTTATGTGTCTCAAGGGTGTTGTTTTTATGTCAACAGCATTATTAAAATATAATATTCATTCAAGTTCAAATTTCTAGAATACCACCATAAAACAACACAAAATATCAGTTCTCCCTAACCCACAAGCCAATCATCACATTAGCCTTCAAAATTTTTCATCACAAAGAAATACAGCATGAAGAGTGATGCACTCACGCGTTCCAATGCTGGAACACTACGTAGCTCTCTTGGCAGAATCACCCTTTTATTGGTATCCTGCATAAATGGTCCGATGAGATGGCTGTAATATACAAATAATTTGGGAAATTTTTGAAGATTGTAAGACAATCTTAATTCAGAAAATATATATTTTAGCAATAATGAGCGAAATATGGAAAATAAATAAATTCCTCAACCTCTCTCCTTGTTTCCATCTCAGCAAGTTTGATATAAATCTCCACCATTTGCCTTGTCTATAAACATGTGACAAACAAAAAGTTTGAAGAGTATAGACTAAAAATCAGACCTTAAGAAGATAAATCACACAAAAATGGACATTACTTGTTGGATAATAGCTCCATGATAAGACGATAGCTCATGTAGAAGGTTTTCTGCCGCAAGTTTTTTGTCCATATCAACCACAAATGAACTTCTACTACGCTGATTGCCCTTGATGCGGTCACCATTTGCCAGACCCAAAAGCTTATGTAAAAAGAAGATGAAGAAAATCATTTCCCTTCTCCTGAGTCTTAGAATGCATTATATTATTTTGCCAGCTTTTCATTATCCATCCGTATTAGGAGTAGGTTCCATAACCGCCTCTGGCTAGTTAGAACCTCAAAAATATACACAAGAGGTCGGTGTATTGTTCTGGTGTGAAGAAATTTTCAGGATTGATTGAACAAGAGTACCTTCTCCCTTCTCTACACCAGAAATTACAGCTTCCAGACATAAATAATACAAGGAATTGAAGGCTTTCCAACAAAAGGAAGGATTAAATACAGCATGGCATGGGTCAAAGTATTAGCAGATGAACCAAGGAAGCTTTTTGCTTCCTTCAATAAAAAATGTAGAATCAGAAAGACCTAGTATTGAAAGCAAAGAGAACAAAATGGAACATGCAACAAAACTGTTTGACGATAGAAGAAAAACATAAAATTACATACATGAAGTATTGTATGGTATGGATGATCAATGGCCATTTTCTTCACAAGAGACACCAAAGCAGACTGCATTGTCCATAAATTGTGTTAAGAATAGAAAAACTGGACAATATAAAAAGGAAGCTTCAGTTATAGTATGCCAAACCTGGAAATTACAAGTTCCCTGATCATCCTTTGAGCTACCCATTCTAGAAGCAATTTGGTACACTAAAGGTAAAAATTTGAAAGATTGAACCTGGAAATACATTCAGATGCAGACCAAACAAGATCTTCAGTAACCATATTAAACAAAACTAAAATACAAACTCATGTAAACGCTGTCCTTCACTTGTACCTCATTGATTGTGCTAAGCATAGCATTCACTACATTTTTTCGGGAAGAGAGACTGAACCACAAGGAAACTAGACGAAACACCTGAAAGTAAGAAGTTTGTCCAAGGAAATCAGAAAACCTTACGACATGTACAGTTCCTTCAAATAATTCATCTGTATAATCTATTAGTTACAGAGGAAGTAAGAGTATTTCCATACCACTCTCACATCATACTTGTCTCCAGTGACTAAACAACATTTATATCCCTCCAAAGCCAGGCTAAGAAAATTGTCTCGGTCATCCTGGGTGATGATGGAAAGTAAAGAAATAGAAGACTTATGTTTAACCCATATGATTCAAACATGACCAAGCTTAAAAAACAGGACGGGTGAAAAAGAAGAAGCAAACCTATCATTTCGTGACGTAAAAGTCAATATGACAAAAGACATATCAGGGTAAAATGTTAAAAAGTCTGAGGACTCTGTTAACCATCATAATAGATCAAACAATGAATACCTGCAGTTTCTGAGCCTCTTCCTCGTCCATAGCTACTTGCTTTTGCAGTTCTACTATCTTCAAGGAACAGTCAGTCTTCTCCCCCTAAATTATGTGACACGAGTTAGAGCCTTAAAACACCAGGCGAACAAATGGATAGCTGGCCTAGGACTACCTTTCTTGAGCTCCTTATTCTTTTTACAAGTGCCTCCAACTCCACTTTCTGCACATAAGTAATAACAATGACACCCAAAATATTCCATAATAGTTTCTGCCTGCCTATTTGGGTCACTGAGCATGGTACCTTGTGTTTCCTTAACCGCATTGCTGCTTGCCACTCACTAGAGCTGAGTCGTTCTTCATGGCTCCTAAATAGCGCATCAGCATAATGTGCAAGATGAAAATGAGTCTGACACTTGCGTTCAATGGACTTCTTATCAGTAGCGTTCACTTTCTCAGTGATTGAGACTGCAGTTTTCAAATACTTCTCTAAAATTGTTCTAGAGCTGCAATCATCAGCCAGTGAAACAAAAAAAATGTAAATTAAGGCTTCTAAAAATAAAAATTAGTATGACAATGATGCACAAACGGAACACTTGTTCACTAACTTGCTAGATCTGGTTTCTGCCAGCCACTTCCCAATCAACCGATATACATCTGAAGCCTCGTTATTAGACCCATAGTTCTCTGAAATATACATTGCGAGGTTGATAGCCATCTCATGTTGACCTTGAGCTCGCAAAAGCTTTGCTTCTTCAAGCTGCCATAAAGAAGCTACAATACTCAGATACAATAAGGAGGACCGATCAATACATTAATATAGTACATAAAGTTAAAATCTCCTACTGCCATAAAAATCGCTATTCAATTAAGGTTCATTATTTTTTGGAGGTATGTCAATTTTTTTAAAAAAATTATAATTATAATACCTGCGTTTTTCTGCAGGTGAATTTTGAAGCTTCTCTAGTTACAATAACCATATTGCTGTCTCTACTTTTGAGCAAATTATCAGCAAGCAGACATAAGCATAAGTTAACAGACAATGGTTAAACTGAATTTTCTATATTTATGAATCAATATATTAAATAAAAAATTAAAATCTGACACAACATACAATTATTATTCAATTATTTTTCATTATTTTTGTAGTCGCACGCATTTTTTTATTTTTTTTTATGGATTCTATTTAGTTTTCTGCCATTAACTTATGCATGTATCCTTTCTGCTTCTTGTTGATAACTTGCCCAAAAGTAGTGTTAGCAATGGTATTACTAACTAGAGAAGCTTTCGCCAGTACAGATGCATTCATACATATTAAGAGAGTGTCAAAAAATATGAGTGAGTGAAGTCTGCATCCCTCCTTCACATCTATCAACTCTTTTCCTGCTATGTTCTCAGGATATATGTTATATAGATTCACATTTGTAAATATAAAGAATCTAGATGGCAGAAGAAATAAAATTTTGCAAAATAAATTCAATATTTAATATTGTTAAAATCCATTGCCATGGAACATAGATGAGATATCAATATAGCTTCTACCAGAACGAAAAAACCTGAAAAATTCCATTTGGTGTTAATATAGGCAACATCAACTAATCAAATACAGAAGAAAATAATAATTAGAAATAAAATAAAAGGACCAATAATTAAAGGGAAATTGACAGTTCTGAATCAAAGTTCCATAGTCAATCACGCACACTATTAATATAAAATCCTTTCCAGCAGCTTTCTGTCCATCCACCTGGACACCCACTGAAGCATTTAATTCGGAGACAAAATAACTGACTGTTTCAAACCCTTCATCACAAAGTCACACATGCACCAGATGCCATGCTTAGCTACTTACCCTTCCTAGCCAATACATGGATGAAGATTCCCCTTTGGCTTCAACACAAAGGAACTTAAACTCATGCAAAGCAGCTGCTGCTTGAGAGAACCTAGATCCCTGAGCAACAGAACAACTAATCAGAAAACACAACTTGTTGTAACTTGGCTGTGATCCCCTCATTTATCACTTGAAATTCAAATATGATCCTCTTGCTTATGGCCTAATTAAGCAAATGTTTCATGCAAAGCTTGCGGATTATTTTTTAAACAAGTCAGACCTGTAATTTCCTTTAGTAATTATACGCTAGCTAAGTGTAACTATTCAAAGAATCCTGTAATCAATATGGGGCCGACTATTCAAAGAATCCTGTAATCAATATGGGGCCGATTTGTATTTGTTTTCCTCATTGTATAGCACAGGTTTAGGTGATCGTCATCCATGATTCTTGCTTAGGGTGAGTATATATGCATCATACCAGTTAAGAAATGCATGAATGAAAGGAATTCAGACCTTAAATCCACACTTTTTATGCCAGGCTTTATTTCTGAATTTATCTCTTTTATTTTTGCCATCTGTTCTTGATTAATTCATGGAATCCATTAGCAGATTTGTGATGAAGAATTGGTGGTACAGGATACTTAAGTACCATATTGAGTAACATGGGATGTTCAATACGGGTATTTAAATGGGTTGATTCTCCCATCTCAACAACTAGCTTTTGGGATAGGGATCCCCATTCCACTTAGGTAGCTATCAATTTGTTTCAAGGCATCTCCTATGTATATGCAGATTCATCCATTCAAAAGAATTAAGAAATCGGAGAATCATTTCTCTTATTTGCTTCAGAATCAATCCAGGACTTGTGATAATTAAGTCTTAAAAAGTACCTTTCGAAGAGTGGAGGCAGATTGCAGAAGATGTTGTAAAGAATAATCTCTGCAACTTAATATCTGAAATAGAACCCGCCGAAATGCTATAAAAGGTTCTAATAGATGCATATGCAGCTGCATCCGTTCCAAAATTGAGCACCAATCCAAATTCAGCCATGACAACTAGTTGAGAAAAAACAATGTAAGACATCGAAATCTAAGAAAAGACAGAAGGAAGGAATGCATAATCGTTTGCGTGTGTTATATGTGACCAAAGAGAAGTGGAAATACAAAACCTCCTTTCAGACACATTAATTGTCTAATTACCTGTTCGATGCTAGGAATTGCAGGCTCAGGAGACACGCTTTGCTTTTCAAGACAGAGCTTTGAACTTTTATGTTGAGATGATCTCCAACGTAAATCCCATGCCATGCCAAGATGATAAAGCATCTGTCAAATAATCATGACATGGAATAGTAAAACTATGAAGCGCCAATATATTTGTTCACAGATATTTAAGCATCAAATAAGCTTTTAAAATTAGGATAATAGCTTGTTTGTACATATCAATTACCTCACAAAAGCTCACAGACATGGCGATACTGTTTGTGGATCATGGTCATTGTAGGGTATACCGTTTCTCTGGTGCGTATTGGGCAGGTTATTTACACATTTGTTAGATGTAAATTGGTTAATTGGAAAATTGACAAACGGGTGCGGTGTGATGACTATGCTGCTGCTATTCACATAGCTTAAAACCTAGCGCTCCATGAGCTGTCCTTTGTTTCATGAGAAGCTACAATAAGTACTTGTTTTTCCAAGCTACGTTAGGAACTAAGACTATAGAACAAGCTGTCATTTTCATTAAAGTTCCTTACCCGACCTGGAAATGGTAATGAAGATTAATATTTAAACCTACTTGAGAGGAAATGTTATAAATTATGGTATTAGCTGCCTCTCATCTCATCTTTTTCTTGCAGCAATATGAACTCCAACCCTTATTACGTAGCGTCAAGGCAGTTGAATAGTTAAAGAGATTGCTAACCAAAGGCAATACAAACTTCATGATAAGGATCAAGAGACGAGATAAACGGGTACCTGAAGTTTCATTATATTTGAGTAAATGTACTGTGTGTTCTCTTCACTTGTTTGAGAAACAGACCACAAAAGCTCCTAAAAAAGTGTACAAACTATGAAATTACGTGAAGTCCACAAGCACAAAGAATGAGGAAACCAAAATTACCTGCTTTGAATCTTTCAACTTTCTACAGAAGTCACTCAAGTCCCCCTCCTGGAGTGCTCTCAAACAACTAAGCATAAGAGTAGCCAGATGCAATCAGGCAACTTTTCGAGAAAAAAGAAATTTAGAATTCAGAACTTGCTGCTGAACATTTAAGTGCATTATATAGATTCTTATGCTTATTACCTGTGTAGACTGCCGTTGAAATGATCGCATTTAGTATTCTGCATTAAAGGAGTAGAAGTTCCTGTACATGGTAAAGAGAAATCCCAATTCCCAGCACGCCAAGCAGCCTCATACTGCAATTCAGCAAACTCTAAATCATGCTGAAGCTGGTCATTCCTTGATGTTAACCCTTGGCAATACAAGTCCAGAACATGTGTGCATCCAATCTGCTGTAACGATCTAATCAACCCTTTGTAAGGCTTGAATTGCCTTATCTGATCAACCGTTGTGGAAATAGATGAAGAACCTGCTGCTTGCGTGTGATCTGATGGCAAACTAAAAAAACTGCTATCCTCCAGTTTTGAAATATCTGATCTTACAAGCAAGTCATAGTATTCAAGGGCCTTTCCCCAGTTTCCCTCATGCTCAAAAGTGATGATTTGAGAACTCAACTGCTATTTCCATCAAATCATATAAAAGACCAATCAGAGTGAGACAAAATGCTGAAATATTACAATGAATACCATACTATGGACTTTGCAGTAGCCAGCAATGCTCAAAGCTACAAAAACCTGTGACGTTTGATGACGGGACCTATTAATCCAACATTTAGTCCCATTGTTTGAGCCATGTCACTTTGTAAGTTAGAAACTCACCATCGTATATTCTAAATTGTCTGCCTCTCTTAGAAGTTAGGTAGAGTAGGTTTTCGAAAGAGTGAGCAGGCTTATACAGAATTTCTGGTGCTGTAATCTTTTCAATATGTGGTAAAACGTGGGGGAGCAATCACAATGTAAATACTAAAACATTGTTAAGAGGATTGGTGGTTGAATGTTTTTTTCTTCGTTTTCTTTTTTTGGGGGGGGGGCCAAAATTCAAAGAATAAAAAATTTACTGAATAAATACTAAAACCTTGTTAACTCAGCATTTAACTATGCGTTACATGCTGTAAATGCAACAGTTTCTTCACCTAGAAATATGAGGGGAACTCTCCCGCCTCTATAGCTAGCTTTAAGAGGAGGATTCCCCATTTTGAGTAAATATCAATTAGTACTGGAGCCTAGTTGTCCACAGCCTTGGAAAAAACTGCCTATGAAGGGTCCTCACGGCCAATTAATGAAGATTAAGATAATGAGATGCTTAGGTCCCTTGTAAAGTAGCATCGGATGCCATATCAGGTATTTAAGTGGGTTAACTAGCTTTTAGGGGAGGGTTTCCCATCCTACTCAAATAACCATCAAAATACCAATTAAAAGAAGAATACCATCCACTACTCAGTTAAGAGATAAATCAGTAAAAAAGAGAGACTAACCTTGTGAGACTGAAGAATTCCGTATAAGCTATCAGGTTCATTGATTCTAGTGACTGCTGAGACAAGTATTTCAATATGATCTGGCAACTGAAATGCGGGAAGGCGATAAGGAAAAGATATAATATAGTTGCCGAAATAATATATATACATAGGGGCCAATTCCCGTGTACAAACTAAATAAAGGAAGCATAATACAACAAAACCAGATTGTCCTATCTTGTGTAGGGGAAAACATCAGGTATAAATATTTAGTACAACCTACCATTTTCTTGTGGGAGAAATCTGGCCCCCCCAAAGACAAAACCTTGAACTGCTCTTCACACCAATGTTCCACATACATCACAGAGGCAAAATATGATCCGCAACTCTATAACAGAAATAGAAGAGCGTCGTTATAATGTTAAAAAAAAATTTGAAAAAAAAAAATTTGAAGGAGCAAGAGGATAATTCAAAGGAACTTCCAGAAGAAGCCTGAAGTATTGAAATCTGAAACTTACAACTGCTGACTTTGCAACTAAAAGATAATCAACGGAAAACCAATACACCTGGGAAGATAAGGACAAAACAATATATGAGCTCCCAAAAGCCAAATATAATAATAATAATAATAATAATAATAATAATAATAATAATAATATAGAAATCTCGCGTAAACAATGAAAACTATGCACTATGCAGGCAAGAATGAAGGAAAGATTATACCTTATCCCATGAGGATGCTGACTTTGCCAATACATTTGACGCAATGGAAAGGTCTCTTGCCTTCGCTGGTGTTAATCGTGATTTGTTGCTGTAACTTGAAGTCTTTGAACTCTGCATTAGCAAACCACAGCTTCAGCCAAACAGTCAGGTAACATGGTGAAATATCTTATCCAGTTTTAACCTGGAGTTGAATTTGAGGCATGTTATATAGTAATCAGTCCAATCAACAATGTGAGTGTGACGGCTCCAACCACCATGGCACACAGGGTACGGATGTTGTTAAAATGTACATAAATACTTTATCGGGAAAATTGTTTATATCTACATATTATAATAATCTGACAATATTTACCTAAAAAAATATAAGACGTCTTATATGGATAGGTTAAGAAGTTAAAAGTATATTGTAGAACATCCCAAAAGCAACGTGAATAGTTAATACCTTGGAATTTTCTCGCTTTGTTTGTACAAAAGATCTTTCCGCAACGTGAGAGATGCGAAGTTCATTAAGGCAATTTAATAATACTTGAATCGATTTGGTCAACTTGTTGGACTCAGCAAAAACATGCTCTCGCAACTGCAAGCACACAAAAGATTCACCAAATTTATTTGCAAATAATCATGTTAAAGAATATGAACTTTATGTTGAGAGCAAATGTATGCAAGTATTTCAAAGTGGCATCTTTCATTATCAAGTATAATGATTGAGTATCTAAAATTCCCATGTTTGGTGCAGATTCTTTTAACCATAAAAGATGAGAGACATGATAGTATATACAGTAAGTGTTAGACCAAATACAGGCATCTAAAGCAAGCACCATGGAAACTAGGAAATCCAAAATAACCACATAAATACAGGTGTGCCAAACACCTTAGAGTCAAATATTGCAGGAGGAAAGAAGAATATAATTCAGTCATTCAACATTGCTAATATAATGTAGTGTGCTGACACAATCAGCTCTTTCTGTTTGGGAGAAGGGCAAGGGGAAGAAATACAGCTCTGGAATACTACCTGTAAAGAGATTAATTTGTGAAGATCAATATCCACATCCTTCCTTCCAGCAATATTGACAAAAATACTTGGCAAAAGAAGCTCAGCGACTTCAGCTTTAAGAAATACAATATCCTGACACAACCTGGAAGTAAAATGCCCCAGGAATATGAGAAGGGGAAATGTGAAGACAAGACATAGACAAAGGTTTGCTAACGCTTTAATTCTAAACAATTAGCCATCTATGTAAATACCTCAGTATCACATCATTGCAGTAGAAAATCAGCGAATATGCCAATGGGCAAATCCACATCTCAAAAGATTTACCATGCGTCAACCACACAGAAGACTTCTCTAGTGAAATTGCCTCAACTGATGAAATTGATGTAACACACAACACAGTTAATCAATACAAAATGGGAAGTTAAGGAGTAGGACCATAAGAAAGTATGAAAATGTTTTATTTATACTGAAACATAACAGCAAAAGAATGAAACAGAGAGTAAGTAAAAATAAATCATGTTTCTTATTCTCTAAACTTGAATGCATATAAATAGGGAACATGCAATTATTAGAATCACCTTTGATCCCATAATCACAGCAATGATTACAGGGAGACACAAGTCCACCAAATTAGCAAAAATAATCAAGCACATAATGAAGATAGTTGACCATGAAATAGTAAGGCATTATAATATAAAGGCTAAACATAGGACCATGCCATGTGTGCTCTAACACTCCTGCTCAAATTGAAAGTAAATACATATATAAATGGAGGAAGAAACTGAAAAATAAACCCTAATAAATGCTATATAATCAACTCCTAGTCATATCCTATGTAAAAATATATATATTTAGAATAAGGAGTAACAAAAGCAAAGATATTTTCACACTTATGCCTCCTCTGCACCCAAACGTAACACCATGAAGTTCTTACAGAAGGCATATTATAATCCCCTTTAAGTGTTAAAATGTATATCCAGAGTTGAGAAACAATTATTAGCAGAACAAAACTCACGTGATGTTGACTCACGTCCTACAGTATTCGTGAGGATCAATAAAAAAAGCATTCATTTAGACTCAACCACTCTTGAATTCACAATAACTGCTCAATCCACGCAAAAGTTCATAAAGCATACCTTCTGACTTCTTTTCCAGGTCCAAAAGGAAATTATCCACAAGTTCAATATTGACACCCTTGGAATGCACCTGTATTTTTACGCCACATGGGTTATTAAGGGAAGAGATTCCATGAATATCATGCCTCATCAGAAACATAATAAGGATCACACATTCACATTTTCACTCAAGTATTTCACTTTAATGCCAAATATTCATGCATTTCCACATTGCATCCAGTGTGCGATTAGCAATTGTGGCCAAGCAAAATTTGCAAGAAGAAGCTTCACTGACTCCTGATGTGGAAAATCTTGACTTCGACATATACTATAAAATTACCTCAATCAGAGAACTCTCATAGGAATCAAAAGACCGTAAAGCACTCTGGCCTCTTTCAGTGGAAAGGATTCCCTATCAGAAAAGGGAAGAAAAAGTCATGTCACAAGATAACTTGAGCTAGGTAACTTGAACCAAAACAGCACAGACAATTAGAGTTGCAAGGAGCAAGGAATGTGATTTTTTGCAATTAACTAATTGGAAGAAAGTACTTAGCTCAAAAACATGTATGATAAACTTAATAAGCGTTTTTCTCATTAATAAAAACATTCAGTAAACTGCTAAGGCCTATATAATACCACAAATTTAAATTAAGATACAAGTATATATTTACATGACATTCAAACAAAAATAATACTCCACGGATGCCCTACCAAAGTGCATATATCATACATTGAAATGGCTTCATATTTTAATTTTACATGAAAAATCTTAATTAGTACTTGTCTTTTCAGTCATATGAACATACCCGAAGAGTCTGTGATGCCATATCAATAATCTTCACAGAATCATCCATCAGATACTTCTTTAGAAATTTCATAAGGACAATCAGGAGTTCTTCAGATAAGCATGTCTCCATGTTAGAACCAGTTTCCATTTTATCACAGATATCCATTAATTTACCAACATGGATATGGCTGGTCACACCAGGAAAATGGAAAACAACAGAATGTGGGTCCCCTGCACCAACCTGCAGCAACAATGTGTTTTTTTAAGAGGAAAATTTGTCGGCTTGACACGGGATAACTATATATCATCGATTTCAAACATAAACATGTGGAAACAAAAAAGAATACCCTGGATATGAAATCTGACACCAATTCTCGAACACAGCTTGCATCATTTGAACTACACATGCGAACAAGTCTCCAGATTGCATGGACAATTTCACGATCACCATGCCAATATCTGTCTTTGGAAAAATCTTCAGTAGTTCCTCCTCTCATGAGAGTTTCTTCAACCAATAACTTGCTGTGCAATGCCTTAAGACTACAAGAGAGAAACAAATTCAAGAAGCAACCACCTCAGAAAGACAAACTTTTGAAGGAAGTTTTAAATCACAGAAACTTTGATTTCAGTTGTCAAGGTACTTGTCCTGTGGGGAATGAACTTTCCAGGGGTTGCATTCAAAGTCCTTTATCTGTGGGGGCAGAAAAGGGGGCAGTCTCCCCCTGTCCTAATTTCAGGCAGAGGAACCCTAACCCCCACCCAGCAAGGTTCACATCCCCCAGTAAGTTTACTTAAATGTCCTGGGAATGCTAAGAATAGGAGTGAGCAAAACCAAACCGTAACCGAAAACCGAACCGAAGCGAATTTAATTTTGGTTTTTCGGTTTGGTTTTCGGTTACATATTCGGTTTTTATTTTTGTAGTAATTCGGTTTCGGTGTTTGGTTCGGTTAGTAGGAAAAAAAATTCGTTTATAACCGAAAAAACCGAAATGAATATATTATATATTTATATTTAATAAATATTATTATAATAAATATAGATATGGGTTTATGTGAACTCTTTAAATATATTTATATTCAATAAATATGGTTATAATAAATATTATTGTAATAAATCACATTAAATGATGAAATATTTATTAATTAATGGTTGTAATTGTGTCTTTTTATTATTATTAATTTAAAATCACTTTCATATTTATATATTTCGGTTAATCAGTTAGTTCAGTTATCAGTTTCGGTTCGGTGTTTAAAATTTGCTCTATTCGGTTATCACCAATAACCGAACCGAAAAACTGAATACTCACCCCTAGCTAAGAAAGTGAATCACCTTGAGAAAAGTATCCTTGGTGGAAGAAAGCATGACCTCTTCACAAACTGAAAACAGATAGCCCACATGAGAAATTAAAATAGAGTTAGCATCAAACTTTATACTTCACATCATAACCATAAAAATGGGTTGGGATAGGAAAAACATTGACCTTCAATAACAGGTCCCCAAAAGAGTAAGCAAGGCATAATCCTTCATGGAATTGCCTTATCTCATCGAAGATTCCTAATTCAGGGAAGGATTCCAATTCCTGTAACGGATATATTCTCAATAATCCACATGGCATAATAAAATATAACCACACCATGGCAGATACAAGTTAAATGCCAGAAACTCACTCTGATATAATCATACATTGAAGGATCAGAATCCACAGTTAACATACGGAGAAGAGATAGAACTTGTGATGATTTAGTGCTAGGACATCCTTCTTTGGTTTCATAAGGAATACAACTTGCCACTAACTTGGAAACCAGAAACTAGATAGAAAACAAAGAGGAAAAAATAGGTTAAATAGGGAAACAATACAGGGAAAGTACAGGGAAAATGAGTCGTAAATAGATACCTGTAGTTGTTCCCCAAGCACACAGGTGATTTCAGGAGATGGATTCTTTCGTAAACGTACCAATAATGCATGAATTATACACACACATTGCTCTTGTAAAGCAGGACAGCTAATAAATGGCCCCACCAAGTTGAAAACATAACTGCATTTACCCAATTTAAGCAATGTAAATGAGAAATAATGAGGCCACAGCATAATGAAGCCACAGCATAAAATATAAAACTTAAACTGATATTTAAAATTTGATTATAAAACTTTATGAAGATGTGTCAAAACACACCTCATGCACCTTATGACATGTCTAGGCAAAGGCTAGGCCAACAAATGGACTACCCAACTCACCCAATTAAGGACGACAGGCTAGGTGAGCAGCAATACAATGCCATCATTAGACAATAATTATAAAAGTTCCAAGGATCCAAAGCCACTAGATTCTTTTGGTAATTTTATTAATTGAACAATAATCTGCACTAAAATTACAGAGTGTAAGAGTCATAACATAAAGGAACTTCACAGCTAATTGTATGTTAATATCGAGACTAACCACGTTCCTAACTCATTCATTGTACTAGGTGACAATTTAATATATGAAAGTACAAGTTGAACATAGCAAATTTTTTAGGTTCTCAAGGTTAACTTAATTGCATGACAGATAAATTGCTAGAATAACCTTACATCTTGTGAATGTCTTAAGGTTACAAATATGAGAGGAGAATAAGTACAGCACATACAAAAGAAAAACTCAGGCTAGAACGGTAAGGTAACAGTGGTCCAGACATTGAAGTTACTGACAGGTAATAAAGGTGGTTTAGTGGACAATAGTTCTTCATTTATAAACTAAGGTCCTGCTGCCCATAAGAATTACGGAAATAAAGTTAGATTTGCCCTAATAGAATCTAGACTGACCATGTCCTCAGCTCAAGTTATTATGCTAGGTGACAATCTGCTATTTGAAATTGCACTTGCACTCTTTTTGGTTCTCCACGTTGCCTTACTGACATGACAAAAATAAACTGCTGCAGTAATCTTCGCTCTTGGAAACATTGTGAGATCATGAATATTAATGGAGAGTAAGTACAATGTTTACAGGCTTGTTTGTATTAATATCAGCAAGAGTAACGTTTATCCTTACTGACTTTTGCAAACTGAAGTTGGAGTAATTAGTATGATATGATTTATATTTGGACAGGCTTTTATAAAAATGCCAGTTTGGTAGAAAATTCTTTGGATGATATATTGAAAAGTCAGTTTTAGAATGTTCAAATTTGAAGAGCCAAAAACCCGAAGCCAAAAATAGTTGCTCCAACTTTAAACAGGCTTATGGGCAAAAGGTTAATTACCCTTAAAGCCATGTCAAACGTCATTTTTTCTTCCAACTGACTTCTAAGGCTTCCTAACACTATCCCACATACGCACGACATAAGAGTTTTCACACTGCTAAAAGATGCTAGAATTGAAATGACAACCATATCAATCAAGCAAACAAACCAGATTGCATGTATACAACTTTTAATCGTGTAACATCTGAGGTCTCTTGCCATTCAACTTACAAGGTTGTGCTTGGAACAGCAGCTCTATGAGCAAGAATATTTATAAGCACCTCGATTCCAGCAAGACGATGGCACTTATGCCTATGATGAATTGCTGCTGCAATTTTATAATGAATTTCTACCATAAACTGCAGATAAAAATATCAGGATTCATTATATAACGCCAGGAACAAAAAGAAAAGTACAAGAACTGAAAACCTGACTCTCATATATTAGTAAATCACCATGAAAACTCTATCAGGACGGAAAATGTTAATCTTGTCAGCAATGCCAGCATTTGTATGATTGTCAACCCTACATCGTTATATAATATCATGTCAAGATAGAAGCTCTAAACTCGCACTGAAGATGTACACTGGCAAGTAATAAAACTCACATCTCAATGAAACCATCAACAACAGTTTGAATTGCATTTGACACAATCTCTCTGGAAAAGAAAGGTACTACAGGGTCTGGTGAACAAGAGGACAAAGATAAAATGTTGCTGACGATAGATACCTACAAGTACAAAAGATGCAGGATGATACAATGGAAGAAAATGACAATTTAAATAAATTCATTTGACAAAGACAATATTGTTAATACATATAAATGTCAATAGATGCTAACAAACTGCAGAACTTGACACTAATTGACGTGAAGTGGAAGCTAGAATTGTGTTCCGCATTTAAAAAAGCAATCACCAGCCTATAAAAATTATATGAATATGAGAGTAGATTAAGGGAAAACAGCATTTAAAGCAAAAGGCAGAGGAGCAGACCATATTTCTCTTTATCAGATTGTCCCGTTCATCCTCAGACATCTGAGCAAAATACAGAATGGAGCTCTGAAGTACGTGCATTCCCTTTTCTGATCCAGCCTTCTTGCTGCAATGCAAAGCCATACAAACTGAAAATATGGACGCAAAATGATTTTTTATGAGAACTGTCAATGGTTGACAAGTAACCTGCAAAAAGAATCCGTGTCAGAGAAAAAAATGGAAAGCACAAAAATATTAGATAATACGGAGTTGAAAACTTCTATGATTAAAAGAAATTCTTAGCATCCCGATGTGCAATCATACAAAATGCAATATATTTCATCATGCCCTTGCCGATTCTATAAGCTAAAGGACATCAAATCAATTTCTATACTTTGAATGGGAATTATAAGTTTCTTCACCAATACCAAATAGACTACATATCACAAAAGCCGCTCATACCTTGGCAACCCAATTGAGGTCAGAACTGTTTTCATGGAGTAGGAAGGAGGGAAGAAGCCAATGACAACAATACTGAAGAAAATGATCCGGTTCAGCATCTGGCACAAAAAGATTTCTTGCCTGCAAAGCACCAGTTTTTACGCCAATAAAAGTTCATCATAATACATCAAATGATTGCCAAAGGTCTTAAGACAAGCTGGCATGGCTATGGATAATGAAGAAATTTCACTCAGATCGTTCATTCAATTGTGGAAGCCACAAAACGTTATCTAAGTTGGCATGGCCCCATATAATAATGTTCCAGCATATTGTATATGTTCCCCCCATACATACAAGAAATGACAAGATCTCGCCACAAGGGTCAGAGTTCAAGTATCTAGGATAGATTTTACAAAACAAGAAATCCAATATCATCTCATATCATCTACATTATCCATCTATGTAATCATTCTTTTATTGAATATTAATAAAAAGAACACGAGGGATTGATTGATGGCAACATTCCTGGATGTTTTCACTCTGACATTCATCACATATAACTAACCTTAGTGGAACAAGGCACATTGTTAATGTTGTTATATTGTATGTGTTCCCCCTCATGGGGATTATCAATGCATCTTGTTATTACTTCATTTCAAAAGTTATTTGCTGTCATAATGATCAGGCATCCAGTTACTTGCTTTACCCACCCCTCTAGTTCAACAATCTGGCACATAGAAATATCATCAGAATTTTATTTTTTTTTGGGAATAAATTACACAAAGAAAAGAAAGACAATGCACGCTCCTCAACAATAATAATAAAATATAATAACTCAGAACATAAAACAATGTCGTCAATACGTACACAGATTTCTAACCACTAGAAAAAACAAATAAACTGCCATCAGCAGTGTATCAACATACTAACAAAGCCTCATATAATAACAACAACAAGAAGAAGAATCATCATCATCATGATGAAAAAGCCATCATTTCACATCCTGCTTCCAAGATGGTTATTTAGAGTAACCAGAATGAGCAGATTACCTCAACAAGTGCAACTAAGCTGACCCCACAAGCAACCCAACAAAATAGGATAGGTCCCAAAAGCTCCTCCAAGTACTGCATATGGATCCCAAGAAAGAAAACAACCATTAAATTTCTTTAACTGTTTTGCAGTTTGAGCATGATAAGGTCTCCGGCCTAGTGCATCAATTTTAAGTGCTCTTAAAAAGAAAAAGACAACAACTTCGCTCGAAAAGTTAAGGGTGTGTTTGGATGAAACCAAACCGTGGTTTGAAAAAGTGATTCTGAAAAATAGATTATGGAGAGAATAGATTCTGTGAAGAATAGATTTTGTAAAAAAGTGATTCTGAGAAGTGAGAGTGTTTGGATAGTTGTTATCAGAAGCACTTTTTATATATACAAATTACTAAAAAAAAGACATAAGTTAATATAATAATTACAGAAAAATAGATTTTATGATATATTTTAATTTGAAGGAATAAAATTATTAATAATATATTTTTTAATTAATAATACATAAGATAATATAATTAATAAATAATTAATATGTATATATATTTATAAAATATAAGATTAAATATGTTTATAAAAAATATGTTTATAAAAAAAATAACAAGATACATATCCTATAGGCTCTCACACTCTCCCATTTTTTTCTAAAAGCAAAATTTTTTTGCTTTTTCCAAAACCATGATTTTGGCCCAAAACCATGGTTTTAGTTTTTGGGTGGGTGTTTGGGTGATTTATTCCCCAAACCATAGTTTGGGGTGTCACCCAAACACACCCTAAGATTATTTTCGCTGGTGATCGTGGTTTCCTGTTTGTACCCTCGCATCTACTTATTTAATTGATATGTTTGCCATTTCCTTACCTAGTATTCCTATTTGGCTCTTGTGGGGCACTAAATTATTGTACCCCGGTGCTTAATAAGAATTAGTTTTATTTTTAATTTAATCATAAATATAAGATCTCAATCTATTTTATCTTTCATATTTATCTATTTTTTTAAAGTAATCTTTATAATAGTTATAGATATTAAAAATTCCACTAAATAGTAACTCTAACTAATACACATGATTAGTAAAAGTATTTTAAGAAAAACAATACATATTTATTACAAATAACTAACTTTACAGATTTTTTTAATTTACTCAAGTCAATTAATCCTTATATTAAATAATATAAGACCGAAGGTAATACTAGTGAATAGTGTGATGTTTAAATATTATTTGCTGTCTTGCGTACCCATAATCGCTTTAAACTTTAAAGAGAGAGAGAGAGAGAGAGAGAGTCAAAGGGCTTCTACAGGCAGAACTTATTGCGAGCATCAAGTTTGGAATTAATTACTACGTCCGATCTTCGTCCTTAATATAAGATTAGCTTAAGAAGACAAAGTCGCCACAAAGTCAGCAACTTCGCTCCTAGTTAGTTATCTGTGGAGTGCGCTCGATTGGTCTCTCGCGTTCTAGTCCCCTAGTCTCTGGAGTTAAGATCGCGTCCGCATGTCACCGCCTCTGCCGTGGCCGTGATCGTGCCTTGTGTTCATCCGCGGCCGAGACTGAGTTTCGACTTGATCTATTCGAGACCCAGACTCTGTTTCGACTCAGTTCTGCACATAACCTGTGGGACTCGACTCCAATAGCCGATCTTCTCTCGTGTGCGACGCAGTCAGCCTAGTGCGTTGGTCTCCTTGAAGTCGATCATCCACTGCGACTCCATCTACGATTGAAACTGTCTCGTATCTATGATATTCATCGTCCCTGAGCTTGTAAACGCTGGGTTCCCTGCAGTTGCAGACTCTCACAAATCTTTATGGGCTTGCAGACGACGTCGCCCTCTTCTATTTGTGGAAGAGACGCTCATTCTCTATTCACTCGAAGTCGACTGTGTGTTGCAGCCTAAGTCGCCATGTCAAATCATTCATTTTCGCCCCGGTTCGCAGTGCATCTCCGCAAGTCGCTAGTCCTTCTCCACTTTACAAGTACGTCGCCTCACCTCTTCCGCCCGTGAGTGTGCGAATTGTGTTTCTAATTCGCAAGTACCACTACACGTCGCAAAAGTATCGCCTATTCTGTCCGTGGTGCGAATTCCAGATAGTTTTCTGCACGAGGGTATGCGCTCGCTCTCTGCCTCAGTTCAGTTCGAGTTCGAGTTCATCTTCTCCTGTAGTTTCCACTGCGACAGTGGCGATCATCATCCAGATCTCAACCCTGTCTCAAGACTCAGTTTTGAGATCCACTCTTCTCCAAATCAGTGGTCTCTACTGTTTTATGGGTTTAAGAACCCCCCCCCCCCGGGGGGGGGGGGGGGTTGCTCTTTCTTCCAATCAGAATAATAATGACAGGGCGTAAGTCCTTAAATTTTCCCTCTGTCTTCAATCCTTCAAATCCTACATATCTATCCAGTCAAAATCTTCAATTTTGACGGTTTAAAAGTTAAGCTCCTAACTCTTTGACCAAAAAAAAAAAAAAAAAGTTAAGCTCTTAACTCAAGACGTAGTTTGCTAGGGTGTAAGATCCAAGTTACTTATCTAAACAGTTTAAGCAAGCCTGAATATTTTTCAAGTTGAGCGGTCGATAATGACATTTAGCAAAACTACGCATCTGGTACATAAGGCCTATCAAAACAAAAGTATCCCATAAAAATTATGATTACTTTGCAACCTTCAATGGTCATTTGACATTTCAGATTAAAAACATGAAAGACAAACAGAACAATTACCTTCGTTCTAGTCAGGTACTGGAGTTCTTTAGAAAGATTGTCGAGTATGGCGCACACCAATTCCCTAAAGAACAAGGCTGACATAAGTAACCAGTGCTAAATTTTCAACATGATAATGAGGAAATTCTTTTACCTATGATAAGGGTCCATGGCTGAAACCACACATATCATAAACACGGCCTGCATATGCCACCAGGAATCACCAAATAATTACAACGAAGGAAAGCATGTCCCCAAAGAAGTAAGCATACTAATAATAGCCTCTCCAAAGACTGCAACATATGACAAGGAACCCCAAACGGTAAAGAATCATAAAACAAGAAAAACACAATTTGCTCCCTGCACCAAAGTAACTGTCAACGAGATGCACTCCCAAGAAGGCACAATGTGAATAAGAAAAGAAAAATCGCTAGAAAATTGATCAGGAAGAGTTGCAGAATTTGTATTATCCCAGAACAGACAGATGTTCACATAACTTACAAATAGGGAGGCCTCTATTTATGGGCATGAGGCAAGGGGCTATCACAAAAAATGTCCCTAGAGATTAGATAAATACGCTATAATGCCCTTAACTTCCAATCTATTTACAGCAATAAAAGATGGGGTAAAATTTTTATACTTCAACAAAATCAAATATTACAATTCACAAGTTACCTCCAATTCTATCTTGTCACTTTGCAAAGCAAGATGCATGAGAGTAAGGATGACGGTTTCCACTGCAGTTTCAGACTGACAACCAGCAGCCAGTACCTCCTTTGCTGTGACAATTTTTCCTTTCGAATAAATCACCAATGGAAAACCAAAATTTGAACTGGCAAAATAACCACAAGGTGACAATAAATATCATTTTATGAAAAATGGTTGTTTAAGAGAAAATTCCAGGCGTTCCACCTGGGCACAAACCAGACACCAGTGAAAGGGAAAATAATCTCCGCAATGACTAAAGGAAAAACCCACCGAAAAAAGCTCCAATAATCCCACGTACTCAAAAAAAATCTTAACAAAGAACTAAGAACAATAAGCAAAACATAAACAACTATTATCAATGACCTTTCCATTAAAAGATTGTCTTGATGAACATCATACTAATACTTGATATCATATATAGAGTTTTAAATGCAACCCACCAAATGTCCTGGAATAGCTCTTCATGACCACTCCATGTCTGGAAAAGAACACCAATCCTTCTTGCCAAGAATAACCTTACTCGAAAATCCATGTCTTGGAGCATCATAAGCAACCTCTCTATCATTGTCTGCCAGGATAGGCAACACTAAACAATGTCAAAACAAGAGATGTAGAAGCATTAAGATCAGAAACGAGGCAAATAAATCCCAATTAGTGTACTACAATCTCCCTCTAAAGTTGAGTCTTTGGTTTGGATAACAATACTAAATAGAATTGTAAAGAGACATGCTACAGACACGCATCTCTTTCTCTTGACATGCCATTGGCACATACATTTGGTTTGAAAATAGTAAACTATTCATTTCTCCATTGTTAGCTGAGAACTTTCCTTTCAAAAATTTGTTTGGAGCTCTTGGTAAACTTTGGACCAGTTTCTCGTGATACAATAATATGATAAATATCATAGCAAGGGAAGCCAAATGCTGGGGATTTTGGGGGCTATGGCCTACAGTATGCTCCAGTTCTTTGGGGTGGAGCATTATAGTGGCCAAATCTTCAAGGGAGTAGAACATGATAGTAGTGTTTGTGGCTTCATAACCATGCCATACTCATGAATTTTAAAGGCGTTTCCACCAATAAGATGCGGGAAGATTAATTCACTCTTTACAGAAGCCTCTCATGACCTATCACCTTCAGAGTCAGAGGATACAATGCAAAGTTGCCGGCATTCTCAAAACAGGTTTATGCAACTAGTCAGCATTTTCTGTATTTCAACTTGCATAAATAGACAATATTTTTTTATATAAAAAGGAAGCTTTATTATGTAGAAGGAAAATTTAAAGTGAGGAGGATAAATTACGAGCATACAATCAGCAAAAACCTTTTGCCTTCACCAAAAACATTGTCGCGAAATCAAGAGTCAGCAATCCAATCTCCAGTGAATCTCAAATAAAGCACATAGGCTATACTGGTACTTGTAACATTTTATGTGTTACAATATAACAGATGTGCTACTCTCCCTCTATTGCATCTTTGCTTCTGATCTCTAATGAGCTTGCAAGATTAGTCTCCTGAAGCTTATCTCAATATCATAATTTTAAATCTTAGTATGTCTCAGACTTGTAGATCCACTAAGGCTATTTACCAAATGGATTGAGTATTATTCGAGTTGAAAGACAAATAGACAAATAGCCCCTTTTCTTGCATTGGGATGTGGGTTGACAGGGTGCTGTTTAATGAAAAGTGGGATTTTCCCATTTTCAACAAGCTCGTTCAGGGAATTTGACACCAACAAGGAGCAAAGCTCTGTCAGTAAAGTGCCTTGTTAGCATCTTTTGGTTGTCGGCGTATATTGTCTGGACAGAAATTTCTTCCATTGCATCTTATTGATGGAATTATTTTTCAGCTGCCATTTGGGTTTCAACAAATGGTCCCCCCCCCCCCCAGCAGAAGTCCCTCGGGGATTAGCAGAAACAACTGAAAAGCTCTCGCTAATGTCAGTTTCTTTTTCTACTTATGTTGTTATCTTGATGCATTTGAAGGATATTTTGTCCTCCAATGATGTATTAACTAAGACAATTAAAAACATATTAGTATGTAATGCACTTGTTTGATTACTGTTTCATTCCCAACAAATTTTTCTGTTTTTTTTTTTCAAAATTATTTCCATCTTCTCGCTTAACTTCCAATGAACTCCTCAATTTTGTGTCTGTCATGTTCTTCCTCACAGGCAGCAATTCCGTGAAAATGAAGAGTATCTTAGTTGTGTGAAAAATCACCTGACCAATTTGGGGACTTAGAAGAACAAGATCACAGATGCAATCTACCAGTTTCATGCGTCCAATCCAATCAAGATCCAATTCAGCAAGGTTCTGCACCAAATTTCCTAGTAATAGAAAGCACTGCAAGCGCAAAAAAAAAAATCAGAATTAAGTAATGTCACCTTAACTGAGTAAAGACCACTCTATAACAAATCATGATGGCAAAAGATGTCAGTTTATATAATATCATGTCAACCGGCATGTTATTTCAAAAAGGACTGGTTTGTTTGGGAGCCACCAAAAAAAAAAAGGTCAACTCAAATAAACGAACAAAAAATACTACTCCAGGTAGAAAGCTCCACCAAACTAGAACTGAGTATAACAATAGGTGCCAGTTTAAAAGGCAGAAAATCAGCTTAAAACCAACATCAAAACTTTCATGATATATGTCAGCCCTACACCCATACAACATCTCAGCAGTCCCAGAATCACACGTCAGAGTTCATGCATAATCCACTTCGGTGAAGAAGAAAATTTTAGAAGCAAAACAAGACATTGAAATTTCCATCAAAGGCATATTCCCCAGCTATTCCCTACTCAAAAAGGCTACCAATGTTACCCGCCAACTTTAAAGAAATTCTGTCACTAAGAATGCCGCCTTCGAGAAAACCCAGCCCTCCTATCCTGAACTACCTATTCAGGGGGGAAATTTGAGAGTGAATGGATATTTTTACCCAGTGACAGCAAATTACTTCCCAAATTCCCAACACCTATTCCCTTGAACCTGGACCACAGACCTGCTATTGTTGACCTAAACAAATCAACTTTTCAATAAATCAATGATTTCACCCTTATCAAGATAACAATCTGCCTCTAACTTGTATTAGCATTGTTATTCAGTTAGAGGTGCACAAAGGTAAGCCCAGGCCGTATTGGGCACCAACCTCAAGCCCGGCCTGGCAATCTGCCAGCTTCATTGATGCAACTGGAGCCTTTGCTGTTGGTGTCTTCAATAGAGATGACAACGTTGCATTTGAGAATAGAAATTTTTGTAAGACTGAGAAATGACAGCCCTGATGAGTTAGGCATCAGTGCCGTGGAGTTAGAAGCTAGCTTGATGTCAACAAAGAGAAGGAAAGGGGTTTGGCTGCTGCATTTGACAATGTGAAATAGGGGGGATTGATTGAAGAATTAGGTTTAACATGGGTAATAGAGATGAAACAAGCAGCTGCAACAATAAGGCCTTATCCCACCAAGTAAGATTAGCTATATAGATCACATGATGCCATTAAGTTCTATCAAAGATCAAATCTTTCAACAAATTGTTAATAGAAAAATTTCACTCAATAACTTCATTGAGTGTTCTCTTTGACCTTTCTCTATCTCTTATTATAAGACCCCATACTGTTTGATCAACCCTCCTCATAAACACACCCAAATGCCTTCTTTGAACATGACCAAACCAACTCAAATGATTTTCTACCGTTTTCTCTTCAATAGACACTCCAACTTTTCCGCGTATATGTTCATTACATATCTTTTCTTTTCTTGTATAGCCATACCTCCACCTCAACATCCTCATTTCACTTTTAGCCCCCACTTTATACTCATGATGTCCCTTTAAAGCCTAATATTCCCTACCATATAGCACTGTTGGTCTTATAGCAGTGCGATTAAACTTCCCTTTCACTTTATTAGGTTCTTTCCTATCACAAATAACTCCTATAGCTTTAAGGGAGATGAAACAAGCACGTAGATTTGTGGACAAACAGAGTAAAACCAATCCGTTGTATTTCCCTCGGTGATGACCGGTTAATTTAAATAGGGTACAGAGGAAATCTACCACCATAATCAGTGGGATTGAGAAAATAAAATCTTAATCAGATATTGGAGGTTTTCCCTTATATGAGCCGAGATATCCTCCTCTAATTCTAATATTTACAGATATTTACAGATAATATAATATTTACCACACTCCCCCTCAAGTTGGATCATAAATGCTCATCATGTCCAACTTGCTGACAAACTTCTTAAATACATCTTCAGCTAGCCCTTTTGTAAGAATATCTGCGATTTGCATCCTGGTAGGAATATATGACAGACTAATAATACCATCTTCTACCTTCTCCCTTATAAAATGGCGATCTATCTCAACATGCTTGGTTCTGCTGTGCTGGACAGGATTTAGAGCCATACTAAGAGCAGCCTTGTTATCACAATAAAACTTCAGTGGTGAGTTGACTACAAAATATGCTTCTTCAGCAACCCTTCGTATCCACAACCCTTCCATAATACCTTGGGCTAGTGCCCTTAATTCAGATTCTGCACTACTTTTTGCCACTACTCTTTGTTTTTGACTCTGCCATGTAACCAAATTTCCCCAAACAAAGGTACAATAACCAGAAGTTGATCTACTATTTTCCTGGTCTCCAGCCCAGTCTGCATCGGTGTAAATCTCAACTGTTCTCTTGTCATTCTTCTTAAAGAATAGGCCACGGCCAGGAGTCCCTTTAAGATACCTCAATATCTTGTAGGCTGCATCCATGTGCTTCTTCTTTGGTGAGTGCATATGCTGGCTTGCTACGCTTACAGCAAATGCAATATCCGGTCTGGTATGTGAGAGATAGATCAATCTCCCAACCAACCTTTGATAGCGTCCTTTGTCAGTAGGAGCTTCATCTTTCTCTTGCTTCTTTTCCTTTGCAATTTCTACTTCCGTCTTGGCTGGTTTTTCACTTCTTTTGGCTGCCTTTTTTGTACTTATAGGTACTTTGCTTGGTCTGCATCCAAGCATCCCAGTTTCCTTAAGTAAATCAAGAATGTATTTTCTTTGACAGATGGAAATGCCCTCTTTTGACCTTGCAACTTCCATACCTAGGAAGTATTTCAACTTTCCAAGATCTTTTACTTCAAATTCTCTATTTAACGCTGCCTTTATCCTGCCAATTTCCTCCACATCATTTCCAGTAAGGACAATGTCATCGACATACACAATAAGAATAGTGATGAGTTTTTCATTCTTGGAGACAAACATTGTGTGATCTGACAAACTTTGTTTATATCCCTCATTCTTAAGCACAGCGGAAAACCTATCAAACCATACTCTAGGTGACTGCTTCAGCCCATATATGGATTTCTTTAGCCTGCATACCTGATTGTTTCTTCCCTTTTCAAAGCCTGGTGGTAAGGTCATATATACCTCTTCTTTCAGCTCGCCATTAAGAAAGGCATTTTTAATGTCAAGTTGCTGCAGAGGCCAATCAAGATTTGCTGCGATGGAGAGTAGGACTCTAATGGTATTTAACTTTGCTACAGGAGCAAATGTCTCATGATAATCCACCCCATAAGTTTGAGTGAACCCCTTTGCCACCAGTCTTGCTTTGTGTTTGTTAAGTGATCCATCAGCATTATATTTAGGAGTAAAAACCCATTTACAGCCCACTGGTTTCTTCCCATTCGGTAGTGTAGTAATCTCCCAAGTGTCATTCTTTTCTAAGGCTCTCACTTCCTCCAGGACAGCATTTTTCCATTCTGGATTCTCAAGTGCTTCATAAATATTGTTAGGAACAGTAACCTTATCTAAATTTGTAACAAAGGTATAATGACTTTTAGAGAGAGTGGCATATGACAAGTGCTTTTGGATAGGATGTTTAGTGCAAGACCGACTCTTCTTTCTCAATGCAATAGGGAGATCTAGTTCACATACCTCATTATGAGCAGTGTCACGAACAACTTCAACAGTAGGATCTATCACCGGTTCTATGAGTGGCACGGCTTCAGGTATGACAGACTCACGTGCTTGCTTGTCTTTGCGGGTATAGACCTTGTCAAAACTCTTCTTAGGAATCTTATTTCCATTATTAGGAGAGACAGTGGAAGGACTTGAGAGCACAGGAGGTATAGGTTCAGGAATAGGTTCATGGACATTTTCATACTGAAATTCACTCCAACACTCCCCTGAATTGAAGTAGGTGGGTAATAGGGCTCATGTTCAACAAAGGTGACATCGCGGCTTACAAAGAGACGCTTAGAGACTGGATCATAACATTTATACCCTTTCTGAAAATTGGAATACCCGAGAAAAATGCACTTAGCTGCACAGGGGTCAAGTTTGGAGGGAGGGTGATGAAGGTGAGCAAAGACAGAACAACCAAAAACACGAAGAGGAAGATAGGAGTCCAGATGAGACACAACATGAGTTTCCCGGAGTCTGTCAAGAGGAGAGACATAGGAGAGAGTACGACACGGGAGGCGATTAATTAAGTGTGTGGCAGCAAGAATGGCATCCCCCCAATAGAATTTAGGGACATGAGACGTGAACAATAGAGCACGAGCAACCTCAAGAAGTTGTTTATTTTTGCATTCTGCAATACCATTCTGTTGTGGGGTGTGAGTGCAGCTACTTTTATGAACAATGCCATTATTTTTGAGGAAAGAATCAAGCGAGTTATTAAAGTACTCAGTTCCATTATCAGTATAAAGGACTTGGATGGATGTGTGGAACTGATTTTTCACATAGTTAAAGAATTCTGTAAATGTGGTGGTGACATCAGATTTGTCTTTTAAAAGGTAAACCCAACACATCCGCGTGTGGTCATCGATAAAAGTAACAAAGAATTTTGAATGCGTGCGGTTTGGAATGCGTGAAGGACCCCAGACATCACTATGTACAATCGAAAAAGGACGAGAAGAATGATAAGTGGAAGGAGAATAAGTGGTACGATGATGTTTTGCTAACTCACAAATGTCACAATGAAAGGTACTGTTTTTATTAAGAGATAAATCAGGAAAAACTTTTTGCATATAGGAAAAACTAGGGTGGCCCAAACGTTGATGCCATAACAGAAAATTACTGTCTTGAGAAGTGGAGGCAGATCCATTTATTCTTGAACACAAGGCGGTAACTGTGGAGACATCAAGGTAGTAGAGTCCATCATATTCTTCAGCCGTGCCAATCATTGTCCCCGAGGAGAGATCCTGAAAAATACAATGAGATGAAAAAAAATGAGCTGAGCAGTTAGTTTGTTTGGTCAACTTGCTAATAGACAATAGGCTACAGGCAAGGTGAGGGACATGCAAAATAGATTGAAGGTGAAGCTTATCATTGAGGTGAACGGTGCCTGTCCCAACTATAGGTGAGGATGAACCAGTGGCTGTTTTAATTGATTGGTTTCCAGCGGAAGGAAAATAAGAGACAAACATACTAGCTTCGGATGTCATATGATCAGATGCACCTGTATCGACAATCCACTTGGAGGGCATAAAGGAAGTTTGGAGAGCGATAGGAATACCTCTCTGGGCTACAGATGCAGAAGCAATTTGTTTTGTGGGCAAAGTCTTGAGGAGTTCCAGTAGTTGGCCCAGTTGATCAGGACTAATGCTGGGAAGAGATTCAGAATTAGGAGCACTGCCGTCCTGCACAGCATGATTTGCCCGAGGCCTATTACGTCGTGGTTTCCAATCTGCAGGCTTCCCAAAAAGATCCCAACACCTATCACGTGTATGCCCGGTTTTCCTACAATGATCACACGTTAGTTTCCCACGGGTTTGAGGAGGTCCATGATCAGTGTGTTTACTGACAAAGGCAGAGGAATCCGAGGCCGAGGCTTTAGGACCAGACAACATGACTTCCCACCGTGTCTCTTCACGGCGAACTTCAGCATATACTTCTCTAGTGGAAGGTAGAGTGCGATGACCTAAAATCCTTGCCCGAACATCATCAAATTCAGGATTTAAACCAGCCAAGAAAAGGAGCACCCTTTCTGTTTCAACATTCTTCTTATTTCTGGCAGCATCAGTAGCAGAGGACCATTCTTCAATGGTGATCAAGTCCAATTCCTGCCAGAGAGCCACTAGTTCGAACCAGTATTCAGTGATACTGCGAGGACCCTGTACACATCGCCAAGTCTGGCGCCGCAAGTCGAACAACCGAGAATGATCTTGTGTATCGGAATAGGAGTCACGGACAGCTTCCCAAATCTCTTTGGCCGTGGGAAGATACATAAAGGTCCGTTTAAGTTGAGGAGACATGGCATTGATCAGCCATGAAGAAACCAACGCGTTATCAACCTTCCATTGCGCCATCGCAGAGGAGGCAGAATCTGACGGCATCGGCGAACTCCCATTGAGGAACCCAAGTTTGCCGCGACCTTCAACGGCGAGGAGAACTGCTTGGGCCCAATCACGATAGTTTGTGAGGGTCAACCGTTCAGAAACAATGGAGACGGGGGACCCAAAAACAGAGGATCCTTCTACAGCGCCAGACCCGTGGTACTCGCCGGCCTTAGACGTCGCAGTCGTGGAAGACCCATCAGTCGAAGTTGCCATGGTAGCAACGGTCTGGACTAGTCGACCCGAGAAGACGCACCGAGGGAACTATCGGACTGCAGAGAACGTCCACCGCTCTGATACCATGTGGACAAACAGAGTAAAACCAATCCGTTGTATTTCCCTCGGTGATGACCGGTTAATTTAAATAGGGTACAGAGGAAATCTACCACCATAATCAGTGGGATTGAGAAAATAAAATCTTAATCAGATATTGGAGGTTTTCCCTTATATGAGCCGAGATATCCTCCTCTAATTCTAATATTTACAGATATTTACAGATAATATAATATTTACCACAAGATTAATAATGTGTGTGTAAAGAATGCTAGGCTAGGTTTGACTGCTCTGTCCTAACGGCTAAACCTGAGACCCAGTCTAAAACCAGTAGTCCAATCCGGCCCACCCTTTTTTGGGTCATTGGGTTGTCTTTTTCCAAGATCAGATCCAGCTGGCTTCATGAAGCTTTGATGCAAGCCCTAGTTGTGCTTTTAAAATCTAATTCTCTATAATTAACAATTCTTTTACAGAGATAATATAAGAACCCATTGTCTATACCTTACAACACAAATATAATGAAATCTGAAATTACCTGTTCAGTTTCATCTTCCCTCAAATATAGGCCACAGTTTTTTTTACCAGCTGCATCCAGTGATGACAAAGTGGATAGTAAACCATGGGCAGCAGACAGTACATTATCACAATCAACCTTCATTTTAACATGCTCTTCAATCATATCATTCATTAGATTAACCTGAAAAAGAGAGATATTTGCCCAGATATTGAAGGTAATTAGAAGCATGCAATTTTTGTTCAAAAAGAAGATTGTGATATAAGCTGCTGAACTATAGATCCAATTACTCCCATACCAATTGAACAAACTTTGTACAAGATGACCAGTAAGGATGCTGACAGAGATGGTACAATAGTTTTCCTCTCACCTGAAATTGAAAGGATAAAAATTAACAGACAAAATACAAATAGAATTCACTTAAAACAAGAAAAACATTGAATTAATGAATTGCTGAATATTAAGCCATTGCAACTGTGTTTGAACAGAACCTTGAGATCAGATTCATTCTCCAATAAATTGAACAGCATATCCCATGTAATAACTTGTGAAACACAAAAGAAACAGGAAATAAGTGATATCATGCCCATTTTCCATTTCTCTGCAGAAAATGCAATGCCACTGGTAGCATTTTTTCCAGCTGTCAATATATCCACATCTCCAGAACCATGGTTAACATCCAATTCCACATCCATAATCCTAGTTTTGCTGCTATCACATGGCGAAGAACTTTGAATACCATCAGTTGCAGCTACGTCTTGCACAATTGTCTCATACTGGAGGTTGATTATACGCTGAGAATAATCTTCATATAATCTAACAAGTGCTTTCAAAAGTCTCTCTAGATACTGGATTATCTCTCCTAATGAGGAAAACCCCATTGCATTTTGATATCTCCGTTCATTAAATAGAGGAGAAGAAAGAAAGCTCCGAATAGAAGCAACAATAGATCTCCTTTCATCACAGGTAGAATCATTACTTAGGCAACTGAGGGACCGGAAATCATTGTCTTGTTGAATAATATTGACAGCATAATCAAGCATCGATAGCAGGTACTGGCTTAATTTTGAGAGAAATGCAACATTTGTTTTCCTAAAAGGGAAAAAGAAAATGATGATAACAATGTCAGACAAAAGAAAATTGATGGAAGAAATCAAGTGAGATGGCATTGTCAATAAGAATTTGACACATTTGGCATAATTCAACCAGTCAAACGTTTTATGCAAAAAGCTATAAAGCCAACTGGATGATAGTAAGCCATGATGCATGGTAAAAATATATTGGCATCCCAAATATAAGATGTCCAATGTTGCTAACGGAAGCTATGGTATTATGGGATGTCTAAGCTCCACATTGAACAGCATGTGACGCTCTCAATGAGGTATTCAAGCAGGTTTGTTTCCCCGCCTCTATATCCCCACGTGGGATGTGGAACCCTCCCACAACATAACTCCACATATTCAGGGTTAACACGAGGCATTAATCCAAAATATAACAAGTAGAGCCAAAGCAACGGAACAATCAACCTGAATAAGAAAATGGGCAACTGACAGAGGCATATAAACCAGAACCTTAAACCAAAAATAATAGTGAAATAGATTGAAGATGACTATAACATGACTAACCAAGCGGAAAATGACCCATAGAGTAAGTTTGCCACAAGAGAACAAAAGAAGAAAACATCAGGTAATTGTCTCTCTTTAATCTCCTCTGTCACTAGAGAGCCAAGAATGAAGGTCTCCATTTCAAGCAATAGCTGATCACGTATTTCCCGAGGAAGATGTACTAGATGATTATTTAGCGGTTGGAAAACCTGAAAACGGATAATTGGGCTATTCAAATTCATATAACGCATAAGACTTGCATAAACTGACAGATATCCACCTCAACTTTAGAACCGCTGTCAATCTTGGTTAGAGCTTCCACAGAGCAATCCAAAAAATCATGTAGACTCTGGAGTTTAGGGTTTTCCATCTAGCAAAATTCCGTTTCTTAGGGAAGACATAAAGTGAAATAATGGGGGCAAAAAAAAACAAAAACAAAGGCAGCAGGCAGTAGGAAAGAGTGATTAAGCCTCACCTTATGACAGTCATCTAGAGCCTCAGCAATATCCAAAGAGTAGGACAACAAAGGAAAATCTTTAAAGAATTTTGTAAAAGGAGCATGACCAGTACAAAGAGCATACACAGCAGTAGGGAGCAATAAAACCATCTGTTCATTTAATGTTACAGGTCCCTGCATTGAATAAAAGGAGAACACACAATATTCACACAGGGTTGCGTATTGTAATAAACAAAATAAAGGACTAAAGTAATTTGTATGATTATTAAAAGCAATCACACCTTCCAATTAAGATGGCTCAAAGCTGCTCTCAGAAGGTTCTTCCTTAAATACAAAATATCTCGGAGGTCAATCTGCATGACATGGAGATGGCAAATATGACGGACCCAACAGGGACATTAAAGCATGAAATGGGCACCAAAAAATGCACATTTATTCTACCAAAAAAAATGTAGAAAGCACACTACTTTTTTGTTGCATAACTAGAGACATATTACTTCTGGAACTTTTGCTTACTTGGCAATACTTAATTCGGAGGCCCAGAATCACTTTCAAAAACCCCCCGGGCATGCCCAAAAGAATTGATACATGTTCAGGCAAGATCAATTTTTTAACAGAATTCACAATCTAGACAACAGAAGTTATTCTGTATTTTATTAAGCTTTTGAGAGAACTAATAATCCAAACATCAAGTAAGCAGATGTCATGAAGAGGGCAAAAAAGAAGAAGAAGAAGAAGAAGATACTGAACAACTCACATGAGAATTCTTCCTCAAAAAGTAACATACGAAGAAATACAGGGTTGACCTGCGCATAAAGTAAATTATGCTCCTAAAATGAATACAGCAATAATGACAGAAATATAATAAAATATACAGAGAATAATGTGTATCTGTTTTTCTCTTTGAAGCCACAGTGCATGTGCATTTCTATATTTTCAGGTCTATATGAACCGAGGACCGGCAATTAGCTTCTAAAACATATCAAGAATTTGACAGCCCAATTTAATTTGGTGGTAAGTTTATGGTATACATGCATGCAAATGAATTCAAGACATTAATAGACCCATAAAGAATATATAATTGAGTTTGTTGGGTGACTTGAATGATATGCGTCTGTTTTATTTGTTTAAGAATGACTTACAACCATACCAATCACTAAGAAGGCAAAAGCATTCAATCATGGTTCGTCAGTCCAATTGTATTGAAACCCTGATACTGATCGTATACGTCATAATTAAATATATGCGGGCGTGTCCGCATTTTGACTATGGTTGAATTCTGGGTTTTGATGTTCCATTTGATTCATATTGTTGAATTTTGACGCACGGCAGATACTAATAGTTAGAAGAGGTTAAATATGAGCCATAGGCTTTGAAATCACTGAAACCAAAAGCTCGTAGCTCAAGATATGGGTTTCAGAAACAGGGTTAAAATTGCAGAAAAACCTGTTTTAAGGACCGCCATACTTCACTGCAGTGAAGCAGCTCCCTGGTGCAAGTGTTGAATGACAGGCGTGTTCCCAAGATAAGGAAATTTTGTAGTCGAATCTCAGGCATTATTACGTGTCTTTTGCACCAAGTATTTGCACATCAGATGTTCTTTGGGTCAGTTTTTAAGTTTTGCGGGATCCTTATGGGTTTAGAATTAGAAATGTTTCACGAAGCTCATAATTCCTCTACATGTTTACATAAAGCAAGGTTTGAAGTTTTAAAAAATTTTCCTAAACCTCGTTTTAAAATATTTGGCGTGACAATAACACCTTGGTTAAGGTGCTAGATAATTTGGCATAAACCATTAATAACTGGCAGGCCACGTCCACATAAAACCAACAGCACAATAACAATGTTTAAACTATAAGATCCAAATTGAAAATTGAGTAAAAATTTTGGAAACTAAAACAGTTTTTAAGTAACAATCTATAAGTTATATTTTCAGGGATACAATTAAGATTAAAGTAATTTACATTGGAGCCGCCTGAAGTTAGCTTGAGTGGCAACTGATGGATGGGGTGTGGAAAAGGTCCAAGGTTCAAACCTTCTTAATGTGAGAGGAAAAAAGGGTAACTTACATTGATGGTGGCCTTTTAAATAATTGTAGATCCCAAACATCTTGAGGTATCACACATGCATTTATTAGATCCTGGACAGAAGAAAGTAAATCTAATATCAGATTTCGTTTATTGCTGACATCCCCCATTGTGTATGATCCTGTACTCACATTGGAGGTTAAGTTACCAAGAAGTACCAAAGCAGCATCAACCTTCATTAAAATCACAATGTAAACAGAAGATTAGAAAGAAAGAAGCTATGCAACAGGCATTAAATAAATAATCAAATTTGGAAGAAAAATTACAATAGTAGTTATATTGCTGTATATTGGCAACCCATGCACTGTGGTACTCCAGATTAGTTGCCAGCCATTAACGAACTGCAATAATTGGTCCGAGCAAGTTAAAGCACCCAAAAAAAAATAGCAGCCCGACAAAGTAATTAACCATCAACCAATCCAATAATAGAGTGATTTTCCATATAGGTTTTACTGATAAGTGACCTAGCTCAGCAACAGCGACAACAGACAGATATTCAATTTTGGATTCGGATGAAAGATTCTTCACAAATTTCAACACATAAATTGGACGGAGAAATAGACATGTAGGAGAAATATTCTTATCGGTGCAGGAAATTCTCATCGCCTTTTTCTTCAATGAACTTAACAAGTCTCTAACTACTAGAGTTCGGTTACTAAGTATTTCTTTTGGTCCTATATATAGGTCACTTTGCATAAAAAGATAGGCTATTAATTACTTTCTACCAATGTTACCCTTTTGCAACTTATGAGCACGTTAAGAGGTTGCATGAGAGAGATAAGTGTTTTTAAAGATGATACATTTAATAAGGACAAATTGAGAAATTATTTTTTCCTAGAATGTGACCTATATATAGAACCGGAGGGAGTAATATGTTTTTTCCTTTAGTGAGAACTTTGGGTTTGAAAAAAAGATTATTCAGAATTTTCGATTAGCATAAATCAGAGATACAGAAACAGCAATTTTGTCTCCTCAACAATTTTCCATCCACTTTTTCTTCAGTAAGGATCTCTCCATTATTTCAATGCTCAACGTGGCCAATTCCCCAAAAAAAAAAAAAATCCCAGGTCAATTAATAGTTGAGATACATAACAGCAGTCCCAAAAAAAACTTCTCGGCAAATTTATTAATGAAAATATTCAATTAGAAGGAAAAAGAATAACAAGAAAGAATAATACATCATCACTTTTCTGGGAATATCTCGTTTTTACTGTAAATATTATCTGATTGTACAGTTTTATTGGCACTTATTAGCCTTTACTCTCGTCTTTCCCTTGGCCAATATATTTGGTGTATCTTACCATTCAGATTATTAAGATATACATTTTTCTCTCAGAATTCATCAGTTTTTAACAAAAAGCACTGATCAGTGAACAATAATCAAATTGACCTATCAACTATCAAGGATCCCAAAGAGCTTATTCTATAACGACCTCACCTCCCAGGAATATAAAAATGAATGAGCAATTATCTTATTCACCTTCAATTTCAACTCAAAAACCAAACTCTTTTCTAAATAAAATGCTGGAATAAGAGATATTCGAGCTCGGCATGCATTTAAAAACAAACAAATAAACTAGAGAGAGAGAGAGAGACCTCATTTAAGGTAGAAGATGGCGTAGATGAGATCTCCAGCATTTTGTTTGGATGCAACAGGACCAAGGAAAGCTCCTGCAAACACCTATAGATACAAGAAAACAGACACGAATTCACTGTGTTTAGAGACCAGCCAGAGTACATAATACTAAGTATTTAAAATGAACCACAATAATGAAAAATATATCATTAAAAGAAAAGGGAATAAACTCCTAGACCTAAAGTACACAAGCACCACGCTCTTGTGGTCATGTGCTCTTGTGATCATGCATTATGACCTTGCCAAACAGGAAAACACTGTAAAGAAAAAAAATTGTCGATCATAGCAGCATACCGCAGAGTCCACAACAATCCATCATAAGCACGCTCCAGATTTGCAGAATTCAGAATTCTGCAACGGTATATGTTAATCCAGTAATCATCATGAAAATTCTATCCCCATAAAAAAAGTCTCATTCATGCATGAACAGATATTCAACTCAAACTATGCAAATAATTGTTCAAAGAAAACAAGCAACCCAAAACCAGCAAATTATCAACCGTCAGTTGTCAACCAAATTAAGAGGGTGTTTGGGTAAGAACAAAACCATAGTTTCAGAAGTGCTTTTACGGTATACGAAATAAATATGTGGAGAAGTTTGCCTCAATTTGCGGAAAAGTACTTCTGAAAAGTGATTATGGGGTTATCCAAACACCCACTAAGTCTACATTGTCTAGTTAAATGAAGATATATCAACTGATCAGAGATCGAAAGGCAATAAAAAGCACAAGGATAAGATATTTTCCACGGAAACGTGCAAAGAAGAATTAGAGAAGAGATAGAAAATGATATCAATACGATAAAGCTCTTAGATCACTTCAAATATCAGCCAAAGAGACACCCATGAAAACAACCTTGTCTCATAGTCAAGAGGCTGAATGAATGGTAGAAATCACAAGGTTAGCATACTGCCAAGGGAAGACAGAAATTCGCCAGATTTAGGGCCATTCAGCAAAATTTTACAGGTGGAATAATGGAAGGATGGATATTTAATGGCATGAATGAAATAGTATTTTGGTGTTTTATGTTATTTGAGGTTTGTCATGTACCAGCAAGTATAGTTTAGCGTTCTCTAAGAGAAGTTTGCATCATTCTGTGTTTTGTTGCCATACATCTCTTAGGAATGATAAGAGAATTATTCTTCAGTCCACACTTAAAAGCTTAAACCCATTGAACAAAATACAGAATAAGACTAAAAAAAATGTTAGACTAAACTATATCTGCATGATATAACAAATACTGTTAAACAAATTTATGCACGACCTGAAATTCACAATCAAACATGTACAAACTTATGTTCCTGTAGAAGATTTGCAGCACAAGACAAAAAAAGGGTTGAGCTCTATTTGGTCCTTTTATCGAATGCAGTAGATATTTTGTTCATCAAATATTTATCATTATGAATATAATTTATATGGATGGAGGTGTCATATCTGCATGAAATAGATTACCAAAGCAAGTGTTTCTTTGCACGACATGCTCATACCCAGTTACCTGTCAAAGCTCATCCAAATGCCTTCAAACCAGTACAAGAAAAGATCCTTGCTAATGCGGGAATGGTAGTTTCGAGTGAGATAGCAAAATGCAGCACTCCTGTAGCACAGATTCTCAATGAGGATATGGTATAATGACAATCATATTAACAATGCCTGATACATGGTAAATATAAACGAAAAGTATTTAATTAACACACACGACATTATATATATATCCTATTTGTATTAATGGAAGTGTAGAGAGCTTCCTAACAATTATCAACAATCCTCAAATGATTCTTAACCGCCATGTGATGATGGCCATCAATTAAGTGCATTATAATGAAAGCAATTTATGCATCGTGTTAAGGACTTAGCTATTGACCGTAAGAAAATATCATAATGGACCCATGAAAAATAAGAATGGTGAAAAAGAAAAGGAAAAGCATGATATAGACACAATTCAAATCCTTGGCAGAAAGAATATCAAGGTTTGTAAACTAAATTCTTCAGAGTTACGGGAACAGAAATTTTATGTGATTTTGGGATGTTCCATTCAAAGTTTTCAACACACTCTGCCATATAAGAGAAGGACCTAAAGTTGTTTAAATGCAAGAAACATAATACATGCAAACAATTAATCATCAAACCAATGCGTTATCTCCTTGTTACATTATTTCAAAATGAAGAAACTTATTAGAGAGGAAAATAAGTAAAAGGAGGATGAGGTTTCTTTCAGAAAGAATTTGATGCAGAACAGTTGATGAAAAGGAGCAAGGGGAGGACGAAGAGAGAGGAAGGAAGTAAGGAGAGAAAACGGACAAAATAAATTGATATCTTCAGCAAGTCTGAAAGATACACTATGAAGAGCTATTGATAAGGAGCCCAAAATATACGGAAAAAAAAGAAGTTGAAAATTAAATAAATGAATTGAACTCAGAAAATACCTCAAACCAAAATATCTCTAAACTAGAGTTTCCTATGCCAAGAATAGATTTTGCATAATTTCTCATCAGAAACTAAATAAATACATAATCTGAAGTAACTAAGCGCATAACCAGACCTAGCTCATCAATGTAGCTATATGTTAACTATAAAACCTTTCTAAGATCACTGTTAACCAAGTACAATAAAGAGGTTAAGAAGACATCACTTTAGAGCATAAAAACAGTGACGGCAAAAGATATATATTCTATAAAGTGCTTACATTTCAACTTCAACCATTTGTGCGAAATAGCATCACGCATAGCACAGCTCCATATACATCAGAGGTGAATGACATATAGGACCCATGTTCAAAAGCATAATGTAGTGATAAACACATAAACACATGATTAAGAAGTTTTTCAAATCAAAGTTAGCATACGACATGTTACAGAGTGCCTTATAGAACAAAACTCATAAACTAGTTTCTAACTTACCACAACCATTTACCATTCATGAGTGCATCCCGTAGAAGCACAGCAGGAGGCTCCTTCTTAACTCGTTTTTCAGTTAGTACGGCTTGTGTTGTATTGAGACAAGCCTAAGGAATAATCATATTAGCAAGCAGTCTAGAAATTCTCATAGTAGAAAAAGAATGGACCACAGAGAGTAAGTTTTAACTTCAAGAAACAATTGCAGAGCGTTCAGTGACTACCCTATAAAATATAACAGCTGCAAGTTCCACCAATCCACAGTGTGAGCTACTCAAGGCTCCAAATCTATCGTCTTTATTACCATCACCCCTGGATTGAAAGATCATATAGATCACCGTTAATAGCTTGAAAAATAATAATTAAATTAGTAAAATGGGAAACAATAGAAAAACTCACCAAGGAATGGAAGAACTAGACATACTGCCCTGATCAAGATCTTTACAAACCACATCCAGAAGTTGTTCTACCAATGAACATTCATCATCAACACTCCTCAGTAAATTTAACTGTAACTTTGCATAGAACATAAGTGCATCCTGCAGTGGAAGTATGAAAAGAGTAATGTGAAATCTCAAGAGGTGAGCTGCGGTAGAAGCAACTGCATGCAGACTGCAACAATATGGGACCTTAAGAACTCGATCGTGTGTTGTCAGCCAGAAGCGGAACACAAACTGCCGCAACGCCTTATGGATCTCCAACAATCGACAGCCCAAATTTGGGCCATCATTCAACAAATATGTATTAATACACTCAACAAGCTTGCGTGAAATCTTTCCTTCATCCCTAAAGTAAAAGGAACAAAAGACAAAAGGTACTCTGGCAGATGATAAAATGGTGGGGTAAAAGCACACACGCACACAAATACACATGTACATTAGAATACCCAATGATGTACCTGATATAAGAGCATATCTTGACAAACCCCTTGATAATGTCTTCCCTGACATTATTAGGGTAGTCACCAGGAGGATTTTCAAGAAGTGAATGAAGTGTCAGGATGTACCGAAAAACCTCCTCCTTTGAAATGTGATGAATAATATTCCCGCTCAAGCTTGTTTCAACATTCTCAATGTAAAGAAGCACCAAATCTTGCAATAGGAAATTGACATAATGTATAAGGTAAGAGCACTATGTTTAAGAAAGATTACGCCATTCAGACATGGTAAAAACTGAAAGCTTGAAGTTGAGGGGGGACAAAAATTACTTCGGTAAATGCACTTCTTCATTTGCAAACTATAATCTTTGACCGCCAATAGATGCCGAAGGATAATCCCATATTCTGACTGAAAGCTTGGGACATTGCTCAAGACATCCCAAACGTGGTTGAAAAGGGATTTAACCACATGTGATAAAGGCAGCATTTTACCTACCATAAAATGACAGAAAATTTATTGAGAACAGCAGTTTTAGTCCCAACAGGTTATTGTGTCATTCATCTCTCAGCTTTTTGCCATGAACTTCCAGGTTGGAAGTTGAAGCAAAAAGACTTCAAGATCTGTGATTTCAGCAAAAAGCTTGGAATGATGTGTTTCGTTCATTGAAAAGTTTTGGGGTCTATGCATCTTTTCTTTTTGAATACCTGGCACACCCACTCAGCTGGCGCATCAGCCCAACAGAAACTGGCAGTTAATTTGACAAGCATTGCATGGTAAGAACCCAAATATAAAAACAAATCAACTGCTTGTTTCTATTCATCAAGTGCACATATTAAGTAGAACATCATGTGTACCCATAAATGTTATTTCTTCCCCAGGATTGGTCCCCTTCTTTCGATTGCACTCAATTTTAGATTTTAATTTCTTGTGTTTTGTAATCAAAAAGGAGGAAGGAGAAAAGAAGAAGAAAAGTATGCAAACAACTACATTACTAATAACTCACCTGAATACTTAGCATCTTCTGCTCGTTGCACAACCACTCTAAGAGTCTTTGCATAAATCATTTTTGGCATTCGCCGCTTACTTAAGGATATTTCCGACGAAGTACATTGGATGAGCAAAGAAATAAGAAAAGGCCATGTTTCAGCTGCACCTCAAAAATGAAGAATAAATTAAGTGTCACTTCTAAAATTTACATGCTGGCTTTAATAAACCATAGCGTTTAGCACTATCTAGAGTTTATACAAGAAAATTGTCTTACAGTGAGAAATTTCATCTGGTCTAAGCATTGCAGAACTCTGCCCAAGAAATTTGCAGAAGTTAAATGATCGTTCTCCTTCTAACCAAGTATTCAGCAACTTGATCCCCTCCTGATAAAGCAAAATATGTCAGCACATATTAAAATCAAATGCGGATCATGATCGTTAGAAAATATAGTATACCGTAAGCCTAGCCCAGTAGTAAACAAAGATCATCTGGTTATTCATAACTAAATGACATATTGCATGGCATGCATTTTAACATTCAGATAATTATAGAGTTATCACATAGTTATGGGAAAATAAACAAGATATACAGCAAGGTGTCATTCAACCCAGATTAACGTGCCCCAGAAATTTTGAATTATAACATCGAACCACAGACTATTGAGTAGCATGACCTGAGGAAGAAGAAGCTATCCCCTCAGTTCAATCTCCATTTCTCTCAGGTTCAATTTATCGCAACTACTCGCTAGGTGGTTTACGTGGAGCTCAGAGAAGGGCATTGATACTACGTTGCTTGGACCACTTAGACGGGTGGAACCAACTCAAAATTTCCAATATTAAATTTAAGCTCTGATAACAGAAAAACGAAATTTCCATCCGTAAGCCGATTCAAAAAAAGTTTTAGCTTCAGTCATTGTGTGATTTTATATCGGGATATTCTCATTAAATAAACAAAGACAATTTATAGTCGATGAAGGAAATGAAGGTTACTTCGCGGCTTTGGCTTTATCAGAAGAGAGCTTCTCAACAATCTCTCGTATGTCTCTAGAACGGACAGTCGCCATTATCACGATGCACTGGGACAGTACAGTGATAAATCTCGAGCGTAAGACCAGACAGGCTTACGCGGTAATCTAGAAGCTAGGGCTTCTACC